CGCCACGAAAAAACCTTCAAATCAAATAAATTACACCGACCCAGTTTTAACATGTGTCGTATTAGTCAACTGACAAAAGCGCTTATCTGTGCGAATGGAGGCATAATATAGACGACGGTAATGCTTGTTTGTTACGGTTTCCACTCAGGTCGGCGTATGTACTCGATTTGATCCCATTTTGGTGTGTTAACACGTGTATCAAAATGTATAGGGCAATGAAAAATAAATAAAACGATGTAACTATAAATTACATCTCGTTCATAAATGTAGGTAATTTTTGGTTAGGATTTGATGTATATTTTACATTACAAATAAATATTATGTGAATACCTATATATTGCATAAACTACAAATATAAGATTGATATAGACTTAAACAAAAACATTATTAGCCGCAGTAACAGACATAAAAATAAATTATATGTACCTATAATATTTATATTTAGTCGTTATATATATATATATATTGTAATTGTTTATATTTATAATAAGTTTACTATTGTAATCTTTTGGAGAAAACAATAAAGAGTATCTATCTATCTATATATGATTATGTTTATTTTTGTATAATAATTTTTAATATTTGCACACCTGCAGAATGGCAGAATAAAATTGGACTAATTTTCTTCTAAAAAAATGTACCTTAAACGAGCGTATAAATGAATTCTAATTCTAAAAAATATCATTTTTGTAATTATTAATAATAAAAATTAATTTGTTATGTATTTAAAAATTTCAAATAAAATTAGATATACGCTATATCTACTTTACATGTAACAGTAATTTAAGAACACGAAAAACAAAAAATAATGAGAATTGACAAAGCTTTGTGTAAATGACAAAATGTCAGATTTACTAACATCACTGAAATGACAGAATAGATAATAGGTAGAACAACAGACAAGAAGACATTGTATTAAAATCAAATATATCCCATTATATTCTATTCATTCGGTTGAAACAAATTGTCTGTTGGCTTTGACTGCTTTTAACAATTATGTAAGCTTAATACCTACTCTTACTAAAATTTTAAAACATAGATGAATCCAACTACCTAATGAACTACGAATAGGATGGCTACATAAATAGACCATATGTCAGATTAACATAGAATACTTCTTTTCAAGCAAATTACTAGAAATATACTAATAAAGACTTTTTAAAAAAGTGAATTAACTTTTATATATTATTACAATTATATTATAGATTATATTATATTATAGATTATTACAATTTAAACATGTTAACTTAAGCAATCGATAGTCAGTGAAGAAGAAGGGTTCTGAAGTGGTGAACCTGTGCAGTCAAGCAAGTATAAGACCACCCTCAACAAAATCTCCGAAAGTTGATGTATGTAGGTGTGTTGAGGTCAAACTTAGTGGCAAAACATTGGGGAGACTTATTTCCAGTAGTGGACTATGGACGGATTGTGGTAATGATGATGAGACAGGGTACTAATGGTTTATATATTGTGCCTATATACCTGTACACCTAATATTTAACCCTTCTTTACATGATCTTTTTTTATTGGTAAAACAAATCAAGGTGTGAATCACCTTGATTTAATGAACCTTGATGAAAAATGGTTAAAAAAATAAATTTGACAGCTATGGATTTTTTTCTGCAATGGACATAAAAAAGGTATCCAGACACGATCAACTTAAAGTGAAATTGTTCTTTTATATAATTTTTGGGCATTCAATGTTATAATGGAAATTTCCACCAGTATGCAAAGAAGGGTTAAATATTAGGTGTAAAGATATATAGGTATTAACTATTTGTTGCAACGCAATTAATTTTATAAATCGTGATAAAATAAATAAATCACAATTAAACTAAATTAATTTTATTTAAATTAAAAAAGAATTAATCTATATAAATAAACTTCTGATGGAAAACCAACTTATTAAATTACATTTATTATATAATGATATTATTACATGATGTCTTGACCATTCAGTTCGTTTAGTCGCCTCTTATGACACCCAATGGAAAGGAAGGGGTGGCCCATTCTATGCAAAGATCCACACGGCACAAGCAAGACCACAAGGCACAATTTTTTTTAATACTAAATATTATCATTTTTATGAAACCATTTAATTTATATATACAAAAGTATATAAACATAACATAAATACAAAAGTTTCTCACAAAAATCTTATAAATATGCGATTCTAAATATATTAATATAAAAACTAAACGTTACAGTCATTAAAATATAACTATATATATTAGATATCACTAGTAATATGCCAGTCTAAGCTTAAGTAGGTACTTTTGCATTTTCTCTCAAGCAGAAAAAATTACTAGACCCAAATGCCGTAAAACGCGACCCGTGTGAAATATCGTCGACAGCTGACATTCAAAAAACCTTCGCGTTGGGTTATTAACACAGAGTTTAAAATAAACACGTATAGTGAACACCGCTTAAAGTGCTTAATAACTTTCAAAACTTGATGACTTTTATGAGATTAAAGTTTTTTAAAGCCATGCAACATCACCTGCAAAGTAACACTTTTTTATGAAACTTAGAATGTCAAACAATATGATGACTTACATAATCGAATGGTGTTACCATTCGATTTGGTGTTGTGTTGTGGACATAAACAACATCATATTAACATCACAGAATACTTGTGATATCCATGGTATCTCTCATTCATTGCCTTCCTTAAAAACTACGTACTATTAGACCTCTATATTCTGTAATTGCATTGCCACCTTTCAAACTAAAATAAAGCTGTGCAAGTTTAGCTAATCAAGGCAGAAACACGGGTAGGACAGGAATACCCAAGTAGACGACTTTTATACAAAGTCTCCCTCTGGTAAATACGCTGCGGATATCCTTAAATTACTGAAGTTTCTGTGAAACTTAAAAATGTTGGCAACCCTGAACTACCATTAACGATGCTAAGCTTTATACTTATTAAACAATTAGTACGTGTTTATGTTCTATTCTTACAGTTAGAAAGTAACACAGCTGAATAATAAAAAGTTGTTTTACTGAAGTAGCTGTTTTATTTAGAAATTTGTTGCACTACCATTAGTATATGTGTGACTGCCAACACTTGACCACCTCTATTACTACCAAAAGTTCCAAGTTAAACGTGCGTGGACAAAATGGCAGACGGATATTAATGACTAATATGGAAGGTGGCGGAACTTCTGGTATTAATAATGGTGGTCAATCTTATCTTCGAGTATTTACAGTCACATACATAATAATGATAGTGGAATTATACACAATAATTCTAATCAAAAACCAGTAATAAAAAATGCACAAATTATGCACAAGTTTACGATAATCTTCGATAATTCTATATTTTAGAATTTCATAGAATAGTGGCAATATAAAGCATTGGAAGTAATTTTTATTAGATTCTACATAATAAAAATGTGTCCAATGATGAAACTAACACAGAAACACTCTCCAAACAAAATGACAAATCGAAATACTTTCGAAACATTCAATCAATTGATTTTTTATATATGGTCGGGTATTCGTTTGTTTATATTTTCATTAAGCTGTATTTATTTATTTAAATTAGTTTGAGTTAGGTTTTAAATTATTATTGTTTGAATGGTGCAAAGCACATTCGCAATTTGCTTAAGGTATTACGCACGCAACAGCACTTACAAAATGATTCTAAATTCACAAGTATTTTGTGTGAATGTTACTCGATTATCTTAACCAATACTGTTTTTTTCTTGTTTGGTGATAATTCTTCTTGTAGTCTAGAGTTTAGTTCCTTAGTCTGATATCACATTTGTCACTTGTCAACCGACTTCAAAAAGAAAGAGGTTCTCAAATCGGTTACATATTTTATATATTAACTCCGTCATTTCTAAACCGATTTGAAAAAATATTTTCTTATCTGAAAGGATATATGCTTTTAAATTTGCCCCTATAGAAATTTTAAAATCGATTTTATCACAATTGAAGTATTTTTTGTAGAACAAACTCTTTATTTACTTGCAAATGAAAAGTAACATTCCACACTTCTGTATGACCAAATTCTCTGTCCGAATAGTAATAATTTTTTACACAATGATTCCGGGTTCTAAATTCACTTATTTTTTAAAACTAATTTGTTTTTTTTTAATTCCTTTACCTCATCGTCCATTAGTTTATTTTATTCGCTTCTAAATAAGAATAGTAAGATTACAAACCTGACTAAATATTTTTTTTTATTTCTATCACTTTAATAATTAATTAATCTTATTAATATAATAATAACAGAAGTATGTAACGACGAATGAATAATTGGATGGATAAATGTTTGTTACTGTTTCATGAAAAATTACTGAACGGAGATAAATGAAAATTGGTACACGGGTTGGTTATATCCTATAACTTATCATATAGGTATTTTAAGTATACTATATAATAGATACTTTGTGTACTAATTCTATAAATTTTGTCGTTATAATACCTAATTTAAAAGTATTTATCTTTTGCATCTGCCCTTCATTGATATATAACAGCTAATTCAAACAAAGATTATATAAACATATATGTATATATTAACAACAGTGGAAAAAACAGAATTTTTCATAATGAAATCCAGTCAACGAAGATAATTTTCATGTTTCTAACCATTATATTAGGTACAATTTACCATTGGGAGTGCCCAAACGACGGTGTACCACGCCGCTGTGCTACGGAAATCCGCAACTAATTAAAATTCTTCGTGAATGAATAACTGCACTGCACCGGCGTTGCGCTGTGGGAAATTTTACAAATAAATACTGCCAACATACCTACCTACCAACTTTATTTTAAAAACTTGGATATATATATATATTCGACGCACCTATGCCATTTTGCCCTGTAATAATCTCTAAAACCTACGAAGATTAGGCAAAGCCCATCAAAATCCATTAATTAACTTGGAATATTAACGAGCTACTGAAAATCAAAAGTTTAAACTTTAAAATTATAAAGTACGTAATAGGTTTGAAAGTCTTTGAACTTTTCTAAAGTTATCCTAAATTTCACAGGCGCAGCAAAATCAAAAATCCGGGAGTGGCAACAGTGCTAGCGGAACATCGAGTGCAGCGAGCGGGTCCGCTGCTACAGCGCGAGCTAGTGATGTTAAACCAGTTGAATGTAATCTCTGCCATCGCAAGTTTAAAAACATACCTGCTCTCAATGGACATATGCGCTTACACGGAGGTTACTTCAAGAAGGTAAAGTTACACAAAATGAAATTATATTTGATTCTTATACCATTCTAAAACATCTTGTACCATGCTACACAACATGTATATATAAACCTAATCTGTAAAAGATTATGAAAATGTTGAGTTCATTATGATGAAACATCATTCATAGTTAATTTATAAGAAATTTTATACTTAAACCATGTCAGGATGAATTTACTCGTAAATTAACATTCAGTACATAAGTTACGCGTCAATAGTTATAATCTCAGAAACAACGCTGACGAAATGGAATATTTCAGGATTCTGACAACAAAAAATTGGATAAAAAGGAATCGACAGGGCCACCATTACAAACTGCCTCAGTATCGGTACGAGCTCTTATTGAAGAAAAAATCATTAGTCGCCGAGGGGCCACAGCAACTTCAACGCCTACAAGTAAGCACAAATCAAATAAACTTATTAAAAACATTCCTGCACTAACAATCAAATAATTAATAAATACAAATTTAAGTACTGCAATTATATAAAATATTAATTATATTAAGGTGGAACTACGGATACAGTAACTTCCCGCACCGGGTTCGTAGCGCCTGCTCCACCTCCACTATCAACAATTCGCGCCTCCACGGCATCACCCGCATCACCTGCTGCAACAACCGGTCAATTTGTCTCACCACGCGCACCGCCCGTTGTTACTGTTGCAACTAACGTCACTGCCAACATGACAACAGCTCAAAGAGACTCAACTCTAATTGAATTATTAAAGAAAGGAAGCACAAAGGTACATTATTTGATTATTTTGTAAAATTATTATTTAATTTTAAACAAATATTCTATACTTTTTTATAATTTGATTACAGGTTGTCAAACGCTCAGCTTCAGATCCAGGGCAATCATCGCCACAGCAAGAATTCACTTTCCGCCCAGAATTATTTGGTGTATCCTTTAACTCTGATGATGGGTATTTTTCACCAGCTCTCAACGATGATACTTTCCAATTCACCACAACACCTGAGCAACTAGAAGAGCTCGCTTCATTAGAAGATTATGCAACAGTAGCTGCATCGATACGTGAACGTTCACCAATTACCTTCCCATCTAGTAGAAGACTAGCTGCAGTATTAAATTCACCTCTACCCGAATCATTAGCAGATTTTGGTGCTTGTCATGGTGGATCTCCAGTACCCTCACCAGGCATCGCATATTCGGCCACTTCTCCAGGATTATCGTACACAACAGGCGATTCTCCGGGATTAGCATACACAGCTGCGTCACCAGTTGGAAGTTACTCCACACAACCGGAACCATCGCCTGGATTAGCTTATCCAACGCCTCCCGCATCTCATGACGCTCAATCACCTGCGCATACAGCGCCAAGAGCATCTTCGCCATTATCAGCTGCCTTCTTTACTGCTACAATGTCTAGCCAAGAAGAGGTAATTTAATTATAAAACATTGCTCTTTAATCATATAATTTTTTTTAATATTAGTCAACAACTAACATCCAATAATGTAATTCAACAGGTCGAAGAAGCTTTAGAGGAAGTATTACCTGAAGAATGTCGTTCACTTGATGCTTACGCTTTGGAACCTTCGCCAACTCCACGACGTATCATGCTGAACTCAGAAGATCCGCTTCTATCTAGTAGTCCACGCGACTTCTCACATCAGAGGCCTGCGCGTCGTCATAACCGAATGACTACTTCTACAATATCGACTTCCATGCATCAATGGCAACACGATACATCATCCCTTCAAGTATAAAAATTTAATTATTTATTTTTATGTACTTAAAAAATTAAACATCTATTTACTTATTAATCTTTAAAAATGTGTACTCAGTATAATTATTATAAATATTTCAGGTATGTGTGGAAGGTCGTGACACAGTGCCTGCAGTTTTTCTGAGTCCAAACAGTGTTCCTGCATCGCCTCAGCGTCGCAAACGACGAGCATCACCAGCTGGACCATATCGTTCGCGTATGCGGCGAACTGTCAACCATTTTACACCCCAACCTATTCTACCACCTGAACGTGATGGTTCTGGTTTACTAACAGAAATAATCGCTGGTAAATTTCTCTTCTTGCCGCATTTATATTTTCTTGTGCTATATTCGAATATATAAATTCTACGTAACTATCAATTCACAGGCCTACCAACACCAGAATCTGACGTTTTATCACATTTGGATGAACCACGACAGCCACAAATCAACATTGGACGGGACCATCAAGCAGAAATACCCGAATTATATAACGACCGTGTTGACCTCCATCGAGGTCCTGAACAACTTCTCTGGGACCCTGGTATCAACGATTGTTTAGACGACAATGAAGGTGAGCTTCATAATATATATTATTACTACCACTTTCTACCAGCTTCGCTTACGATATACGATCCTTTACAATTTCAAAAAATTAATTTAAAATATGAGTTACTTTTATCTTTATAATGTATATCATTAACTTTGATGGTTATCCTACGACATTGTTGCCATTTCCCTAAATAAAAAAGATTAGAAGTATTTTTAGACTTTGTATTCTAAATAATTATATAATAATATATTTTGATTTCAGTACGCATGTTTATGGAGTTAGCAATGTGCGCCGCTATGCCCGTAGGAGGACACACACGGGAATTCGCTCTACAAACATTAGGTGAATGCGGGGGCGACATAAGGGCAGCAACGTTACGCCTAATGTCACGACCTGCAGCACCTACGCAGCACGAATCCCGATGGGCACCTGATGAAGTTGAAGCCTTCTTAGCTGGACTAGGCCACTACGATAAAGACTTTTACAGAATTGCACAACTAGTAAGTTCTATAGACTATTAATTAAATTATCCCAATGGTTATTTTTACTACTTATTTTAATACAATAACGATTTGACATATTGTCCCTCCTTCCGATGACTACGTGTTCAATCATACCCACAGCAAGAAGTTACTTTTCACCCAGAAATATACGGTGTGTCCTTTAACTCTGATAATGCATACTTTTCATTAGCTCTCAAATAATTAAATAATTATAATACTTATAAACAACATCGTGCCACATATTAGCTATGTCTTTTTCTAATATCGAGAAACTTAGTTATTAAAGCGATGAATGGAAATTTAACCAGTAATAGGTATAATTAGTTACATCCCACGGGTCTGCATATGGTCATATTATGATATTGAATAGTCTATGAACTTTGTCAAATATTGAGCTATTTATTAAATACAAAAAGAATGTTTAAAATCCAATTGGAAGTTCCAAAGATTAATACGTTCAAACAATCAAACTTTTTCACTTTTTTATATTAGTGTAGAGTATACAAGTAGATTACTTAATCCTTACACATCTTAATTGTAGTAATAATAATTATAATTTCCCAGGTCTACTATATTTTTAAATATTTTTCAGGTACGGACAAAAGATTCGAAGCAATGCATACAGTTCTATTATTTCTGGAAGAAGGTGACCAAAGACTACAAAACCATGTATTTGCGGAGCTGGATCGCGGAAAACCAGACGTCAACACAAGTAAGCACCGCTTCAAATTCTGGACTGCAGCATTTTGTCTTCAGACTTGCTGAAGAATAAATGGGAATGGTTAATAGAGTCTTAATTTTCGCGACTTGTCTACATTCAGGGTACAGTAGGCCAAGTTTCGACGCACACCACAGCTTCATGTACATCATCGCCGACATCATTCGAAGGCGAGGAGTTCCCTTGCAAGATCTGCGGGAAGTAAGTGACAAGACGCGGAGCACGTCAGCATACCGCTTCCAAATGTCGGCATCGACAGCAAATACGCGCAAAAGCAATTTACGTGGAATACCATCGACACGTTAACATTACATCTCAATATAATGTAATCCACCCATTTCTGTTAAAATGTAACAATGTTCACAATAGGTTTCACATAAATTGCCTTTCGTATACGCATTAAAATAAGATTAAATGAGATTATGGATCTATATTTACAGCTTAGTAAAACTAACTGGAAAAAAAAAACGAAATTAAGTTATAAGTTAAATAAGCGTACTGATCCAGCGAAATGTTATTTATACTGTTATTAAAATATTAACATTTTCGAATTAAAGTGTTCAAAGTATTCGTTCATTTCCTGGATCAGTACCCGGGATTCAGTGTTATTGATGTTGATTGCATGTCAAGTTAATATTTACATTATTTCGACTTATAATAACTGTTTATTGGGTAATATTATAATGTAATATTTATTCACTATGACAAGGTCTAAGAGATATCTACCAGAATTTCCGTACTAGAGAACACTAAAACAAAATATGTTCATGAAGATAATACAAGAATAAAATATTTACATTATGTAGAATTGTAAACGACATCATCATAAATGATAGCAAGATAGATCGCCCATAAATGTTTGGTAGTCCTCGCAAAGATTTTGTTGTGATGAATAAATTATAATTATTTAACATTGATCATTGTAAATATAAATTAACGTATTTTTACTAAATTATATTAAGACAGTGAATTTATGTCCATTGCATAAGAATTTAATGGGATATCTATATTTTATTTATCATACTTATCGTAGGGTAATTTGACATGGTTTTGTGTAATATTGTTGTATGTATATACATTTATAGCACTAACGCTTAATGCTTTGCTTGAAGCACTTCTGCCTAAGTTTTTATTAATTTGATTTTTTTTTCGCTTACTTCTCCATTCTTCTTTTGCATATTCTAATAGTGTACCCTGTTATGTTTCAGAGTATTTAACAAAGTAAAAAGTCGTAGCGCGCACATGAAGTCGCATCGGCCACTAGACGCTGAGGCCAAACGGCCAAAACTCGAAAAGCCTTATGAAAAGGTCGAGAGATCTGATGAGAGGCCCTACGCGACAGCTGATTACCAAAGCAAACTGCCCGCACAGTAACCGACTTCTCACTCACTCATTCCACCCACGCACTTCTGTGACCCCCTCACCACTCGACTAATCGAAATAGACAGTAATCACTATCTATCCGCGTGCTCAGTGTTCAGCTTTATAAGCGTTAGCGGACGACCGCGCGGTCGCCGCCTGCCTACATTTGCGCCCCGCCCTCACCAAAACATTCAAGAGTGAATCGCTTGGAATCGGACAAAATGCTGAATCGTTTAAGCATTTACTATGATTACAAAATAGATTTATAGATTAAAATTAAAGTGATCTAGAAGAGAGCGACGTAGTGACTAGTAGCTAGAAGAAGTTAGCTTTTGGGTATACTGACGGATATTAGACAAAAAAGTACTAATTGTTTCGAAATTCTCGTAATGCTAAGCTTGAAGAGAGCGCATAAAGATATTTTGTATACCTAACGATTGATACATAGATAGATAGGTAGTTCTTCGTAAAGTTTTTATATGACAGACTTCTTAATGTGACTTGCAAGTGTGATGTTGTAAATAAAGATAAATCAGTAGTTCGTTGTTAACGCTACGGTTCAGATGGGCGAGGTCTACTCGATATATTGGTCTATATAAGTATTACAACTATATAGTTATCTACGTGTGATACATATAACGTGTAGTAACTACACTACCTCGTTTCTATTTTATTGTGAGCTCAGCTCACTATTTATACATTTGCTTGTTTGCTCATTAACGTGTTGTTATTTTGTAGTTTTCTTTTTTATTATTTCACTTTTCTAGATAAATTTTAATGCGCACTTCAAATTCAAGCGTGGAAACTGTTGTAAGTAGATAATGATTTGTTATGTATACGGAAATCGAATCATTTTCCGTACCCACTAGTCACATATCGATGTTATTTGTATTGCACAGAAATTAGATAAATTATCTGAGACGAAAACTTCTGTGAATTTAAAGGTTCCAGTCGGGTGATGCGATCACAAAAATACTCATTTTATTATGATATCATCGTATTAAATCATCTAAGAGCCTGTACACACACATTATAGCTCTATCACTAAGTTCCGAAATATTGTCCAATAAAAATATAAAAAGAGTGCATCTTCACGTATTCTCAGTGGGAAATACTTCTGACTTGACTATAATGACGACAGACTGTGACAGCTCTTGTAACAAACATCTCTCTTTAGAACTTAATTTATTTTTGTATTTTGCAAATAATACTTATTAATGCCATGCTATATTTAGCTATCTACTTATACAAAGAAATTGCAGTACCTAAATAAAATTTATGTAGTGCTTAATATAACAATACTTATAATAGAAATTCATACATAAATAATAAGAAAAATATTTATTTATCCGTCCGAATGAATACATAATTTAAAATTTACACAAATTCTGGTTCCAGTACGAATAGGTACAGAATGATCGTTAAATAGTGCAGGCATCTACTTATCTATTTATTCTTTATAAATATTTATTATAGACTCAAAGTTACGCTTATAAGGATTAGTCTTACAAGAGCTGCCTAAAATATTAAAAAATTCCACTGGAACCGACAATTTCACAGAAGTATACAAAATAACAAAATGGAGGGATAATATTTTTTTACACAAATATTATTGAAATGCTCAAATATTCTATATTTTATGTTGGTAATATTATTATCTAGTTCCTTGTTGATTGTTCTGAATATGCTATTATTTGATACTTAAATGTAGATTAATTTTTGAATGTACATTTATTTCTATATAATTATATATCTATTTATTAAATGTGAACTAAATGTGTACCTACGTGTTGTGATATATGTACGGTTTATTAATTCAACGTAATCTGTCTATGATTTGAATGAAACGTACTCACTGTTGAGCAATAAACGTGATTGCTCAAGTGTATCTTCTATTACAAGTAGGTAAGTACCTAATAACTACATTCGGCTCATTAGCTACTAACATTTTTTAAAAGTCACCTCCTCTCTTTCTATCACGTTCGAAATATCGAATAGATAGAAAAGAAATGGTGATTTTCATAAGATTTAATTTTAAAGAATGTTTGGAAGCAAAAGATCCCAATGTACTGTTCCACTGCGCCCAAATTCATTCATCTCTCATGTGACAAATATTTCGCGGTTGTGATGTTTTAAATCCGACTCATTTATTGTCTTCCGACATAGCTATGTGTACTTATTAATTTTGGGGCAGTATTCCTTGAAAAAGACATGTTATTTAATACCCTTTATTGTTTAATGTTATTAACAAATCCCTTTTAAGATTAACATTTAAATAAAGCGAGGTAAAAGCGTGTGACGCTGTCAGTATTATGATTGTAGAACCAATGGTTCATTGAAAAAAATATTGTAAATGTGAACAACATATTGAGAAAAAGACAACAGCTGTAAGTAAAACTGTAAAATAATTATAACTAATTAATTCTTCGGTTGTGCACTTAAAAGGGCTCCTTAAAGCTAACTACATCCTGTCAAATTCCACTAAAATTATTTTCCATATTAAACACGAAAAGTATGAAATTTGTGTTAAAAAAAAATAAATCCTACATACAAAATATTAAAATTTATTCGTAACACAAATGTTGCCAGTAAGTAGCCCTTCTTAACACGTCACAACGATTAATCTCGTTAGTTCTGAATACGTATTTCAAGTCCGTCTCAATATGTTGTGACATTATTTTATCTTGTAATGCATTATATAAAAAATATTTATTATTCTTCTAAAATATGTTCTTACGACGTGATTCGTTTTCCTTCCATGAGTACCTGAACAGACTTCTGCTAATTGACACTTGAATTTTCTTTAGTGTCACAAAACTGCTCTAGATTTTAATACGTGTAAGAATAATGCCAAAGTTAAATGCTATGAAACTATTCGTACATCACTAACTTGTGTGATTATTTGGTTGTGTTCTATCTTAACATTTAACATTTGTAGTAAAATTTTTCTAACGGTAAAAATATATATTAATTTATCAAATCGCCAAAAAAATATTGCCAAAGCTGTTGTAAAAATTACGCCATTTAGATGAGAAATAATGATAAAACGTTGGCCCATTAGAAAAATTTAGATCATTGCTTTAGGTTAATTAAGCGAAAGCTTCAATTGTAAACCCCAATAAAATGTATAAGTGCACGAACTAAGTAATGCGAAGGAGTGCCATTTAGTTTAAAATAATAAAATGACGTTTCAATTATTCAAATATAGCTCTATCATATTCGTAAATCGCTTAAACTTATTTGACAACATCAGAGCATACAAATTTATTTTCATAATGTAATAAAATTTAGTCATAACTTACAACTTATTGTGTAAATATTAAATATATTTTCAAATTAACTTTATTGTACCGGAGATAGTTCTATTTCATAAATAACAATTTATTAAAGACAAGTCCCTCCAGAGATAATTTGTAACATTACTCTAGCTATTAAGACTGAAAGGTACTCTCTAAATTCTGTAACTAATGTTGATTTGTTTAATGTTATATCCTATTCTGTTATTAGTTTATCGTTTATTAGTATAGTATCATGACGTCACTAACCCATTCCATGTGCCAAATCGTCATACTAGTCAGGGTATAGCTTTATAAATTATGCCCTAATTAATTTAACCAAATATACCTAATAAATAGCGAGAGATCAATGTGTAGAGTGCGCGCTCGATCGTCGGGCGTGTCCCTTAGATTTCATTAGGAAATAACTGCTGTAACGTATATAAAAAAATAATATTCACACAAACACTAAATTAAATTGTAAAATAAGATCGAAAATTAAACAATCTTATTTCAACTTAAATATAGAAGTGCCTTACAATTTTAGTTTTTATACTTACTGTTTTGTTTTGTCGAAATGTAACGTCGTAAGCTCTGGAAATTGCATTTATTTGAAATTCACTATCTGCTCTGCCCGTTCAGAACCGATACAATGTGAATCAGATTTTATTTCATTACTTATGTAAGAGATATTTTTCAGAAGTATTATAAACTTAACCTTCAACGGTTATTTTAAATTAAATATCATGTACTTATAAGTAATTACATAAATTAATGAAAAAAATGTCTACCCTTTTTAATTATTTATCAATAATATAATAAACTGAACGATAATCGAACTACAACCAAAAAACAAGTCAATTGTACGAAATTTCTATGGTGTAAGAAGAGAAAAAATTTACTTAAATACAAATAATGTAATGTAATTTAACAGCAGAAGGATACAGCGATGTTTATGTACGTAATCTCCCTTACGTTCGCTTACTACATCTAATTTCCCGCAGTCCCGTTATGGCACATAGTGTAAATGTAAGTACTTCTGTATTTGTGTCAACACTTAAGATGTGAAAATATGTTACTATAGTATTAATATTTTGTAAGTCTAAATGGATATTATATTCTTCTAATTTTGTATCGAATAAAGAGTGTAGGCACAGGCGAGCGACAGAGCGTCGGCGCCCCTCCACTTCGATGTACTTAACGTACCTAATACGTATTGAACTTGTATGATACTGTAGACGGTAACATGCGTGCCAACAGCACGATAATTGATATTACACTCTGTGTTGTGATTTTGAACGTTCTGTAAATTACAAAAGTCTTTGAAATACTATGGAAACATTTGTAGACACCTCTTTAGATTAGCACAATTCTTCGCGTAGACACGTTAGATCAAAAATTACTAAGCAAGTAGATTAAACATTGATATAGGTAATCATTGGAAGGTGTAAGTGTGCGTATGAATAGATTCATTGTTATATATTCGATCAATGTGATTCGTAAGAACAACGAGTAACTCGAGCCTGTCCCCTCCCCCGCTGGGCGACTCTTCACAACTTCGCATATCCTTGAAACAATAAGTAATAAAATAAAACTCTATTATATATATATTGATAAATTTATTAGGGTAACTAATTTTTTAAGACAATGACTATTACGTGATCTTTTAGATTGTCTTTATTAATAAATATATGGTGAAGGTTTTGTCAATTTGTTTTTATTTTTAACCTTTCTCCCTAAAGTATTGATTTAATAAAGCTTTTTTGTCGAATACAATGGAAAATTTAGTTCGTATGACCTTAAAGAGACAAAGTGAATATTTCGGATACTGATACAATAAGTTGATGAATTCGAAGTTTCAATGGTTATTGAAGGTATGTGTATACATATATATATATGTATACATGTATATATATATACATACATATATATATATATATATATATATATATATATATTTATATATATATATATATATATATATGATGTCATGTTGAAAATTGTAAAATTAAATTTGTTAATTCTAAATCAAACATGCAATAATATTTTAATCACAAAAAAATTAATTATCAATCGTATTCACGATCCGTACCCGACCCAAAGGTCCCCATGACACTTGCGGCATTTCCGCGTTGGATTGCCAGAGATATCCTTTAAGTCAGATACGAACCGGAGCGATCATGACCCCTATCCGCAATGCGCAGACTCAACTCTCTTATAAAGAATTTTGCTTCCGCTCTCCACACGCCTGTAGTCTCAAAAGCAACGGGAACGAAGATCATCATACATTAAATTATATATATATATAGAGGTCAGTTTATGGGCGACGATACGATTGATCATTAACTTGATCTTTTCTACTTATAGACTAAGTCTTGCCAACGACAAAAATATGCATACCATATCGGGACTAAATCAAGGCAGATTTAGACTCAGAGCACATAATAATGAATTAAATCTCTTAGTACATTTAAATTAAACAACAACAAAAATTGGTACTGGTCTGAAAATACCTTTTTAATTTTTTAAGCAATTTGGAATTGCAAACAAGCTGACGTAATTAGTATTTAACGTTTATAACAGGTTATTATAAATGAAAAGAAAAATCAATTTCCATCCGTTTATTAAGAACATTGTAGACCACAATGAATACTTATCTACAGATCGATAAAACTCTGTTACTAACACGAAAACAAAATAGTGCTGAACAACAATAAAAATAAAATCATAATATATGCAATATTACAAACATCCGTCGGACAATTTATAATTCAAATATCTGAGATAGAATGAAACACGTCGTCTCACAGATCGTGACACTAAGATACTGTTCCTAGGCAGGACACGAAGATAAATTATTAGATATTGAAATAATGTATATATATATACACGCACACATATGTATTGCTGGGGGACAGTGGTACAATTTCAAAAATATAATCAAAATATAGGGGGGACAGGGATTGTTAGCAATGGGGTTTGACAGCCCCATTGCTAGCAATATGCCTTATTAGGTCGACCTCCACGTGGTTCCCCCTGGAAACCATCGTGAACAATTCTTGTTGAATTCGTCACGATGGACTAACTGACCTGCTTTATCCTCATCTATCATCCCTCACTGGTGCCCCGCCGGTGTATACCAATAGCACGGGTGGCGTTACCATTCCATTATCATCCATTAAAAAAAAAACTTAAAATATATATACCGCACGATCACATGATCGATAGTATAAGGATTCGAAGATTACTATCATTTTTCGATGCCATATTCCTTGGGTAAAATATTATACAATTTCGTTTACACCCTTGTATGCTTTATGCATCTCTTATTTTTTACACTTGTATCTTTTAGTTTACATATTTTTCCACAATAAAAAAAAAAAACTACTTCAATTGTATCTAAACCAGTTTTTTTTTTAAATCTAAACTACTTACGAACCGATTTTGATAAAATTTCCATGATACCAATCTGTAAGCATATCCTTTCAGATAAAATATAAGAATTTTGCAAATCGATTTCCAACTGACGAAGTTATGAGGTAAACATAAAAAAAATACAACCGAATTGAGAACCTCCTTTTTTTGAAGTCGGTTGAAAATAAATGTACATTGATTGAAGAAAAAAAGAATTACATTGTTCGTCTCGTACATAGGAACAGAACGGTCCGTCATGTAGATAACAGGTTACTGACTCACCCAACACCGGAATACAAACTAGAAGACATTCTATCAAATGTATTAAAACTTTGGTAGTTACAATTACATACATTCTATAACAAATATAGTCATAAAAATATTATTGCATTTCACAGACGAATACTTTATACATCTTTACATTCGTGGTACCGAAATAAAATGCGATAAGTACTGAAATGTAGCGAGGTGCGATTATTAATATAATTATTTAGCAGTTGAAAGACTTATTGTTTTTAATATTCAACATCGGCATTTAGTATTCCATTTCAAATATAATACTGCGAATTAACGTCATTCTTATAGACGAATTATCTTTCAGAGTTAAACAGTAACTAGCAATTTATTTTAAAAGTGTTTCTAGTCAATTATATTTTGTATTTAAAGTGTCGAAATTACCATCCTAATGTTATTTGTAAAAATTTTAGGTGTTTCCTTACTTAATCACGCTGAAATAGTTGAACAGATTTGTACGTAGTAAAAAACAAACCATATCCTTGGTATTTTAATATAATAACTACCGGTTTAATTATATCGAGAAAACTCGCCTAGTTTCAGGATCAATTCGTAATCCTTAATCATGAGCGGCCTGTGACGTAAGCGCAAGCCTAACAGCAGACCTCGGCGCACATATCTTTGGTTAATGGTACTTTTGGTAATTGGTACTTTTTATCGTAATTCGCAGGAAACCTGCGGATATGGCTATTAATGTATCAAAATTGTCTTTTACAAGTTTTCAGTTATATTTATCATCATATTTGAAATAGAGTATATGTAGCAATATCTTTTTAATATTACTGGAAGTAAACAAGCTGATCACCCCACCTGATGGAAAGTGGGAACCGCCTCTATAGACAGGAATAACACTATAGGCATCACAAAATACACTAAGATACAAGTACTGAAAGGTTTATCTCTTTGCTTATACTTGGTATATTTAATAAAAAAATGGTGCTTTTTTTTTTAATTGGCCGTATAAAATAAGACAGAAAAAGTAATAGGAACAAACATTTTTATTCTATTTATTGCGAAGATATTTTGATAAAAAGACTTAAGTCTCAAAACTGCCAAATAATTATTACTGGACTTAATATAACTACTTTCTTTTCGTTAATTACATTGCTCCATTTTCATTTTAGTCGGGTTTCGTAACATTTATTTACTTTTCGACTAATTCGAGCAATTTCACAGGTTACTCTGGTATACCTGACAATGTATTTGAGGACTTACATTTTCATTAATAACACAATACAAATCCTGAGTCTAATTTTGTAGATAAATGTTAAAGAACTGCCAACTCAATTTACTGTCAATTTATCACATGTTTATTTATAATCTATAATTTTACACAATAGACGAAGCCTATCTGTGCTCGCTTCTTTTGGCTCATCGAAAATGGAGCAATGCAAACTAAACGATTATAAAAAAAATGTGTAATTTGAAAATAACAAACCAAGTTTTATATAACAAACAATGTTAAATATATTCAATTATTACAAAAATGGACGTAGCAATTGTAAATTTACACTTATCGAACACTGTTTTAGAATGCCATAACATGAGATGTGCCACGTGATTTAATTAGCTTTTTTGAGATATGAGAATTTGTCCAACTAAGAAACAGATCTGTAAAATTAATTAAATTAACAATTCTTTATAATAATGTTATCATAATTATAAGAGAATATTTATTACATCTTAAATAAAGAATTTATTAGAATTTACAAAATAGTTTCTTATTCCATTTATTTTATTGCGCGAGAATAATTTGACTATTGTATCACGTGTTATATAAGGTTGCCACCTACACTCGTTTAATTATTTACATATTTTTTAATAAAACATTTCAGTAAGTAACAATTTACTTTACATACACTCTTAATTATTAAATATGAGTTTTGAATCGATTATTAAATTCCCTGTTGCCTCGATACGTTACCGTTAAAGTATTGGTAGCAACCTTATTGCTGGAGCACACGGCTGTTCGATGCTCATGTCATGCACGCAGTGCAAACCAATTTGAACTAAATCACCTACGTAATAAGAAACCATTTATCTAATGGACTAAATACAGAATTGGTGTCAGTCGTTCATTATTTCCTATAAGTGGTAGAAATGCAGTGAATCCTCTTCAGATTTTGAAGACACAATGAGATTAGACTATAATATAAACCTTACAAGTACTGACTTGCAAACATGGTAAAGTTTTAGTATTATCAACTCTATACATTCTCTCATACATTCAGTTATTGAAGTTGTAATAAAAACTATAGGTTGTTCAGCGCGTATAAACAATGAGAGGACTGTAACTATTGTGTTACTAAAAACTAAAACTAAAAACACGTTAATCATACTAACAAATAATATACAGTTTCCATTACAGTTGATAGTGATCAAGTTGAAATAAGAACGTGATATGAGAATCATAAATTGGGCCTGACATCTAACTATTTACAAATACTTCACTGCAATGCAGGTAAGTAAAGTTTAGTTAAAAATAATTTGATATATCATAATCAGGAATCCTATTAAATAATACTATTCTTAATTATGATATATAATCCATTATACTATTCATTCTAACTGAATAATTCTGCAAAACGCACAAAAATTGGAACTTGTTTAAAATATTCATTAAATTACAATGAAAATTGTTAATAAAAATAACATATTTCCGGCTTTGATTTCTTTATTTGAAAATCGTTCCACTTTTAAACAAAACTTTACATTTCAAAGTGGACGAACAGATAATGTTCACATACATATATATACACTTTAGAATTTATTCAAACCATTATTATTACTCACAATTCAGTACTCTGGAAGGTTCGAGGGGCCAATGCAATATTACCACTCATATAAACATTAGTCGGTGTATTGGCGGGCCGGTCACTCCAGCCGTCCGACCTTCTTTCCTTTCACCACATTCGGCTTGTTCTTTAATAGGCCTTTTCTCCTCTTTGACGTCTGAAATAGTATTTAATGTGGGTAATAACGGTAAACATAAAATTATTTCAATTAGTAAGTTATTTGCATGCTTCACCTAATAAAATTGACTAAATTTAATGCAATAAAAAATTCAGCAAAAAATAATTTGTATCTATATAATACATTTAGCATATTTGTTACATTAAGACATTAGTCTCAATTCATTATACTATCAATTATATAGGATATAGGAGAATAAATACGATTAGGATAGTAACGACATTATTCCCAAGCTATTAAGAAATTTTATAATTGTTTTTCTGTTAAAAATACATTAACAGCTCCATAAATTGATATATTTAAATTAATAGATACTATATCAGATAGTGTAATAAGCGGCTTAGAAAAACTACGTAAAAAAATACTAATAAAAAAGAAAGGATCTTATTCCGATTTTCTAGAAATTTAAGTCAGCCTATAAAAATATTAAAAATTAATCGAATAATTATAAACATTCAAAGTAAAAAAAAAAAACATGCAACTTTGATTTATAGAAACAATAGCTGCTTATATAAATAAATAATAAAAAAATATTATGGAACTACGTACAAGTACTTTAAATAGTACATATTATAAAAGATATTATGGAAATAGAAATTAGGAAAATCTATCAAGAAAATACAATAAAGACAGTTAATCTCTCATCTTAAATAAAAACAATATAAAGAATTATGTATCGCGTACTGGAGACTTGCTGTGAGGTAGTAAGAACTATATTAATCGTCGATGCTAGAAACATGATGTCTGATAAGATCCTAACTACAATGAAGATACAGTTGAACACGAAATCACAAGGTACAGAAGTATAACACCTTAGTACTTAAGAATGGCAACCACAGACATCATGGTATATTCTGTGATATCTATGACGTTGTTCATATCTATAAACAATTATTGTCACTTTCCAACAGGTAACTACCAACTTATTTGACATTCTACGCTTCGTAAAAAACGCATCAAACCTATAATATAATCGTAAGGGCCGAATAATTTAAACATTACATTTTTTACAAAAAAAGAACTATCTAAAGAGATTAGAAATAGGCAGCAAAATCCAAATTAATCATTTCAAAAATTGATTTTTCCTTTGTATAAGATCGCATAAAACACAAAAAGTTTTTTGTTTTTAATATTTACGAAAACTAAAATTTCACACATTACAGGCGATGCTACAACGTACATGCAATCTTAAATCTTGTCTTTTAGTAATTTCACATAATAAAATTAAAACCAATGTGACAGTAAGTACATTTTGACAAACGAACATGCATTATAACAAGCTTGGCACGCTACCTACGTGTCTAACCACAGCACAATGTTACTATACCATTGTTCCAGCTCCTAGTGCCAGCTGTAAGATGACATAGTTTTACTTATCGTAATAAAATCGTCAAATAGATAAATATCATTTGGACCATTACATTTCTATCATATAAAATTAAATAATTGCTCATAAAAAAAGCAATGACTAGCACTATACAACGTAGGTTCATCAGCTTGTCGTCGTCAACTTTAAATATTAACTTTAAATATTTATGTGGCAAAAAATATTAATTATTCTTACCTTTTTCGAGATCATATTTTTCGTGGAAACTGTTCTCTTTGACAGTGGCAAACGTGGACGATTGAACTCATCGGGTTTTTTAACCCTGGAACAAATCATTAACATAATATATTACATTAGCATCAAATATTGCATTACAAAAAGACTGTTATACTTTTACATTTTTATTATTATTTTTTCAGCCATTAACTATATACTGCTGAACATAAGCCTTTCCCATAAGAAGAGTTTTGCCAATAGTTACCACGCTTGGCAGGCGGGTTGGCAACCGCATGTTAGGCTTTTACAGATGTTTTAAGAGGGACGCTGCTGCCTATCCCTCCACCATAAGCTCTCTTAGTCGCCTCTTACGACACCCACGAGAAAGGAAGGGGTGACCTATTCCATGCTGAGACCGACACGGCGACATTTTACATTTTACTTCCTATATATTTTAATGTAATTTTTTTCTTAATTACTAGAAATGGTAAAGTTGGAGACATATGGTAGTTTATAAGTCAAGTGGTAGTATATAAAAATACACAAAATACACTCAGTTCCCATGCATTTCCATTACTTTATTTTGACAATACTAATCAGTATTAAAATTCGCCAGAGGGAGACTTTGCACAAAAGTCGATTGCTTGAGTACCTCTGTCCCATTCGTGTTTCTACCGTGAAGCAGTTATGTTTGCATGGCTGTGTTTCGGTTTGAAGGGTGGGATATGGCGTGAATTTACAGGGTACAGAGGAATAACACCTGAGTCCTCAAGAATGGCAACGCATATGGGGTATCATGGGCGAAACAGTATACTCTGTTATGTCCATGGTGCTGCTCATGTCTATAGGCGACGGTTACCACTTTCCATCAGGTGGGCCGTCAGCTTGTTTGCCATTCTAAGTTGTATATAAAAAAAAAACCGTTAGTAAGTATTTACGAGTAATAGATAAATAATTTAAGGCAGTTTACAAGTAGATGTACTTTATGTATTAAGAGGTTTCCGAGAAAAAGAACACTCAAGAGTACTAAAATAATATGCACACGACCATGATCCCCCAAAAATAATGAAAAAAAAAATGTAGAAGTGTGTAAATTTGTAATTTACCTGTATATCCTAACGAGCCAGTGCTCGGTTGTATAGGCCTCCTCGAGGTAGGTGAGTTTAAAACCGCGGTTACCGGGCAGGGCGCCGCGGGTACGATCGTACCCGGGCGGGCTGCCGCCACTGTCATACCTACAAGCACATACAAATTAAAATGCTTTCCAGGAAAAAAAACTACCTTAAATGACATAAAATAATACTTAGTTATCTTCATATTTCTTTTTCAATACCAAAAAACATTTATTTCTATTCTTAAAAGAAATCCAAGTCTTCTGGTTTATTTTATACTCTAAGATAAAATTAAACTCCTAGTTCTCAATCCAAAATATATACCTATTCTAAAATTTACGGACAACATATGCACTTTTAAATATGTTCGTAATTATTATAGTTATTATACTAACCTATAATACGATAATTTATACATTAGACAATTTAACATTGTTTTTGACGCTTCCGAGTCTACTCTATATTCACCCCTTTCTGTGAAATAATCAGCTTCCTGTGAACAAAAAAAAAGGTTAATACAGTTCAAAGCTATACAAACCATAGACTATAGACAGAAAGCGAAAGAAGTAAAAGATTTATTAAAGACTAACATTTGCCTGCAACTTTATAAGTCTAGATTTTAGAAGTAGGTAACCACTTCTAAATAACGTATTAAGATAAATCAGACACAAGATTTTATGTTATATCTTTAGAAATACAACTGTAAAAAAACGCATCTATTTTGGTGCAGAAGTTTATGCGCGATGGTGCAACAAACATACATACTGACAGACGATATTTAGTATTGTTTTGGCTTACATTGTTCTTATTAAGACCCCTTACAACAATTTTTTAATCTCTTATAAGTAGAAGTCGTTTATTTATAATTTTATTACATTAATAAAATGGGATGTAAGGGGTTTAATCCATTAAATTAAAAGAAACATGCTCGCTATTTCAATGTATCATCTGTGGCAGTTATAAATAAAAATTAGGAAAATCAAAACTCACATGTATATCCTTGGGATGTTCTCCCTCAGCGATCCTGACCATCCATATAAACTTATTTATATCGTCTCCCGAGTAGCCTATAGCGCCTCCGAATATGACCAGCACGTAGTCAACATCCAGTGCAGTCATGATCTCGTACGCAGCGCTCTCGTTGCTCGCCATCGCTTTGCCCACGAGCGCTATGTGAGAGTTGTTCCACGTGTTGTTGTCGACTAGCGTTGTCCTGTTTCCCATACCAGCGATCTGTAGATTTAATTATTTATTCTTTATTCATCATTGTACACAAAAATGTATTATATTAGAATAATAATTAAACATAATAGTGCACAAGGGCAAGCTTATTTCTAAAAAGATTTTTTCCAGCAAACTGACATGAGATAAACTAACAGTTAATTAGGAGTTACAAGCATATAGGTGTACCAATCGACTTAAATGTTATAGTTAAAAAGAAATATATATTTATATAAGTGAAATCAACGATAGGTATAAATATATATAAAACCGTTTAAAAATATATAATATAATAAACATATATAAAAAAATCAGTAATATATTATTTCTTTTTTATTTTATACATAAAAATTTAATAGTTACTCCGCCTGCCCTAATGACTTACACTAGCGGACAGAGTAACAGTCAGAAATGATAGGCGACGATAACACCTTATTCAGACCAGTTGGCTCATCACAGCGAATTCATTAGGAATTAACCGCGGTGATTTCTCAGGATGTCGCATAAGGGTCAACCAGATAGTGTATATTGTTAGTAATAAGGCCTACAATCGCTATTACCACATCTTAGTAGGGAAAGTATATTTTAAATAAATGCCACACAATTCTGATCCTCAATAATACTCTAGGTTATAAGAAACCAGACAACACACAATCCGAACTCAACCTAAAACCCCCAGACCCGAAACAATTCAGAAAAGTTTGTTTCTTAAATGTAGTCCTTAGAAGAACCTTATTATGCAAAGCAATAAAGGAAACTATTATTATACAAAATAGTTTAGAATTATTTACATAGTTAAAACATATAGTTATTTATATAGTTTCATACATTTCGTGGAATCAGCAACTAATGGTAAATAGCCGTTTATCTGCCAGTCAACCATGAATAATGCTGATATTGTTACAAGTTGTGTAGACGCACTTTATTATATTTATAGATATTAGTAGTACTGGCAAGACCAACAACACCAACATCTAAATGTCTTTCCAGTTTCTATGAGGCGAAATAGGATCAAGCAACGATTCCATCATGTAGTCAAGTAATTACTTGACTACTAATTAATAGTTTGCTATAATTATTTATTAAATGCAAACAACACAAACTTACCTGATATCCATAGTCCCACCAGGACATTACTCTGGCATCCTCCGCAGTGTTTTGTGATAACCAACCATATGCTTCTCTAAAATCGTCCAAAATTCTACGGGATCTGTTAAAAAAGTTCATTAACACCGTTAATAAACATATGATAAATTTGACTACGTGTATGAAATCTAAAATACTTAAAGTTTTTTAAGAAGTTGCATGCCCTTAAAAATTAAACTTAATTTTACATTTGATCATTAGATATATTAAATATAAAAAATTAAACAAATAATTGATTCATCTGAACTTTATACTTACCCGTCGTTACCATAACTTGCAAGTACGATGCTAGGACTTGAATAAGCATTCGAAGTGGCCCAAGTACAATGGACGGAAAACAGCATCAGCAGGATCATGAAGGCTATCAACGTTCCTGAACGCACGTTCATACCAAGACCAGTATCAGCTGGAGGCGTCGGCTCGTGTGTCCGCTTCCTTAATTTACCCGCCTGCAAAGTGAAAATAAAAATTCAAACTCACCACACCATACATCAGAGCAGTATGATTATGATTCCTGTGCATGAAATCATAACCTCATGCACTGTGTAATTTTTTTTAATTCTTTAATTTTTAAAGTATAAACAAACCATTATAACTGGGAAACAAATCGTCTCGAATAGATAATAACCCTGTAGAAACAAATTTATGTATATTGTATTATGTATACTGTATTTGTTGTTGCAAGAAGTCATACCATCCAGGGAGACAGTGAACACAAAAATATTGTGGAATCAATAGTGACACAGAACGATAAAAAGGTTGGAGACAAGTATTTTCCCCTATTTTTGTATACATTTTGAAATGGCAAATGGGAAGAGAAAGGATTGTTAGTAATGGGAACTTGTAGCTTAATTGCTAGCAAGCCCTGTCAGGTCGACCTCCACGCGGTTTCCCCTGAAAACCATTATGACTAATACTTTCTGCATTCATCACGATAGGCTAACAGACCTGCTTTTATGCTCATCTATCATCCCTCACTGGTGCCCCAGTGTATACCGATAGCACAGGCGCGAGGTTAAAAACATAAAAGAATGCATAATATAATAATACCTTATCATACAAATTTTTTGATTCATCAACTTCTATAGGCGGAGCGGGTAATTCATCCTCTCGGAGCACCAAATCGAGTAAGATTGAGAACGCGATGCCGGAGAGGACGCACACAACGGGCGTCAGTGTGAGCATCAAACGGACCATCACGCCGGCAAAGTACACAGCGCTTAGTGCGTAGAGAGCGACTGTAAAATACCACTATCATCAATGTATTTATAATTTTTTCTCTATTAGGTAAAGAACATATCGACGTTTAACTACCAACACTTTCTAACTCACATTTTAAAAATACATGTAGATTTTTTTCTAACATACAAATCTTCTTTTCTTTGTTACATAGAGAAATAATTTTACTTTAATACTAGCTGACCCCGTAAACGTTGTTTTACTACTTATTGCGGAATATAAAAATCGCAATTAAAATACAGGGGTTGATCGTAAAACGATGAAAATTTAAAATTGTATGTATTTTTCAATGCTAAATTATAATAAAATAAAATTTAAAAAAATTATCAAAAAAATTTAAAAAAAAATATTTTAGGGTGGGTCACCCTTATCGTTGACGGGTATGAAAAATAGATGTTGGCCGATTCTCAGACCTACCCAATATGCACACAAATTTTCATAAAAATCGGTAAAGCAGTTTCGGAGGAGTTTAGTAACAAACACCGTGACACGAGAATTTTATATATAAGATATTGAGAATTTACTAAAGTTATTAATTTTAAATACTTTTTATTTGGAATAAGTTCAAAATTCGGACATCATCAACATCTCTATAGTAAAATTTATCCGGAGATACCGATATGTAGTTAGGAGATATTAAAATAGTTTTTTTAATAGTCATTTTTATGCGCACCACAAAAAAAATTCAATCAGTTTTCAAAAATCAAATATACACAAATTTAATTTGTTTATTAAGTTATATAAATTAATAAACGGATAGGATACTTGTATTACATATTTTTTACTTCGATCTATTTTGAAACTACTTCACTTTAAACTTAATAATATATTGGAATAAGTTGAAGTAAATAACACAAAACAAGTTATAAATACAATACAAACTTTTTCATCAATACAAAATATAATTTAAATTATTCTAACAATTTGTAAACATAAATCTTTCACCTTGTATTTAGTATAATATTATTATGATATCCCAATTGATGACGCCTAATTCTATCCTTCTAGTCTATTACTTTCACCTCGGAATCGCTTTATAGCAATGAATAATAAACTAAAGCAAATAATCGCAAAAAAATGACCTTAATACATGTAAATATATTTTTTGTTGTTTTTTTTAATGATCGCTTGCAAAATCTATAAAAACGATTGCATGTTCTAATAAAATATAACTGCAATTACACAAAAAGCTAATAGTAACGTTGTTATAGTAATAATCACGAGTGCAGGATAGATTCCCATTTTTTGTTCCCTAAGAAATATTTTTATGTGTAAATATATTGCACATGGGTTTTTCTCTCTAAATTTTTAAAATATTCTTAGTACATTTGATGCAACTCTAGCAATACTTCAAATTATCTTTATTGACAATTAGCTTTTTTTTTATTTGATTTGATATCCAGTCACTGATGTTAAAATAGTAATGTGTTAATTCTTAACCAATTAAAAAAAAGAGGTTTACAATTTTACTGTTGATTTAACGTAAATGAAATTATAAAGTGTAATAAAATAGAAAGCACAAACACCTATTTTAAAAAATTCAAGAAATTCGAACTGTTAAGATAATTAATGTAGATAATTATAAATTAATTCTACATGGATTGTTTAATATGGAAATTGATAGCAAAGCTGATATTCTATACTACATTCTCAATTTTAATGAACGTGTAAAATTAACCAAAATCCTTAAGTGCTTTTAATATCATATATCGTAATGAGCTGAAATTTATTATTATGTTTATTATTATTATGGTATTTAAATTATTGGGATAAATATTATTTTATGTAACTATGGAATTACCGACATTGATTCACATTTCGTTTCTATTAAATCATTGTTTATATTTAGGTATCCGAAGTTATATATATATATATATATATATATATATATATATATATATATATATATATATATATATATATATATATATATATATATATATATATATATATATATATATATATATATATAATATTTGCATTACTTACGACACATAAAAACAGATAAAAATAAAGATACACAAAAAAAAGATAAAAGAATACATATACAAAAAAAGGAAAATACATAAAAGAATTAATATATTTTTTTCCTTCTGTGTATGTGCCAACACAAAATGATCACAACTCAGTTTATTGCTTTACCTTCAAAAGAACAAAATACTGATATTCTATTGTAGCCAAAAACCAACCGCGAAATTCCCTAAATAAAGGATATTTCTATTGTATATAGGTTACTCTATTATATATAGGCTCTATTGTATATAGGCTACTCATTCATTATTGTGTTCACATAGTGTTAATGTTGATGCAAAACTGAAATTTACTATTTAATAAGGTAAAAAGACTACTCATTTTCATTTAAACATAACTTTTATACACAAAATAAACTATGCTATTTGTCATACCATATAGGTAAATGCAGTGCAAAAATGGCTTATAGCGTTCAGTCCTTATGGCATTCTATAGGGAAGTCCTAAGTGGATAATAAATCGTTGAAACAATAATAATAATTATGAAAGCACTTACCAAAAACCCTTTCATCGTTGACATTTTTGATGCAATACCACAAACCGACAGGGAACGTGCATACGAGGACGTGGAGATCAAAGAAGAATGAAGACCAGGTAGTCGGCTGGTGTTCCGACACGGACGCGATAATTGGAATGTGGATCTTTGCGTATGCCGTATCCCAAAGTGAATAGAAACTGTAAGACAAAATTAGGAAATGTATTTGACAAAAAAATATACCTAAGTGATGACCTGTCAGACAAAGGGAGGGAGAGTTTGTACAAAAGTCATACTTGGCTATCTATCGGGCCTGGGTACCTTTGTCCCATTCGTGTTTCAACCGTAAAGCAGTTGTGTTTGCATGGCTGTGTTTCGGTTTAAAGGGAGAGATATGGCGTCTGAACACCTGAGTCTTCAAGAATAGCAACGCATGGGGGGTATCATGTGCGAAACAGTATACTCTGTTACGTCCATGGTACTGCTCATGTCTATAGGCGACGGTTACCACTTTCCATGAGGTGGGCTGTCAGCTTGTTTGCCATTCTAAGTTGTATAAAAAAAATCATTTTGAAAGCATATAAAATTTCCCTTTATGTTTGCATCATCTTCTTTGACTTTCAAATCCGACGAAAATATCCGTAGTGTAAATTGTAACCCAGTTATTATAAAAATAAAAAAACCTTTTAAATTGCAAATTACAATGTACAACTCACACAAAGAAAAATTTTGTTTACAGACAAAATGTCCACCGTCTTACTTACTAGTCTTCAAGGACCACCAATTTACACAAGAAAAGAATCCTAGCAAAATAGTGCTTCGGCCGACTCTACTAGAGTTTCTTACAGAATAATTATAAAAGTCAATAATTCATATTCCCATGCATTTTCATAGTTAAACAAAACAAAGTTTTATAAGAGTAAAGATTTTTTTTTATTTTATTGCAAATTTTTTGCAACAAACATTTAATGCAACTTAGATTGATTAACAAGTTGACAGCCCTTCTGATGGAAAGTAAGTAAAAAAAAAAAAATATATATATATATATATATATATATATAAACAGCACCTTGGACTTTACAGAATGTCATCACACTGTGACACACATTGTAGTGGGAAAGAGATTGTTAGTATCTAGCTAGCAATATACTCAGTTAGGACGTCCTCCACATGGTCTCCTCTGGAAACCATTCTGCTGAATTCCAATCGTCATGATAGGCTAACTGACCTGCCTTTTCATCTTCACCAATCATCCCTAACTGGTTCCCCGCCAGCGTTTAACGTTAGCGCAGGCGAGGTTACCATTCCATTATTATCCATTAAAAGACGCCCATGGTATTAGAAGCTGAAAGATCTATATTAAAATATATACCAACCGTCCACTCCAGGGTGCAATGACCCCCATATATGTTAGTAGCACAACCACAATGAAGACCACGGCAGCGGCAATCAATCCACCAACTATGAGCAATTGCTTCCATTGGCCCTTAGGATTCAAACTGTGTAGGTACTTGAGAGCACCAATAGCCATCAACAACGCAAACACACCTATGAAATAAAAAAAAAATTAATCCAACTTCATATATAGAGAAGGAAGAAGAAGAATCTTGAAGAAGGGTCTAAATATGACTATTTGTGTATATTTTGATAATACTTTTAAGAATCGATAGGATTTACTTTTATGTTAGTTAGTACCATTACTACAATAATTTTATCATGATTTTAAATGATTTTTAACCAGCTTCAAAAATAAATAAGTAATAAGCAATTCAGTTGTATTTTTTTATCTTTGTTACCTCATAACTCTGTTAATTCTAAATCGATTTGTTAAATTCTTTTTTTTATCTGAAAGAATATACTTACAAATTAGTCCCATAGACATTTTTTTTTTATACAACTTAGAATGGCAAACAAGCTGACGGCCCACCTGATGGAAAGTGGTAACCGTCGCCTATAGACATGAGCAGTACCATGGACATAACAGAGTATACTGTTTCGCCCATGATACCCCCCATACGTTGCCATTCCTGAGGACTCAGGTGTTATTCCTCTGTACCCAGTAAATTTACGCCATATCCCACCCTTCAAACCGAAACACAGCCATGCAAACACAACTGCTTCACGGTAGAAACACGAATGGGACAGAGGTACCCAAGCAATCGACTTTTGTACAAAGTCTCCCTCTGGTAAATTTAATCGGTTTAGTAGTTTAATTTTTAGATTAAAATAACTGGTTTGAATTTTTTTTTCTAAGACAATCTTTAATTATTATAATACAAAATCTTTAGTTTTAAATAACTAATAACTCTTTTCTATCTATAATAGTGAAATGACAATGTATAAATAAAACTGAATTACTGACAAAACTACTGGACCTAGAAAATTTTGCATGAACAGAATTTTTATATAAAATACACAATAATATCCAATAAGAAAAGGTTTTTGAAAATTACTATGTTAATGCAAGACTCAGAAAAAGCTCTACACAAGCAAAGTTTAAACTAGTTTAAAATAATCAAGAACATAATCAAGCATGTAATTTCTTTAACGAAAATAAATATCTAATTATAGAAGGTACTAATTCAGTGTAACACAATGTAAAATATATTTTAAGAAATTGTACATGGAACTAAATAGCAATTATTATAGCTTATCAATGTTTTATGCGATTTTATGAAATATTGTTTTGTAAGGCCCTAATATCCATATAATAGTTATGAGCCATGAAGAACAGTATTAACTGCTAACTTTATTTCCTGAAATACTAATGATGGATAGTTTGAAAACAACATTTTTATTACATATTATTTTAATTGTATCAGCCACAAACTATCTACTGCTGAACATAACTCTACCCAATAAAATAAAAACAAACAAGATATTAGATAAATTTTCACAATAGTAACTATTATAAATAACTAGCAAACTTAATACTGATTGCCCATTTCAATGATATATAGATAAAGAAACAAAATTGCAAATAAATCAAATTTAACAATGATTTTCTATAATCTTAATCATTATGAATTATCAACACAATTTGTATGTAAAAATAGTGGAAGAAATTTTTATCGCATAATAAATTACCAGTGTTATACAAACACAACTGCTTGGTCATCAAACAGTGACACCCTAAATTAATAGAAGAGGAAGGGATTGCTAGTAATAGGAACTAATTAGAATTATTGCTAGCAATATATCTTATTAAGTCGACCTCTACACAGTGCCTCCTAGAAACTATTATGATAAATTCCTGGTAAATTTGTCAAAATGGGTGAACTGATCTGTTCTTGTCCTCACCTATCACAACACTGGTACCCCACCAGAATATATTGACAGGGCAGGTGTTACTTTAACGTTACATTTAATTTTCAACATAAAAAACCCTGTCATAATATATAAATCAGAATGTTCATCCATTCTAATCTCTGAAACTGCTTCATCATTTACAGGTACAAAAGTTTTTATATACAATAAGAAAAATGGACCTGGTAGGTGGGAGTAGCAGAAAAGACAATATTTGTGTAGTATTTAATGAACATTTGGATGCATAAATCACAACACTTGCCATAAAAAATAACTAATTTGATTTTACTTTTAAATACTAAAAATAATCAAGACTCAATTAATCGATTTCACCCCAATCAAAATATGTAATAATTACACATTCAACATTTTAATATAATGAATTAATCATTATATTAATAAATAAAAGAAAAGGAAAAATTATAATGTAAAAAAAAAATATTATTAAGAATAACCTTTAATAAAATTATCTTACCCGATGCAGCCATGTGTTCACTGGTACGAATTGGTTGAAAGCCAACAAACGGTATCTGCATAGATAGCAATAAACCAACAATATAGAAGACACTGTAGCTGACAAACAACCTCTGTGAGAAACGTCCCATGATCAGTAGCACAAACACATGAAGTGGTATCAAGTTGATTATAAACACATAGCCACCCCATGCTGATACCTAGAAAAAGAATGATCAATAATGTGAGACCTAGAATTGTTATTAATATCTTGCCAAGACAACAGATTTATTATAAAATTAAAAAGATTTATTATAAATAAAAATATTGCAACTACCTTTTCTATTAAGGCAAATAATATAAAAAACCAAAGAAATTGGAAAGCATAACAATAGCATCAAGTGACAAAATTATACTTAAAAAGGATATTTTATTTGTACACAGAGATATAAAAAAGAATTATCTAATACTTTTTTTTTATATTCATAATAAATTGGTTAAATTGATTTAAATAACATTATTTATATTATGTATCTTATTTATCATTTCAGATAATAATAAAAAAATAAATATTTTAAAATTATTTATAGGATTACACTCACCATATAAAAATATGATAGTGCAGTACAGATAGACCAGAAAATAGATCCACTTTTGACACTCTTCAGCCATAAATAATATGTGAACTGTAGAGCAAATATGGCAATACCCTCATTATCATAACTTCCTGCTACAGATCTACTACTGTATCCAGGTATTATAGCTATAAAACATGCTGCAAACAGACCGGCACCCCTGGACCACAGTTCCGATGTCAAAAGGTATGTAGCTATTGCTGTTAGTCCACTAAAATTGAAAAACGCAGAGCATTATACCTTAACCAGGTTATACTAGTTAACAATAAAAAAAATACAACTAATTCTAACAGTACACCTAACATACTTTTGAAATGGCTAACAATAAAAAATAATAAAACAATAAAGCTGCTTCTAACAGTATCTCTGAAGTTCTTTAGAAGTAATTACAATTACATATTCTAAACATATTTATAGTTTTATAGTAATCACACATTTATGTTCTGATTACCATACTCAGTCTATTACATTACTTCACTACAATTACAATGATAAATATATAACAAAAAAGTTTTACATATTTGATATATTAAATCAATGTTTAAAACCATTCTTACACATTTAGTATATATACATTAGTAGTTAATTAATATGTATACATTAGTAGATTAATAAATATAAATTAATTTATACACAAACCTGAATACAGGCGCCAGGAATACACAAATATCTCGTATATGGATAGGAATATTCAATGTGTGTAATATCCAATGTATTGTGCCTGAAGTGATCATCAGTCCAGGATACACAGTCCCGCCGACAATACGTCCCAAAGGGTACCATGCTCTCTCGTCAAACCAATTGAGGAAATTATAAAATCCATGCTGCACCATGTACGCAGTGGAGCGATAGTTGAACCTGGAATACCGTATACAGTTACCACATACCACCTCCTAAATTGAAGGTTATTGCATCCTCGACATCGAAAATATACTCACCATGGGTCAAACTCATGAATTATACTCTCGAAGCGTATAACAGCAAATAGCCGAGACGCAAAGCCGGCCAACCAAGCTAACGATAGCACTGTGACTGTGATGAGGGTGCTGAAGCCGGCAGTATTATTAAAAATTCCCTTACTACGGCCGTTACCCGGTTTAGCAACGGCGGTGGCTGGCATCTTCGTATTCGTTATCACTAAGAACTATCCTAAATAATCACAACAATTGTATTTTCATACATCAGTTCCAGCAATTCGATTTTATGAAAATTGACTTTACGTCTCTGAGGTGACGGACACGTCTCTCTTTGACTTTTGTTGCCAATATAAAAATTTATAAATTGAGGTTCAAAAAACATAAACAAAAAAGGAAAAAATTGTCAGGTTCTCATTTGTTCTTTTTATGCAAACAATGAACAGGAAATATATTATAATTCCACCGTAAAAAGCAAATTTGAAACAAAATAACATAATAAAATAAAATCGATTGAAAAATTAAGTCAATCGACTCTATTTTATTGATACTTTGACAGTTGTTTGACAGCTGTTTGTTGACGTTAACATAGTTATTCTTAATTCCTAGCTATTATTGTAAATAAATCGTGTAAAGGCAAATAAGGATAAATTTAATTTATATTTTACGTTTTATGAAACTTAAATAGTGAATATAATGTCCAATTATCAAGAAATTGTAAACTTAAACGTAGGTGGTACCAGGTATTTAGATACAACTTTTTTACATTAGAAAGTGTGTAACTTTGTCATGTATATAGTATGCAAATATTTTTACCGCGTATTCTAATTATATTTCTAATAATACTAAACTACGTAGTTCTAATTAACTAACAAACAACCTTCCCAATTCATATATTTCTTTAAACCAACAGTAGTTCATTTTATACGACTTTTAATAATATATTTATATTAGGTAGCTAGATTTAAAAGTTATACCCTTAAATTTCATCTCTGTTTACATTTTGTCTGCTTTCATTCATATATGACCTAGAAAATTTATTATAAGTCTTAATACACTATTAAATTTAATAATATTTGTATCTGAATTACAGATTTGCCACTTCTTGGCATACACTGACGTGGGTACCTGATACTTTTTTCACTGCATTATTGAGTGGTCGAATACCTACTGTGAGAGATGAGACTGGCGCTATATTCATAGACAGAGATCCAAAACTATTTGGCCTTATTCTGAATTTCTTGAGAACTAGAGACATAGATTTAAACAATGTCAACATAAGAGCACTGAGACATGAGTGTGATTATTTTGGTATAATGCCATTGAGCAGGAGGCTGGCTTTATGTGATGAAATGAATCATTCTTCCTGTGGAGATGTATTGTTTTATGGGTACTTACCACCACCATGTAAGTATCTTTACTATATATAGATATTTTTATTGGCTATAATATCTGATTTTAAAACTCTATATAATTTCTATATATTATCCTTACTATGTTATTCATTTATTTATTTTATTACATGTATAAATTATATAAATTAAAATATAATAAATTTCTTATTATGTTTCTTAAAAATATGGTAGTAGAAATAAGTATAGAGTTATATAAAATGAACACATGTTTTTAAAATAAAAAATGCACTGTTCCTCTTATTTTATAGTAAACACACCATTACCAAATAATAGCAATGGCAGAAATGGTAATGGATCAAGAAAAAACTCTACAGCGTCGAGCTCAGATGTTTCAACTAATAGAACTCATTCTAGAAACTCATCACTTGATCTGCGAACTGTTGGGAGGATACCATCTCAAGATCAACTAAGGTAAAGATTAACTTTATACAGAAACACTGAATGAATCCAAAATTGAAAGCTACACTAATAAAAGCTAAAATTTATATTTTTAGGATTCCATACCTCCAAAGGAAAAAACGGAACCCTTATAGAATCACTTTGTTGTCTTTCTGTTCATCTATGATAAAGAGAATCAAAACCTATAGGGTACTTTCCTTTGACCTAAAATTATGAAATTTGACAAGAATAATGTCATGTAGCACAAGAAAAGGGAAAAATCCGAATACTGTAAATTTATAGTAATTAATTAAAAAAAAATAGATGATTTTGTACAGAACAATCGTTACGCGAGTCCGACTCACACTTGAATGGCTTTTTTTATTAGTATTCCTACATGAAGAAGTATTACAAGTTTGCGCATATGAACTTTTCTAGCCTATATTGGCTAAATTATAAAAAAAAAATAGTATAAATTTTTTTATATCTGTTTTAAGATGTTTCCTTATACATTTATAAAAAATCCACATAGAAATAGACATTGTCTTTCAACAGTCTATGTTTGTTGGTTAGATAGAAATCTATGATAAATAATTTTTATTGTTAATTGTTTATTTCACAATTAAAGTATACTCATTTCATATCACTTGCAAGTGATACACCTAGTGTTGCAAGCATCTTTAAACTGTGATAACTATTTACAATGAGATAAACCATGTACAAGGCTGTTGCCTACATCTTTGTATAGAAAAAAATAAAACCTTTTAAAGCTTTTTGTTTGTTTTTTTTTTTATTTATCTACTTAAAAAAAAAACAGCAAAAATATATGCAAAGAAAAAGAATATGTATTATTTATAAAAAATTGTATGGTTTTCTTTTGTTTGTAGTCGTTGTGGCAGAGGTCATTCACGCGCCGCATCCTTAGGTAATACAGATTGCCACAAAGGGCTTCGTCCACCTGAAGGTATTGTATCTTATTATTTATTATATTATATGTTTATATTACATTCTTTATGCGATAGTTAATACAAAAAAAATTATTTCCAGTAAACACATGGGCTGAGAGCATGAAAGTTCAAATTATAAAGGCACACCATAATTGGGTAGCTGTTGCATATACACATTTCGTCACAGGATACAGGTAAGTTAATATAAATCATTTATTTATAAAAGTCTCATAAAATTAATTACTATTTTATCTTTATCTATCTTTTATTTCTATCATTTGAGTCAAATTGACCTCATTATTATACTTTTAAAGAAATGTTCTGCCATATATATTTCTGATTGAAAGTACACAACATATTTAACTATGCAATGACCCTTTATTTACATTACATACACTTTCAGATTAACCGACTCATGTGGATGGTATGTTGTTTTCCAATCACCTGTTCAAGAGTCAGTAATTGAAAGAATAGCACTGAATGCCAAAACAGGTGGTGGTGCCAACTCCAGCGGTAATAATTCCGCCGGAACAGACGTCATGCTCGGTATAGCTAGTGGACCACTCGTAAAATTATGGGCATTTTCCACACATACAGAACCCGTTAGAAGAACTTTGATTGGTGAGTGTGATATTTTTATATATAATTTGTTTCTTCCAATATTGAAAATATTTTTATGGTTAAAAATGAAAAGATAATATTCGTCAGGATAAAAATATTTCTAATTTGCCTAAAACATTTAATGATAGATATTTTAGTGGATATGGTCGCTAATCAAACACCAGCGCAAAATCTCTTAAAGTACCGCTAACTTTGTTTCCACTCTAAAAAAATTGCCGTTGTAAATAAAATATTTTCATAGAAAAAAAAAATACTAAAAAGTAATAATATTGAAAAAAAAGAACAACTGTATCTGTACCAATGGCACTACTATAATAATTACTATGTACATATCTCATATACTGTAGTGCCAATAGTATATATAGTTTGTTTTTATTGTCAAAAGTAAAATTTAAATAAAAATAAATAAATAAATTTAATATAAAAAACGTTTCTTAGAAATATTTTTTTTCAGGACTCTATTAATTTATACTAACACTAGTTTTAAAGAATATGTTAATAAACATACTGTATAAGCTACTTCCAAAATGACACAAGGAACAATCCCGAACCATTGATTCTATGTAATACACTTGAGGTCGTCACTCTATGTAGTGAGAATTATCCTACAATGCATTTTCTTATATGAAGCAAGTACTCGAAAACCTTCCTATTTGTGTAGGTACATTCAACTTAGGTGTTCGAGTAGAGCATCTACTGTTCGTGGGCCCACAATTGGTAGCGCTAAGTGGTGCTGCGAGCCGCAGCAAGGCGGGCGTATGGCACACTAGCACGCAACACTGGCAGACGCAGGACGTCGCGCACCTCACCACTTACGACACCGCCGGCTCCTTCCTGTTGCTGGGCACTGCCACTGGTGCCATAAACTATATTGGTATGTTTATACACAGGATAAAAATTACAGTAGTCCAAGGAAGTACCTATTTATATTGTGAAAAGCATTATCCTGACTGATGCTTTTTTAGATATAATATGGGTATTGTTTATAGCGGCTAAATTGAAATACAGGTGATGAAATTGATCTTTTGCGGTCGGAATTCTTTTATAATTAATAAATTAGACTTGTAGGCCCACCTCCTATTAGCGGCGATACTTACAGGGGGAATTTTTTAATGCTCTTTATTTCTTGTTGTTAAATAATCGCAAAACACATTCAAAACCTTGCAATATTAATAAACTAAGTAATGTAAATATTTGTTTTATTCTAGACATGCAAAAGTTTCCACTCCGGATGAAGGATAATGATTTACTTGTCACTCAGTTATACAAGGATCCAAATCAAGAACCTATTACTGCGATATCTGTGTACCTGACACCGAAAACGAGTAAGATTTATATAAATACATAAATATTATTTTGTTTTTAAGAAAAATATTTGTTTCAGCATAACATTTGTCCCACACATTGACTTAACAAATATAAAAAAAATATATAGCCTATGAACAAAACAGAAAATAAAAATGCTAATTTTAAAATAAAGAAATAAATAGTGTGTTTTGGAGTGCCTCGACCTATTAATTTTTTTTATGTAATATAACATTATATTTTTACTAGATCTATGCGGTAACTGGATCGAGATCGCATACGGGACTAGGTATGGATCAGTACGCGTGATCGTACAACACCCAGAGACGGTCGGCCACGGGCCACAACTCTTCCAGACCTTCACCGTACACCAGAGTCCTATTACGAAAGTATGTATGAAATACAATTGTTATGCAAATATAATTATTAATTACTGTATAATTGAAAAATTTTCAAAGAGGGAGTGGTTCTAATTGCACAATAATTACAATTGATATGATTTTAATTTTTGTATATTACTTCATTTGTGGGTAGTTAATGCTATGTAATATGCCCATAGATATTTATTTATTTTATTTATAAGAGGCAATTAATTAATTTCGAAGTGTCCCTATACATATGTATATAATGGGAAATTAACGAACTTCGATAATTGTTTCGACATCCCTTAAAGACTTCTGGATGAAGTCGAAACAATTTTTGGAAACGATAAAACACACTGAGTTCGTTAATTTTCCGTTACATATGTAAATAAACACTTTGAAATTAATTAATTAATATAATAATTTCCCGTTATATATGAATATGGACATAAAAAATTAAAATAAGTTTTAAAAATAAAACGCGTCTTCCGATTTGGTTTGTATGTAAAAATCTCATTATGGTTACAATTATCACAGATAATATAATACTATCAATTACTTATAAGAATATTTTTTACTCAAACTGAATTATAAACGTTTTTGAGTAAGCATGTATTTTTTATAATTCTATCGGAAGATATAAAATTTTCTTAGGTATTTAAATATAAAATTATAATATCTGTAGCTATGAATTATGAGAACTATTTTGGAATTCAATTATAATTTTCGAGATCAGTAACAAAATGATCTGAACGAAAAGATAATACGTACGTGCACATTGGAAACAGGTTTCCTTGTCAGAGAACTACTTGATCTCGGTATGCAGCGAGTACAACCACGTGCGGTCGTGGCGCGTGACGCGGTTCCGTGGCATGATCTCCACGCAGCCCGGCACCACGCCCGAGGCCGCCTTCAAAGTGCTTGCGCTCGAGGCACCCACTGCGCAGGCGCACAACGACTGTGGTCAGTGGCCATCGCTTCATATTACTAGTTTATTTAGGAAAATATCAACTCTAAGTTGATATTTTCCTCGTACTGATGATACATAATGATGAATGTAAACCAATACTACTTTTTTTAAGCAAAGAACGTTATTTTTTATAAATTGTACTGTTTTGAATTAACTTTGTTTTTTTTTTTTTTATATATACAGGGCCTTACGGCGAACAAGACGAAGAACAAATATTCATACAAAAAATAGTTCCTGACAGTGATACGTTATTTGTTCGATTGGCTTCCAACGGCAAGAGGTATGATATTCTTAAACAGTAACAGTTACACTCGAGTCAGTATTAGTATTACAATAACTATGTATCATTCCCTTTAGTGTACTGCATATATTGCTACATGGTTTGCGCTAAATGATTATTCATGAATATATACTGTTAAATTTTCATATATGAAAATATATTACTATTTCTACTCTTTTCATACCGTATTACGCCATAGCAACGCTATTCACAAAATTGATTATCCCTTTGTCTACCACAATTTAAAAGAAAAATAATATCGTTTATTAATGAAATATTCACAGGGTATGCACGATCCAATCTGTGGACGGGTCGGCAGTGTCGTGTTTCGTGGTGGCAGAATGCGAGGGTGCGCTGCGGCCACGTCGGCTACTTCTCGCGGGTCATCGATCTGGCGCTACGCAGATGTGGGATCTCACCGCGCCCATCGACCGTGCCACCAAACCAGCCGCACCAGCCCCCACCGGCGGAGGTCAGTACTTACACTTGTGGCTCGATTCTCATGAAAACAAACTGTTCGAATATCGTTGAAGTTGAAAATTGTCATAAGTCCTATCCAAAGTTTGTATTGACTGCTGAGTTTTTATATACTCAACTGTTATCCGTCAAAATACAATTGAATCCCAATAGATCTCTAATAAAAAAATTTCACCCAAGGAGAAGGTGAAGAATCTCCGTACGCGGACGGAGGCCCTAGTCCCGACGAGCTGGTCCGACTACTGTCAACGTGCGACCTAGACGCGTCGCCTGCGCCTGCGCAGCCTGCAGCGCCCGTTCCACATTCACCCAACCGACCGCTGGCGCCATGAACCCCGCCCGCCTCTGCAGTACCGCCCTTCTTATGCGGTTCGATGCTCTCTATCTGTTCGCTCTTCGTCTAATAAACGTTGCACGTAACACACAGGACGCGTGTAATCGATTCTGAAGCACCACCCTATTTGATAATTTTGCTAGACTACAAAAACAAAATATTTTACCTGAAATTTATCATAAAAAATTAAAGTGTCTTTATTATTTATAAATACGATCGGTTAAAGAAGTAATCGATTATAACTGATTTAGTGATCGATTAATCGGTTAAATTTTATTTATTTCAGTTCTTTAAATTATAATTTTGCTGAGTTTTCATGTTAGAGAAAGGATTCAGAAATATCAGACTGAACTCCAATATTGTTTATCTAATTGCCATGCTTAATAAAACCTTGGCAACCTTTTTATCGAAATTAAGTGCATAAAATGTACAAATCGTTTATATATGTTAGTGATGTAAATTATTGTTTTATATTTTTCATCTTTAAATTACTACTTCCATAAAATGATGTCAAAATTGTTAAGTATGTCAACTCAAAAAGCTATTAGAGCGCATATCTTAAGATATCGCTTTTTATCCAAATGAAGAAGCATGATGCAGGTGACATTTTACCATTATGTATCTGCAAATGTCGACGGATACTTCCAGATCTTCTAATATTATATATCTTACTAATATAAATGTTTTGTAACGATTGTTACATGTTTGTTATTCAATTGTGCTAAATCAACTGACTGGAATTACCCAAAATTTGGTATTCGAACAGACCATATCGTAGATTAACGCAAGATACTTTTTGATCCTAATCCCTTCAAAGCTGCGACTTACAGCTAATATAAAATATATGTGAATTTAATAGTCTATTCACTGCGTGACCAACGCACATGTTAGAACGAACAAAAAGTAGTGGTGTCTCTGTCTAGGGTGCAAATTCACTGCACCTCTTGAACCTAATGATGAAATAAATTATTTAAATCTGTATTTAAAAAAGAAAATATAATGTATAAGAGTATATTTTATTTTTGATTATGATATTTTAAGATATTATTTAGCACTGTAATAATTTATGAAATGTGGGAAATATTGGCTTTTCGAAATAATGCCGAACATTTTAAATAAATACGGCGTATGAAGACTGATTTCATTTATAAGCTCAATCATTATTTTCTTATATTGATCAAATTCTCATGAAATCGTTTATTTTTTCAAATTAGATATTACTATAAATTATATACTTATCTGTTAATAATTCTGGTATATAGATGGATGAATGCAAGGACGTAGTGAGGATTTTATGCGGAAGGAAGGGGGAGTAGAAACAAGAGAAATAATATGTCTACTACATAAACTTAAAAATACATATTTCACAATCCAAAAATGCACATAAAATCGTATACTCAACTACAATCAGCCACCCCTCCTCCTCATTCTTCAATTGGCTGTAACGTGGCTACGAGCATTAACGAAAATATGTAAAGCCATATACATGTGAATGGTAAACTTTTCGTTACATCACGTATTGCTAAGTTGCAATCAACATGGTGCTGGCATATTCGGCAACTTATCGAAAACATAATGATAAATATACAGGGTAAAATTGAAATAATTAGCATCAATTTGAAGAAGTGTTATACCAGTGAATCTTAAGATTTTCACTAAAGAAACGTGAATCTTAAAGGCAAAAAATTTCGGCCTCCCATAGTAACACTTTTATAACATAAAAGCGTTACTATGGGAAGAATGTATTATGCATGAAACGTACAAAAGTTTTTGTCATTTTTAAATGTTTAACTCACAAAATTACTACTGGAATATATAACACGAGTAGATTATTGGTTTTACGTACCACTAATAATTTGATTTCACCTGTATATAGCAATTTATTTAAGTGATAAACATCATCTTGCCATGAGATGCAAAATTATTGCCATTATTTAATTTATCGCCAACCTATAAATTAAAACAAAAGTATAAATCTCATAAAATGACTTTTAAACTTCTTTCCACATCAAGTTAAAATCTAATATCTTATTAATATATTTAATAATGACGATTGTATAAAGATGAATTAAAAATCCATACTAAGTGCTAACAATCACCAGCATCGACAGAATATTGACCAACTTTTGCTGAACAAAAGTTTACCATAATTACGTGGCTCGAATCTTAGTTGTTAACATTTATAATAGACGTAATTTATTGTTGTTGTTATAGTAAAATATTGCATTAATGTGTTATTTTTTCATCTAAATATAGAAAGCTTATGTAGGTATTCTAAGATAAAATCTAATATAGTTGATCTTAATGTCTCTAAAGAAACCAAATATACTTTGAGATTTCAATTATATACTATCATATTGATGTTAGGAAATTTTACAATTAAAATACTTTGCCACCAGGTTCCCGTTAATGAGACACTCATTGTGAAGCAAATCTTATGATCACCTTTTAATTTTAAATTGCCTTTCGTAGCATCATATAAGTATTTTGGATATTAGAAGAAAGATTTAGAATAATATATGTAATCAGAACACGAATTGTTTATTTTTTCCTAAAATTGATATGTAATGACGATATATATGTTAGGATAAAAGCCCGTACATTAGTAAATTTTGGAGTTTACCAACACGAGTTGGCAAATGTAAGGATTTTATAAAAAAAAAAAGATCATTTTTGGGGCTTTCACCAAATTAAACTTCTGACCACGAATACGAGCATCACGCACGCTATGGTAGGTTGGATAATTGTTTGTTTTGTAATTAATATATTGTACAACTATTGTTTTCATTAACGTAAAAACTTTGTATTAAAATCATGAATCTTGCGATACAACCCTTGAGCCTAGTGCTAGTTGTTTAAGTGTTATTTTGACCAAGTGTGTAAAATGAATTAATAAATTTACTGATGAAACCTAAGATTTACCATTGTATGGGATTTTACAGTAACATACACTTTTATAATGTAATAATAAAATCAGGTTGTTTAAGTATTCAGAAAAACGACTGTTTCATGTTGTCGAGTGGTAGACATTGATTTTATATTATTTTTTTTATACCACTGAGGTGGCAAACAAGCATACGGCCCACCTGATGGCAAGCGGTTACCGTAACCTATGAACACCTGCAATACTAGAGGTATTACGCGTGCGTTGCCGACCCTGAAGAAACCCCTTTTGATGAAGCAGGCAGGGAGCTCATTCCACAACCTGAGTGTTCGTGGGAGGAAACATCTCTGAAATCGCGCAGTACGCGACCATTGAGGCTGTAGGATATGAGGATGAACTCCCTGTCGATGGCGAGCCGTACGATGGTAGAAAGTGGCTGTGGGCATCATATTGAACAATTCCTCTGAGCACAATCCATTGTACAGGCGATAGAACACGCAGAGTTCATTTAATAAAGTTCAAATTTTGGTTTCATTTTAGAGACTTATATTTTCAATTCAAATTTTATTGTTTTCTCATTTTATATTTATATGGAATACATGAATTGGTGTATCTATCTGTGGTTTGTATACAAAACTATAGTTTTGTCATAAGCCTTTGCATATGTATAGTCTAAATTTTGTATATATTACGAAGCAAATAAACTATTTACAGATTTTGTTTTTTTGTTTTATTGGATCAAATTTAAACTTCAAACTCATTACTGGAGACAGGAAATATTCTCTAAAATAATCATACACACATCAACCTCGCACAAAAAATAAAATTTGCCGTGTGTGTACGTAAATTCAATATTAAAATATCACATTTACATGCAAGTCTATAAATTACAAGACGTACGAATAGAATAATCATAATCGAATATATTTACTTTCTTTATTTTTTGGGTTTATTAATAGCGTTCATAATTTAAAATAAATAGTCACAAATAATTTAAAAATCGTTTACTGTTAAAACACTTAAATCTATAAACTGACCACAAATGTTGTTTAATTACTGTAATACTAATTACGTTACTACATGTAAGTAATAGATTTAGTAGATATTACGCAATTGTAGTAGGTATCTATTAACACAACCAGTGATAACACATGAAGGTACAAGTGTTGCGGCACCATGATTTATGATTCGAATTACAGACGTAGCCTAACATACGCACACGACATACAATATTATCACTTTAGGACAATTTATTCTTTCAGAACACATAATGCTACTTAATACTTTTTTTTTTTATAATATTACATTTAAATTCGATCAAAATTTATATTGAATTTAGAAATTAACAACCCAATAAAAAATCTGTAAACATTTTTAATTTCCAACACTTTACTATTACCTAGTATGATATATTATCTATGCTAGCATTTTCCATGTGACATGAAAAGATATTTAAGAGTTGTCCTAAGTTAATACTTATGTTAATGTTTGTAGACAAGCGAAAAATGTTTCTATTCCCTAATAATTTAAGGAATAGAACCATTTTTCGCTTGTCTACAAACATTAGAGTTCCCTAAACCTGTTTCTAAAATTAAAATTTTAGTTTGATATCACAACGAAATCTCTATTGTACATTAATAATAGATTTAAATTAAAATTATTATAAATTTAGTTTATGGTGGTTCATAAAATGAACTTGTTCATAAGGAGATCCTATGTAGGGTTAAGGAAAAGAGACAAATTATAAGAACTATTGAGGTCAAAAGGGGAAAAATATTAGGAGACTTGATACTACACGACAAACTTATGAAATTTATAATAGAAAGTAAGAGAAGGAAGGAGGAAAAAAGGGAGACCAAGACAAAGTTACTTCAGGTAGATAAAGGAAAAAGTTGGTATTGTGTCGTATCAAGAGATGAAGAGACTCGCTGAAAATCGCATAGTGAGTGGCAAAAGTCCCACCGTCAAGAGCGCAGCTCTTAAATAGGATAGATAGAGGTTCATAAAATAAACTTCAAATCAAAATATTAATTTTAGAGAAAGATATAGAGAATGTTACCACAGAAATATTAATATACAATTATAAAATTGAAAATTAATTTCCATTTTTAAAAAAATTTCCACTGTTTTTTAAAAACTGAACCTACTTTAATAACAACACAGATAATATAATACTATTAATAGTTACGACTTCCACGAGTGGGGGCAGTTATAGAATTGGCCCCGTCTATTTCCTAATTATAAAACAACACAAGTGGTGCCAGATAATAATACAAATTGTTGTGATCTATATATTAGCTTCATAACTATCACATAAATAATTTAATAAATCAATCATAGTAACAATAAAACAATACAGCAATTGACTAGTGAGGCATCTTTTACAACGTACTCATTTTGGACCCTGTCAAAATTATTAACATATTTACTAGTATGTACGTACAATCCATATGGCACATAACATTTAAACTTATTTTGAATACTTATTTAATAATTAGGTATTATTACAATTATAGAAACATGGACCACACATTTATACACAACACATATTTAGTACAGAAACACTAAAATTCACAAAAAATTATGGATAACAAGAAAAATGTTTAACTCTTTGAGTGCGTACCTCAGTCACTTTTTCATGGCATGGATGGCATGTTTTCGTTTGTTTCACATGTTTCATTCAGTGATGGCATATTTAATACAATTCTAATACAATGAAAATGTTTACGCAATCTAAGTTAGTCAAGTTTCCATGCGAGGTTATCATTTACAAAAAAAAATGCACATGACAACATATTAAAAATAGTCACTTGGAAAATTAAAATACTATGCAAAAGTATGGACCTTGGCAGGGGTGAATTGGCCGCTATCCCTCGGATTAATTTCATTTTAAAGAAATAATAATACTAAACATAATAAAATTGAAAGCAGACATTTTATTCTAAACACTAAGTGTTCTTCTACCTTGTTTTGCCATATTCATATTGAGTATAAAAATCACCCTTATACATATACACAACAATATACTCAAAGTTCCATTAAGTGCCGACAATTATTACTAAATATTATAATAATGACTAAAATCTTATGACACACCAAAATAGGGGGGAAAGGGATTGTTAGTGATGAGGTTTAATGACCCCATTGCTAGCTATATACCCTATCAGGTCGACCTCCATGAAAATTTCCCTTTAAAACATGTTGGGTAATTCCTGATGGATTCATTACGATGGACAAACTGACCTGCTTTCATCCTTCCCCTATCATCTCTCAATGGTGTCCCGCTAGTGTATAGCGCGTATAGCGCGGGCGGGGTTGCCATTCGTTTATCATACATAAAAAAGGACACCACAGTATTTTCTTATTTTTTTTTTATTATAATTTGAATAGATAATGACAATACTACCCCAATACTCTATGATAATATAATACTCAAAACAAGATCTATTCTACAAAAATACACAGGACGAAAAAAGGCGGGCGGTTAAAGGAACATATCTGAAATACAGTTATAATGTTTGAATAGTCTTATTTTTTAATAAGAAAACATTTTTATTTCAGCTAAATTTGCTAGAATCAATATTTATGACACTTTCTACCACCACCCGCTTTTATTATCAACCTGTAATTAGAAATTTATTATGTTCATTGCATTTCTAAAATGTTAAAGGTACTTTATTCAAAATTGTTAACTTGAATTCGTTCGAGCCGAAGATCGTGCTCAGTCGCGTGCCTTGAAAGAAGTCAATGACCAGCAGTGGATTGCAGTAAGCTGATTATAATAATGATGACAAACTAAATTTACTTTTAGGAGTGTATTAAAATAAAAAAATAAATGTAATTAGGTAACATTCAATTAAGATAAAACATGATGATATTACATTTAATACTCAAAGTATAATACAAATAAATACTTTGTAATTATATTACATGAAAGAAATTAATCATTGCAAATCTGCTGTGCATTTTTAAGTACACTATCTAGATGGGACAAATATTGTTAGGTCCAGTACTGAAATAGGAAATTACCTACTACTTGCTATTCATTATATAATTTAGAACGTTTCTATGAATTTAATTCTTATATTCATTAATTTAAATGTGTCATTATTACTTTAATTATTATTATCGTACAAAATCGAAATAAAAAATAAACAAAATAGAAATAGTCTTCTATAAAAATTCGTACCTGTACCTACGAGTATTTTAGTTACTTATTATAAAATATTAGATGACAATTATATCATCATGTTATTAGACTATTTTTTTTTTATTTCGATAGTGAGAACTCGTCAGGGGAATTGCGTGTTAAGGCTCTGTAGGTAAGTGGCAAGCGAATCCATCGATGGAATCGTTATCGCTAACGAGTCCATGAGATAGAATGAGATAGCGACATTCGATGTTACACTCCAACTTATTTATTTAAGGGGAAGGAGGGGACAAATACATCAGGACCTGATCCTTCTAAGTAGCGCTCATATGAAACCGTACCCTAGGGAAGCCTAGGGTATGGGTTCATTTTACCACAATGAATATATGCCCAGAATTCACTGACTTAACATCACAATTCATTACAAGAGGCGCAAATTTATGCCTGAATCGGAAATTAACGGATCTTAACGGAATAGATCAAGAACTGAATAACCCAAAATGTAAATCCTTTGATAATCGGTTTTAATGCGACCAGTTTTCGTCCACCTCGACAACAGAAAGTTCAGTGCAAAAAATTAAATTCGACGTTACGAATATAATGGTCATCAAAGGTTTAGTCAGCGGTTCATGATGCCTCTTAAATGCAGAACGTGTTCTCAGGACGGTGATACGGTAAAATTAATTTATCGATATCTTTATAATTATTCTATTTACAGTTAAGTCGGTATTTATTTCTGACTATTCGATGTTAAATGTGTTCTATTTATATATGGAAACTTCGTTAATTTTTGTGGTATTTATATGTATATATTAAATGTTACAATAATTGTTTATTCCCCTAATAAAATTAAATTAAAATAATCATAGATCAGTCGATTTATAATTTAATTACTTAGTCAAGCGTTATTGAAGCAAAAAGTATTGAAAAATATTTTTATTATTACCATACTCGTATTTATATGTTTTTTAATTTAAAGATCGAAATCGGAGGATTGAATACAGAAGCAGATTAAGACTTTCTTATATTGCGTATAGTTATTTTTAACTTTTTTATTTGAGAAGTCACAATTGAACGATGCTAAAGTTTGTAATAGAGTACTATCTAATTTGTATGTAATCTGACTCAAAAAAACTGCACAAGACAATGCGACATGCGCGGCGAGCAGCGCCGCACTTTTATGCGTGTCAATCGTCTTAATTTCTAGCACTAAATTAATATCCATGTTATTTTCTTTCACTTACATGTCATATCTGCTACAATAATAAGAGGGCTTAGGATGATGAATCATTAAGTGAAAACAAAAATTCAATAACCATCTAAAAGGTGGAAATCATCAAATATCTATAAAATAGGTAACACTTTAAACAACATGCATTGAGGAACGGTGTACATTATTATACATTTTCCATTCAAAGACCAAATAACAAAGGTCGCGTCAAACTTACTATTATTATATTTAAACTAAGCGATATTAAAAATGTAACTAGAAAATGTTCAAGTCAAATTCAAGTTTCCCAATATAACCTGTTATCATATATGTTAGGACTAGTAATAGGTACGAGCATGACACACCATAAAGCAAGTCCTAGAAGGAAGCAGCAAACAATCAGCACTCGTTGCAGCGGCGGATACAGCATTACCGCTCCGAAATTGGGGAAACCCATGTGATTACAGAATATATGAGCAGTCAGCGGGGCGACGAAATGACCTGAAATATGTAGTTACCAATTAGTGAACCTTATTTAAAATTCCATCATTGTGTAATTTATATTATACCTGCTGAGTCGACAAACTTTGTTTTGCTCATTACCGCCACCTACCGGTATTTTTGTTCGCGAAATGAACCGTCATTTGGCATAAGATCGTCAACCACTCGAACTGTTCGACGCTTTGTGGAGTCAAGGGTGAGGAGTTGATATTGAGGAGCTCATGCTCAAAAATGTGAGCAGTACTCTATATGTGAGAAAATTGGGGATTTATAAAGCAGGAGTCTATGCTGAGGAGTGAAATACTCTTTCGTTTTATTCAAGACCCCAAATTTCTTAGAAGCCAGTTCCACTTTTTCTTCCAAATGACCCCTGAACCTTGAACGTCGCTCGAAATATTTAGTACAAGAGCCCTGATCCTGAAACTTAGGTGACACGACAAATGGGGCTTTCTTTGCAGTAAATGCACAGACCTGTGTATTAAAAGGGTTGACCACGTTGTAAAATTACATTGTAACATAACCATTAAGTTTTAGCCTAATTTTAGAGGAAATAAACAAAACTCTAGGACAGTAAGAGAACCAAAAACCAACCTAACAAACCTATAATGTAATGAATAAACATTCAGTCATATTACATTAAGACTCAACATTTATTTGCCATGATAGCTTCATTTTTAAAGTTCTGCAGCTCAAAAGGAAAAATGGAACCCTAACAGGATAATTTGTTGCCTGCATATCAAAACCCTTTTTTTTTTTTTCAGGAATGCATGGAGGTATTAAGCTAAAATTGCTAAAAGGACAAAGCAATTTGATTGCAGAAATACAGACTATAGCATATATTTTGACATTCATTTATACAGGGGAATCAAAACCAACAGACTTAGAACCATGAAATTTTGAAAAAAGCAATATTGTACAGCACCAATGTTAATCCAAAAATCATAAATTTGTTACATCTATAACTATACATAACTTAAATCATAGTTTTTTTTATAATGAATTTTATAAGGTGGAGAATTCCTCTAGTTTGCTGTGTAGCTTGCACTTTGTCTTTTGTAAGAAGATAGCAAGACACTGCTTTAATTTCATAATTCTTTAAAATTAGAGAATTATAAATATAAAAAATAATAATAATATAAATATTAACTCACCTGTTCTCAAAAACAAATATGCTGAATAAGCACCAAATAGACTTGTATATGTAAATTGGAATGCTGAAAAGAATAAGACATAAAATATATTAATTAATAGCTACTCATTCTGTAAAAAAAAGGACTGGAGTCTGATGTTCTCAAGATTATATGCCAACACAAATTTCTGAATATTTTTAATTGATAAGAATCATTTAAAGAATGATTTGTTATATGTTTTGTGCTTTGTATTCATTTAAGCATTCATTATTGTCATCATGTATTATATCTCTTTATTACAAGTGAATTCATCTATGTGATCAGAATATTTAATTGACCAGGATAAATAGTGCCCCATGTCCTTCTCTATCTCAAATTGTTTGCTAAATTTCATGAAAATTCTTTGAACTGTTATTGAATAAGAAACATTCACAAACATTATGTGATACTAATATTAGTATATTACATAATATATAATATTAATACACCTAACTAATTATAGTTAAGATTTATGAAATATTGTCTAATAACACATACAAGCACTACTTAAGTTTTTTCATTATTAACCAGTTTTTTGAAATCATTGTTCCAGATAGTCATGAGAAAATATTGATGAAAAATGAGAAAAAATGACTTAAGAATAAGGATTCTTAAGTCATTATTTCAATTTATATGTTATATTATATTAATAAAAAAAGTCAGCTTAATATAATTATAGCTTACATGATACCATCAGTGCCGCTTTAAATTCATATCCAACCTTTATTTGCTCAAGCATATGATGAAAATGTGCTGAAAATAAAAGTGAGAATCTATTATTGAATCGGTTTTATATTCAAAACATTTAATTTTATTTCATTTACCAGCTGCTAGTATTCTTTTTTATTATTAAACTTAAGCATATTTGACCTCATTCTCACCTAATGTTAAGTAATGACATGGTCTAACATGAAGCATGCAAACTAAATAATGTACAGTCTTGTTTGGTAATAAACACACCTGAATTGCTAAGCAATTTAATATATTACCAAACTAAAGGTAATTAATTTTAATAAAAAAATAATTAGTCCATACAAAATTTTAATCCAAATTACACCCATCTCTGGGCTACAGATATAATTATTACTCACATGCCATTTTATATTCTTCTTAAATTAATTGTATAATTGTCATACATACCTATTCCAAATAGCAATGGTCCTACAAATACTGCAGTAATTGGCTCCAAGCATTGTAGAAGTAATGGCATCATACATGCTCGAAATACCCATTCTTCACTTAATGGTGCCATTAAATGGTTCCTCACCCATAACAAGTCTTGCCAGTTCGACCACCAATACACTGGTTCTGAAGTAGGAACAAAATTTATTTAATTGTTAAAACTGCCTAAAATTACAAACACAGTAAAAAAGAAAATTATTTTCCTTTATTACAACTATGTGTACTTCATTATAAAGCAAATATAAGTAAATATTTATAATAATTCACCTGTATATAGTTTCCACATTCCAGATAAATATTGCATACACAATGGACCCATAAATAAGACAATGGTTAGGAAGAGTGGAACAAATGATGCCGAGATCAGTCCAGATAATCTAAGCCCCAAATGTTCATACATATCACCTTTACTTAAAGTTTCTTCCGTAAGAAAATATCGGGTAAAAAAAGGTGCTAGCAGCATCATACAAAAAACACTAAAGAATCTTCTTTTGATAGTTGATGGATGATCTCTAAAAGTAATATTAAACTAAATTAATTCGTACATTAAAACAAATGAGACGAAAACTGTATAAACAATAATAGATAAATACTCTAATAAGATTCTTATTACTACCTGCTCAATTTAGTCCTCCATATATATAAACTAGCAACATACGACATTGTCAAAAATACACAAGCCACTACGGAAACCATACACGAATTTTGTTCTATAAAATTAGTTAGAAACATGGTTAATAGCTCTAAAATTTTATTAAATTAATAGTAATGCAAATTACAAGCGAATCATAAATAAATATTTTATTTTACAAAACTCTAATTCTTAAAAGATTTAACCAAATGTCAAGCATAATACAGTTGACAATTGACAGTGACATTATCAACTTTGAAGGATTTCTTCAAAATAGATTAAGAATTAGAAAGAAAATTATAACTGCGAATTCCGAATGCCCTATGCGCATAATACAATTATACAGGCGAATTAGAGTCGCTATAGTGTGCAGCGGCAGGTAGTGCAATGCCGTGTTCGTGATATTATCGCTGCAGAGGGCTTTCCGAGGCTACGTCTTCCTAATTTCGCGCTGCACTTATCCCGACAAAAAGACTAACGGATCTCCATGAAGCGACAGGAGTTGGTGGAGGATAGTTCTCGATGAATTTGTCTACCATTGCAGCATGCTCGACATCCGCAGTCGGGTTTTTTTTCATGGATGATAATGGATGGATGTAGCAGCTGGTATCTCATTAAAAGTCTTCCGCATTAGGGTCGACCGGGCTGCAGCTTCCATGGCATTCTGCATAGAGACTGACAGGTCTCTTGCAAGTTGTTCGACATCAGACGACATTGTTACTACCGCCTTGGGTGTGTTGCTATGCATCGAGTCTCTGAATGTGCCTCAGTTGATAGCGCGGGGCCGGCGGCATCTGAAGTATCGGGGTCTCCGGGATGGTCATGCATACGGGCATATGATCAGATTGGATGTCCTCGAGAAGGACTTCCTGCGTCATTTGGCTGTCCAATCCCTTGAAGAATGGCGATGTCCAGCACGTCTGGTTGGTTATCAACATCGTAGGAATAATGAGTTTGAACCTCGAGTCCTTGGATGGTGATATCCAATCTCTCAACTATTTCTAGGAATAATCTATCATGGTGTCGTGTGCTTGCAGTTTCAGTCTCTTGTGGCAATGGTGGGTAACGGCGAGTCGAAGATGGTCTCGATGTTAGCCGCCACGATCCGAATGTTCGATGGTTTGCATACTGCAAACACGCGTAGAGCGCTTCTGTTGATGCATAATACGACCCCGAGTGCATACGTCGTTCAAAGGTGCAAACAGGGGAGTAGTTGATGTACTATATTCCTATTCACGAAGACCGCCAACCCACGGTATACCCTTCGGTTATTCGAGATCGGTTTACACAGTAAATAGCACCTCCATCAGGATTCCGACCACAGTCTTCAGCATTGCTGCATCTAACTCTGTGAGGGATGTGCTGGCCTTCATTGGCTGCTTCGTCGTCTTCCCCTTAGATGTAGTGGGCGCCGCAGGTGTTTTTGGGGCAACGGCGGTAGCTTGAGTGTTTGAGACGGCGACCGCGGACGTGCGTCGCGCGGAGCCATCAGGGCCTGTGTTCTAATGGTGGTAGAAGACCCGGAAGCCGGCTTTTTGCTCCTCTTTTCCCTGTTTTTCTTTCTCATCTGAGGAGACTGTGATTCCCGCTCGGTAGTCGGATTGGCCGGGACAATTAGACTGCCCTGGTTTGAGGCTGTGGGGACGGCTTTTGACGCCGATTGTCCTAGCCACTGCACTGGCTTTTCGGTCGCGGACCCACTCTCCTGTAAAGCAGGCAAGCGGTACTGTTAGCTGTGTGTTGGTCCCAACAGTTTGCACACCTAGGGGGGGGACTTCCTTAAGCTGAGGACAGTTTCTGGCCGTATGTTCGTCATCACAGCGGACTCATGCCAGTTCCTTATGGCATCCGAACGAGGAGTGCCGAAAGCTCTGTCAACAATAAAATTGTACGAATAAGGGCCCTTCTTGCCCTGCCAGGCTTCAATCATGACCTCCGGCATGCATAAGAGTTCCTCCACTTGATATATGCTGGGTAACCTCCAGGGTGCGCTTTATCTGCGCATACAATATGCATACCGGGCGGCTTTGATGGGCCTTAATTTAACAGACATATTGTGGGAAATATCCCAACTTCGGGGTATCGGCTATCTCCTCTTTCGGTGTGTCCGCTGGGCTGCCGCGGATGGTCTCCTTCAATTTCTAGCTGGTAGCTAAACCAGTTGATTTTCTCACTTTTTTCCAAGTCCGAGAGGTACCGCTGTATAATACGGTACTCTTCCTCCGACTAGGGGGAAAAACGCACTCCTCTTCCAAAAGTGCGAGCGTTGGGATATACTTCAGTTTTCCTTTTAATGCTTTAAAGTGGGGCACTCAGACGGGCAGGTGTTGCACGATTAACGGGGGAATTCTCTGCAGTTTCATTCGAGGGTGAGGCACGACGGCAGCAGTTTGTCCAAGAACGTTAGAGTTTGCTGACGTTCCTGGTAGTGGTGTAGAGGGTCTCGCTGCATCCATATACGAAGGAACTAGCACCTATTGATGTTGACTCAGACTGGTACTTATGGACTTCCTCGGGAGACCCTAGGTGATAACGGGGTGGGCTGCTGGTGGCAATGGCGACAAGAACGATTATGCGCCTCCTCATCGGGTTCGTGACTCCTCTGTTTCCAGGCCGGTCTTGTAGACATATGGAATGACCGGCCCAAGTCTCTTGCCAGTTCCGATTCCTCCACCAGAGGCGATAGCTGATCTCCCAGACAGCGGCTTCATTTCCCACCAAGACCGCAATCCTCTCTTTCTTACCCTGGGAGAGAAAGTATGTGGCCAGGACTTGCCCCAAGATCATCAAGAGTGTTGATCTCGGCGACACCTCGGCTCCACCTCGACACCCGGCTGAACCGGCGGAACGGAAGAGGCGGGCGCGGGCGCAGGGGGGTAGCAGTGTTACCTCCCGCGCAGATGGTACACTATGGCTCTGAGAAGGGCTTTTTCGTTCATTCATTTGGCCGAATGGTTCGGTATGCTGAGCCTTACAGCCAGCCGCAATCTAAGCAGTTGAGGGGTAATGGGGGGCTGAACTGGCTCTTAACTTGATCGGGCTCTTTTCTCTTCCGGCGGGCCTGAAGTCGGGTGTTGTCTGGCACGTTTGATCACCAAACGCACCAGACTCCTGTATTAAAAAGAGTTTCTTAATACAGGAGCGCTTGCTCAGCTGTTCCACTAGGATCCATGCGGGACGTGTTGTCGTCTTGATGGCTACGATGCGAATCCGTAAATTTCATAATTTTTGTTTTAATAATAAATATTCTTGTTATATTACATATATTCTTTTTCTTACACCCCTCTACCCCGTTCCCAATAAATATAATAGGGTGTTAGTAAAATAAATACATATTAGGGGCCGATATAATAAGTGTGCCGACCCTCTCTGTTTATAGGGGATTTGAACGAGAAATCATAGAAAAAGAAAAAAAGTTTTGTAGATGGCGTCACAGTCGCCGCCGCCATGTTAATCCGAAATCCGCCATATTTTGCTGGAGAGTCGCCCATTATTCTAGGGCACTGAATATTTTTTTCTAATTTAATCCAATTATGATTTTTATGAGTTAACAGTTATAATTTTAGTGTCTGTGTGTAGTGATATATTCTGAGATTATTATAACTTTTGTCCGATATTAACTAATGTGGTTTATTCTCTTTCCTGTTCGTTACCCAAATCTAATCTAAACAGAAAATGGCCGACGGTGTTGGTGCGGGTGTCTCCTTTGTTTAGGGCTGAATTTTAGTGAATATAAGTGTTTATAGAAATAATGCCTAGTGCCTCGTTTTCCTCTTCGCGTTCTTACGTCCGTAGATCGCGAAGAAAAGGCGGACATCGGATACCGCTACCTTCTAGGACACAATCGAGTAAGTAATCCGGGTCGCCGATGTCGTCCCAATAATTTACCAATCGCTAGATACGACATGTCCATAAATGTGTAATCTTTGAATTAAACAATAGCATGTTTATGACAAATTATTCTTTGGATCTATACATAATTTATATAGTCTGCGCATTCTATTGTGGCAGTTACACTAAAAAATTTGCCGAGCTAACGTACAAATTTTTGTTGGATACTCATTGTTCCCCCTACGTAAATTGATTAGATACGTAAATTTTATACTATTCATCAGATTCTACCTTTATAAGGATCTTGAACAGCGCATTTCAGTGACATTTTGCGCAATATGGGTATTGATTTGCTAGATGAAACTTATTTTACATAGCATGACGAAACAGCTGTTCTGAAACATGCCTCAATCGTATTGTATACCTACGGGTAATTAAGGAATATAATATTTCCTTGCCATAAGACGTGCATAATATATGTGGTCTGTAATCTCAAGACAGTTTTATAAAATGCTAATGAAGTTATTTATATGTTTTTTGTCTGTTTTGTAATTTACTCATAACATTGTTAGTTTATTTTATTTATTTGTTGTCAGTTATTTTCAAATAATTAAATTTTATAATTCTTTTTATCAAGAATAATTATAACAATTATCTATCATATATTTTATTTCTTTATTTAAGTCAATCAAAATTTGGAGTTGTTTTAGGTGTCTATATAAGCTATTGTGTATATGTATTATATAAATAATTAATGTACTTAACATAAAGCCTTGTATAACTTTGTTCCAATATGCTTTTTACCATCACACATTTGATCGACAAAACATGTAAACTGAAACTTATTAATAAAAGAACTTATAAAAATAGGCTAACTTGGTTACAAATTTGATAATGTTTTATTCAATTATTGTCTAATGTGGCAGTTAAAAGATAGACAAAAGTGACATGTTTACATGAGCTATGTCATAGAATAGGCCATTAGGCTCTCAAAAAATCTGGATTAAAGTTAACTATTAAGAATTATGCAGAACAAAAATTTATTTGTGTACAGAACATGTAATACTTTAAATTATAATAGTTCAATGACAAAGAGTACTACAATAAGTTAGTTTGTGTCTATTATCTATCCAAATATCATGGTCATCATATTTGACAAAATGAATGGAATATATAAATAGTGCCCAGTTAAAATGCCCTTATAGAAATATTTAACTAATATACAAACATTATTAGTAGCTAATTTCAATGACACTCATGATTGAAATATTTCACATTTGAATTGTGTACAATATTTTTATATGTGATAGAAATAAAGAAAAATAAATGCATTTTATAAGTGTTTATGTTGATGTATGTCAACTAAGTAAATACACTTGTTTGTCATTTCACAATATGAATTCAATTGTAATGAATAAGGATTATTTCAGAATATCATAGTGGCTCTATTTAAAAAATATCTGTAAGGTTAAAGTTTAATAACAAATTTCAAAAAAGAAATTATTTGCAATTGTATGAATCATTATTGCTATCATCATATAATTAAATTCTACATAACTGTTCTAGATCTATCTTTCAAATAGGTCATGTGTTTTGGCAACAAATCAAAAATTTTATTACTCCATGTTGATATCATTTTAAGTAAAATAAATATTATTAAGAATAATATTATCTTAAAAATTTATACTTCATTAATATTTGACATCACTTTTTATGTATGTAGGAAATAAAATGTTAACACCCTGCCCATGCTATTATTTTATACTGATGGATTATTACAGGAGAATAACAAGTGATGAAGTCAAATCAGTTAAACAATTATAACAAATTTACCAGGACTTAACCATTGTGGTTTCCTAGTCTTGATATTATAAAATGTTAATATTATTAGTCAATATGGTCTGTTTATTGGTAAGTTTAATATCACGGCTTTGTATGTATGAATTAGGATAAAGTCTCCTGTGTATTTAATCTAAGATACATGTGTGTACTAAATTTTAATTAGTCATACTAGACTATTGGGTCATTTAGTAATATTTAAATAACTAAACATATTCACAAACTTTTAAACTTGTCTAATTAGCATTAATAAGATAGTAATATGTTATTTTGAAAACTATTAATATCCACATATCCAGTTGTGCAATGAAGATATGAAATATATAAAATTACATGACATTTGTCTGTGACTCATTGTCTGAATATTTAAATATTATATATATATATATATATATATATGTATATAATTAAATACCTGGGTTCTATATAAATTACACAATAATTCATTTTTCTCTTTCGTGATCTATAATATTTTAACAACATTCAAATAAAAACTGTCAGTTCTGTTTTCATTATAAAACCAAAATATGGGTCTATGTTTTGGTTAAGAGTTTGTCTTAATGGGCAATCATCATCATCATATTAGTCTTTAACTATCCACTGCTGAACATAAGCCTCCCCATTGGGGGGTTTTGCCAGTAGTTGCAACACTTAGCAAGCAGATTGGCAACCACAGCCAGGCTTCAGATATGTTTTAGAAGAGATGTTGTTGCCTATCCCTCACCCTATCTTAGTTGGCTCTTACGACATCCACGCGAATGGAAGGGGTTGCCTATTCCATGCTGGGGCCACACAATCATTTAATAATAATCAATTTAAAGAGACTTAATTTTTCTTCAATAAAAGGGCATTCTGGTCTTCTTTAACATATTAATGTTAATAAGGATCAGAATGGTGATAAAATATAGAGTATTGAAATATTTAGATTTTATACATAATTATATTATTATTTTATATTTAATAAGTAATTGTAAAAAAGTAATTTCTTTAAAAATGGGGCGATAATTATATTACAAAATATTAATATTTGTTAATATAATTATCGAAAAAAATATACTTTTAAATTTAACAAATAAGTACATTCATAAATTAGCATACTAATCACTCAAATGCAATGTATTGCAGGTGAGCCATGTGAATCAGTCCCTTGCCCAAATAACGTGACAGGCAGCGCAATGGCGGCCACGGCCGCGTGCGCTGGGCCGAGCAGCAGCGGTGGCGGCGGCGGGTCCCCGCCGGTACCGGCTGCGGCCGCCGCCACCACCGCCGGCCACCACAGTCCGTACGATCTGCGCCGCAAGTCGCCACCCGCCTACCACGAGCCCGGACCTTCGGGCGCTTGCTCTCTACCCGCTAGAAAGAGGCCTAGGACGTGAGTATTCTTTGACATGTATTTTATGATATTTTAGTACCATTAAATAATGTATAATTCAGATTTTATAGTCTGTAACAAACAAACAAAACTGAAACTTATTTTATCGATAACCAAGACTTTAACATTATTACGATCAAAGTTTTTTGATGCAATAATAATCAAATTTTGTTAATATTTTTCCCTATAATATTTATGTATGAGTATGTTTCCTATTTTATTTATTTTTTATCTTTTGAATTAAATCCCTCAGTCATTAGATAATATATTTCACGATACCTATCAAAACAATGTAATTTCTACAACTTTTCCAATATTCAAATGCTAATATTTTATGTGTAGGCCTTAGTGATTACTATTTCAATAAATGTACTTCTTATGCACTATGTTAATGTAGGTATTTCTACTTTACGTAAGTTAAATGTTTGTTACTTTCACTTTCCAAGAATAAATAACTACTTACTCCTTGCCTAGATAACTTATAAAACTGGAATAATGAGTAGAAATTTGCCAATTTTATTTTGTCCATTTGTTAAATTAATTGTTCTGAGAAAAGAAGTATCCTCACAAATGTAATTTTTAAAGGGATAGTCAGAGGTGTTTATTTATTATTATTGAATGTAATTAAAGTTTGTGTTTTACAAAAAAAGGACAAATTTCAATATGCCAATACAAGTTATTTTAATTTAAAAAGTAAACTACTGAACCGGTTTTGATAAAATTTCAATCAAATCTGTCTATCCCCAAAAATTTTTATTTATAATAGTAGTAGGATAAAACACTAAGTGTATCCTGGGATTTTACTTACATGAATAAGGTTAAAAGTATCCTATGAGTTGAAGCAAGATATGGTTCACCTGTTTAACAAATTTAATTAAAATTTGTTTAGCTGTTTAAGTATGCTTAAATGATAATCATAATTATGAACTATTTTTTTTTTTAATTAAAATGAAATAGCAACCACTTCTATCAGATCAGTTGCCACATTATGATGAATTCACTAGTAATTAACCAGGATGATTTACAGGGGATAACTATAAAAAAAAAAACTAGAAAATCATCCTGATATGGTTGTTACTAATGTCCCCATTACCAACAATGTTTCCTCCTCAACTATCTCTTTTATAATATTAGCAATGCAGTATGAAATTCATACATAACTAATTCATACGTAATAATTAACAGTATGTTTTGTATACAATAAAGAATAAAGAAATTCTAATTATAATTTTTTCCCCACAGCTCTCTGGCCCAGGGTGTGGATGTGTGCAATGTATCACAGTATCTACAATACGAGCTCCCTGATGAAGTGTTGCTCTGTATCCTGTCCCACCTCACGGAGAGGGACTTGTGCCGTGTTGCACAAGTTTGCAAGAGGTTCAACACAATTGCAAATGATACTGAATTATGGTAAACATTTTTTTAAAATACTTATAAGAATTAACCATTTCTCATTATGTCATTCAAAAATATAGGCATGAGAATGGAGGTCAACAACAATTGAAAATGTGAATATTTACATGAGAGATTTCACTTTTTTTACTAGGTATATTTATTTATATGTCTTGGCATGGCAAACAATCTCAATTCACCTTATTTAAAGTAGTAGTGCCTAAGTAGTTAGTGTATTTGGATGTATTAGTAATTAGTAACTAATATAATAAACTTTTAACTGGACCATCTCTATACATGGTAGATATTTAAGAAAAATTTATATGTGGGGTCTTAATAAGACCCAAAGATGCCAAGACAATAACTTTTAGAAATTTTGTCTGTATGTTTGTTTCGATATCTACTAAACTAAACTACTGCATCTACTTGAATGTTTTTTTCACAATTGCATTCCTGAAGCTAGACAGCTTGGCTTAAAAAACTGGTGTATTATCATAGTACAAACTTTCCTATTTCCGAAATCCACATGTACGAAGTAGCAAGCAAAAAGCAAACTATAACTTATATATAACTTTGAAATTTCCTATTTATAAACAATAATTTATACAAATATTGTAATTTTTATGATAAACAAAACTATATAAAAAATTTGTAAAACTTACATTAAATTCATACTTTGATAACTTTTTAAACCTATTATATAAACTTAAAATCTAGATTATTTAATTGGAGTTGTTATTTATCAATTATAATTTTAAGATTTATTAAAATGCGGAGAGAAAGTAATATAAAAGTTTTTTTTTTTATAAGTACCAAATCTGTCTAATGCATAACTGATCAAATATTTATTTTTCAACAGGAAAAGTTTATATCAGTCGGTATTTGAGTATGACACGCCTCTGATGCATCCAGCTCCGTGCCAGTTCGAATTTGTGCCGGCCGATGAGTGTGACGCTGATAATCCGTGGAAGGAGAGTTTTCGGCAGCTATATTATGGGATTCATGTTCGTCCCAACTATCGACCCAAGAAGGAATCACGTATCAAGCATTTTAACACAATTCGGGTTAGTTATTTTTCAATACTTTTTATACATCTAGAAATTAATGGTATACCATCATGTTTAAGTTCTATGTGAAACTTTTAGTTTTTACTCATAATTTGGTTTATATGTTGTCAAACTATAATAATATTTTAGGTATAATAGTCTATATGTTCATTAGCTATACTTACTTCATACTTTTATCTACAGTAGAATCTCGATTATCTGAATAAAATAAAAGCTATTTCAAATGATTATTTCAAAATGCCTAAATCTAAGTTTGATTAAAAATATTTCTTTCATAATCAAATCAAACAATACATAATTAAATTTTAATATTTGTTTATTCTGTAAAGGGTTTTACATACGTCAATACAATATAAAAAAAAAAATACGGGCTACAAAGATAATAGATTACATACCCAAATAATCCAATTAATACATAATACCATTTCTAAATCGGTAATTAGAGCCATGAAGAATAAGTCTGGGTGATGAAATATTCAGATATGGATTCTACTGTACTTTATTTCACTAAAAAATGAATGCTTTCATGGAAATAAGAATGTGTATGTCATAAGAAAATTTCATTGCTTACTTCCTCCATTTACACCAAGTCACAATATAACGTCTAGTTGTTACTCAGGTCACACTATTATGATTCAGTATGAATATCATTATTATCTATTGTCCCGTGTTTTACATATTGGCTCAAGTTTCTTGATTTTCTTTACTTGACTTTTACAAAGTTGTTTGTTTGGTTCACTTACATTTTGGCATACACAATTTAAAATGTAACTAATATCATATATGGAAGAGATTGACTCCTAAGATTTTACTTTCTTATTAATTGATAATTTTCGTTTAAACGAAATTAACATTACTAAATCTGTGTTATTTAAATTAGAAAAATGTTATTTAAACTTGTTATATTATCCTGAAATACTATTCATACCCAACCCACGAGTAGACGCGCAATTATATGTATACAAAAATGGCATTGTCTAAACTCTATACATTCACATTTTTTAAGTTTGCCACATTAACATTTTGATTAGTTTATTAATACAATATATTACTCATATGGCCTGTGCTAGCTTTCACAGCTTCACTGAGCTTGAAGGAGGATGAATCCTGATGTCACTACGAGTTGGAGACAAGTTTTTGTCACCAGTGGACTCCATTTAAATCTACAGTACGAAATTCCACTTAGCTGCCCTTTCGCTTCAATCCCCCTTCACCCTTTACATGACAAGAAACGCCTGGCACGCCGTCGTACCTGGTGAAATACGATGAAGGTTTCACGTTTGACTATTAAATGTCTTCAGCGTGATGATAGTAGTAAGAGTGGGCTTACACGGCAATGCACCGCACGTTTTTTGCAGAATAAATCTTAACAAATAAAAGCACATGTATTTGTTTTAAACAATTAGCATATTATTTGTGCTGCAGAAAACTTGTATTCTTAAATATGCTAACTGTCAAAATAAACCTGACTTGTCTAATAAGCAAAATATTTTTTTAACGCTTTAGAAAATATCAGTTATTAATTTTTATATCAATAGAATTAAATCACGTCAACATTCGTTTATAAGTTTTAAATTGAATATAGAAACGTGCAGTGCATTTCCGTGTAAACGTCATTTAATTAAACTTTTTGGACGTCAGGCGGCTCTCGAGTATGTGGAGGAGCGTGGCGGAGGCGTGAGCGCAGTGGGCGGCGTGAGTGCAACGGGCACAGGCGGCGGAGCGACGAGCGGGGCGTGCGGCGGCGGCTGTGCGGGCGGCGCGGCGGCGTGTTCGTGCAGGCGTGCTCAACCCGCACTCGTTTTCGTGCACGCTGGACACTATCAGGAGGAGTGCCTCGCCATAGACACCGACGTGCAGCTCATTGGTAACTATTATTATACCTATAAGTCATGCATCTAGTCTTAAGATAAGAAATAAGTACCACACAATTACACTAATCGTCAGCTCGCCAAACTATAATATATCACGTTCATGAATTACCTAGTATATCCTTTATGTGATTAGCTATTTGCTGTAATATTTTGTAATAACTTAAAATCTGTAATTGGTAGTACTGATTTTATCTCTCTTACAACTGCGCCATGAAGGCTGTAAAGTAGCATAATTATTATTTATATTAACTAAAATTTTTAATTAACATTATACTGAATTATCATATTTTTTTTTGATGGGTGAAAATGGTATGGTAACCCCGCCTGCGCTAACGGGATACGCTGGCGGAGCACCAGTGAAGGATGATAGATGAAAATGAAAATGAAAAAAAAAAAAAGAAAACAGGCCAGTTAGCCCATCATGATGAATTCATCAGGAATTAACCATGATAGTTTCCAGGGGAAACCGCGAGAAGGTCGACCTGGTTGGGTATATTGCTAGCAATGGGATTCTCAGTCTCCATTACTAACAATCCCTTTCCCCCCAAATTATCATATTTCATCATCGCCATGTGTGGTCCCAGTATAGAATAGGCCACCCTGTCCTTTCCCCCGTGGGTGTCGTAAGAGGCGACTAAGGAAGAGTGAGGGATAGGCCGTGTTTGGCCTTTTAGATATTTTAAGAGGCAGTGTCCCTCTTAAAATATCTAAAAGCCTAACAGTGGTTACCAGCCCACCATCCAAGCATAGCAATTACTGGCAAAACTCCCCTCATGGTGGGGAAGGTCCAGCAGTAGACAGTTATGGCAGAATTAATAATAAATAAAAAAATATCATATGCTAAGGAAGTTCTTAGTACCTATACATACCTTTCAAATAATTATAAAAATTTATAAGTGTATGTTAATGTCATTGAGTTAATACAAGATTCCATTACAGGTTGTGCCCCAGGCAACGTAGCAGAGTCGGTTGTCCTGGAACGTGAAGCTGAATCGACGTTAACGTTCGCGGAGGGAGCGATGCGAGCATATGCCGGACACATGACGCTCAAGTTCTCTCCCGATGCGTCCAGTACTATGCAACATCATAAGCACTATTGTTTGGAAGTGTCCGACAATTGTTCACCTACCGTCGATCATTGTATTATTAGAAGTGCCAGTGTTGGTAAGTAAGAACATATAAGTGTATGCTAGCTATATGAAAAAAGCTCCAAATTCCTTAGGCACTTATATAGAGGGACAGACCTGATGAAAAATGGTAACCGTCGCCTATAGACATGAACAGTACCATGGACATAACAGAGTATACTGTTTCGCCCATGATACCCCCCATGCATTGCCATTCCTGAGGACTCAGGTGTTATTCCAGTAAATTTATGCCTATTATTTCATATTCTTCTCTAAGTCCAGTTGGAACTTAAAATTTGTTCATGTAAAATTTATAAAATACATTCCATTTTGTAGCACAATTTCTATAAACTTATCTCTAAATCTAATATTTTAAATTGATAATCTCGTATAAATATTGTTTTATGGACCATCATGAACTAAATTTATGATAATTTTGACTTAAACTTATTAACTATTTAGTTCATATTGATCCTTAGACGTAAGATATTGCTGTGATATCAAATTGGAGTTTAAACTTTTAAAATAAGTTTATAGTATAGCATATAGTATAGCACCGCAGAGTCGACCCGCGTTATCTCATTTATATAATTGTAATTATATCTTTATTAATCATTAATATTGATTCAACATAAGGTACAAATACAATGTATAAGTAACATTATTATATTAATTACCATACCCTAAAGTTAATGTTCATGTGTCAAAATTATAAAATATATAACTGTGTACAAAACAGTGGGTGCGGCCGTGTGCGTGAGCGGCGCAGGCGCAACGCCCATCATCAAACACTGCGATATCAGTGACTGCGAGAACGTGGGGCTGTACGTGACGGACTACGCGCAGGGCGAGTACCTCGATAACGAGATCTCGCGGAACGCGCTCGCAGGCATCTGGGTCAAGAACTATGCCAGCCCCGTTATGCGTAGGAACCATATACACCACGGCAGGGACGTTGGAATATTCACATTTGAAAATGGATTGGTTAGTGTTTCTCCTTTTTTTTATGGCTTACACTGTAGAGACTTCGGTGATTCTCTACCTGACAGGGTTAAAAAAAGACTGTAGTTAGTGTTTTGAAATGAAAATTATCAAACCTGATTGAATTACGAAAGTAGTAGCAAGAAATTAATTTCACAGCTTTTATTTCATCATCTTATCACGTGTAAATCTACTTTTATTTCATATATTAATTTCACAGTACTAAAACAGTTACATGCTCGGTGCGATTTTTATATTAATGTTATAAAGAGAAAATATTTGATTCTTTGTAATGTATAAACTCAAAAACTACTCGACTTATTTCAAAAATTCATTCATCCACATGGAGAGCTATGTTATCAGCAAGTGACATAAGCTATATGTTATTTTCGAAAATTTTATTTACCCATGCGAAGACAGACCAAATCACTAGTCTTACATAATTTGTGTCTCACGTATCGCAATATCATTGTATAAATGTGAAATTGGCTCTGCGAAAGCTTTGATCCAGATGTTGCCCTAATGTTACTGATATTATCAGTTTCATTAAAGAGAACTGACTTTCCTTATTATATTCATGGAGGTGATTTGTATTACAAAATTAGTTGCATGCACCATTAGGGAAAGGGGGGCATAATTAAGTAACATCATATGGGCAGCAGCATCCCTCTTAAAATACCTCTAAAGCTCAATTGCGGTTGCCAATCCGCCTACTAAGCGTGGCAACTACTGGCAAAACTCCCCAAAAGGAAGGTGTAACAGATATGTATGTATGTAAATAGTCAAGGAAATTGTTTATATCTCAAAATACTTGCATTTTTTATGATATAATGCCAGAATAACTGCTAATAATATATAATTTCATGAATTAAAAATTTTAATATTATCCATATACTTTTTTCAGTGGAATGAACTTGAAACTATTACCATATTATTGTTTTTGATAATTAGCATGCTGTGTTTCCTTTAAAATGATTGTACACTAAGTATAAATAGACAGTAATTTTAATATTAAATCTTATCAGTGTAACAATTGCTAGGAGACCAAATAAAGATAAAATAAAAAAATAAAACTATATTATTTTTACAGGGTTACTTTGAAGCAAACGACATACACAATAACAGGATCGCTGGTTTCGAAGTGAAGGCTGGCGCGAACCCCACCGTAGTACATTGCGAGATTCACCATGGACAGACTGGCGGCATATATGTCCATGAATCTGGCATAGGACAGTTTATAGACAACAAAATACATTCAAATAATTTTGCGGGTGTCTGGATCACGTCCAATAGCAATCCAACCATTCGTCGGAATGAGATATACAATGGACATCAGGGCGGCGTGTACATATTTGGGGAGGGACGTGGGCTCATAGAGCACAATAATATTTATGGAAATGCTTTAGCTGGAATACAGGTGAGTAAGCTGTTTCATGTAGCAATATTTATATGCTAACATCTGTTATTGTACAATTATATTCCTCAATTTTCTTACAAGAAGAACATAAACTACATTTTACCATAGTGTCTAAGTGATTTGATTGAATTTTCCTTATATTATGCATTGTTTATTTACACAGATGTAATCATATTCATTACATTGTACTTATTTGTATAATTTCAGATACGTACTAATAGTGATCCAATAGTAAGGCACAATAAAATCCACCACGGGCAGCACGGCGGCATCTACGTCCACGAGAAGGGCCAAGGGCTTATCGAGGAGAACGAAGTGTACGCTAATACGCTCGCCGGCGTGTGGATTACCACTGGTTCCACACCAGTACTGCGGCGGAACAGAATACACTCAGGCAAACAGGTATGCTACACTATGATAATATGATATATATTAATCCTCACATATGTGTTATGATTGCCAAATTCTAAATCGATTTTATTGATTTAATTTTGCAATCAACCGGGCTTACTCCTGTTAGTCCCATATTTTTTTTGTGACAGTTAAAGGCTGTTTTATGTAAAAAATATTTTAAATTATTTATCTCAAAACGTTAATTAGGTACCTTTTTTATTTTTTATTAATATTTAGTGTTTGTGTAGACTCTTTTCAAACAAAAATTATTATCAGTTTCCATAGTTCTATTTTTAGTTAAATTTTTATGCTGTAATATTATTTACAGGTCGGCGTATACTTCTATGATAATGGCCATGGTAAACTAGAAGATAATGATATATTCAACCATTTATATTCAGGTGTGCAAATTAGGACAGGTAGCAACCCTGTAATTAGAGGTAACAAAATATGGGGTGGACAGAATGGTGGCGTATTAGTATACAATGGAGGCCTAGGTCTACTTGAGCAGAATGAGATATTTGACAATGCTATGGCCGGTGTATGGATTAAGACTGATTCCAATCCCACGCTCAAAAGGAATAAAATATTCGACGGTCGGGATGGAGGCATTTGTATCTTTAATGGAGGAAAGGTAAGTTTGCTTTTTTGCAATTTCAATTTCGATTATATTTTATCACTTTTTAATATCAAAATAACTTTCTTGTCTTGTTAGTTAGCTGTTGAATTTAAGTTGAAATTTCAACATTTGATTTGATAACTCATTATAATATCAGTACATTCACATACAGATTACAATTTAATATATTTCCTAGATTCCTTGTAAAAATGCTAAAATTCCCTATTTCTAAAAAATTTATAAGACAAATTGAACTATTTATTTACTCATTTATTACAATATAATATTATGATTTACTTCATTCTCGGCTAATTTGCTGGTTTTCTCAGACAACCCGTCCCAAAAACCTTTGGAACAAAGAAAACTGAAACCCCAACTCCTTTATATAATAAATATTATGATGATTATTATATTTTACTATATTATGCTGATCAAAATCAGTGACTTATGCACATTTTAAATAAATAAATGTATTTTGGCAGGGTGTGTTGGAAGAGAATGACATATTTCGTAATGCACAAGCGGGTGTATTAATTTCAACCCAAAGTCATCCAGTGTTACGTCGGAACCGAATCTTCGATGGACTCGCCGCTGGCGTGGAGATCACAAACAATGCTACGGCAACTCTAGAGCACAATCAAATTTTTAATAATAGATTTGGAGGTATGGGTTCGATATTTTAAAAACAGATGTTTTCAATTTATAGACATGATAGTTACAACTTTTTTTTATAAATTATTAATTTAATCTTATACAATTTTTTAATACAATTTATTGACATTAATTTGAAAGAATTGTAATTTACTACTCTTCACAAAAAAAAAAAAATGTTTTCTCTAGAGAAAGCGTAAACAAAGAGCAACTTCATTTAATTAGGTTCTGCAATGCGCGATTGATATCTGTAGCGTTGCAGTGAACTTTGACACGTGACTGCTTAGTCAAAATTCACGATCACAAATAAACATCGACTTTATTTGTACCCTTTTATTTAAAGCTTTCTTTTCTATATGTTACTATCGAAAATTCTTTATCCTGTTACACTGTGGTCAACTTTCAGATATTTTCTTAGTTTTAATGAACTCCTCGTATATATGCTTAGGCCCTACTGTCTTGATTTCTATTTTAAATGTTTAATTAATTATGGGAAGTCCAATGCCTATTATTACATTGCATTTTATTTTACAGGTTTGTGTTTAGCGTCAGGCGTGTCACCTCTCGTGCGTGGTAATAAAATCTTCAGTAACCAAGACGCAGTGGAGAAGGCGGTGGGCGGCGGGCAGTGTTTATATAAAATCTCTTCCTATACATCCTTCCCAATGCACGATTTCTACAGGTAAGTTACAGAACATTCTTTTTGCGAATACCGAACTTGACTATATTTATTAGGTATCTGTTTTCATTGCTACTGTAAGAAAACTTTTTATACACATTCTATAGGGTTACACGTCAGGTCGAAAGGTTTAGAAAAACTTCTTGTTTCTTACACTTCCATGACTCATTCATATGGTCGATTATGATAACATTTTTTTTTTTTTAATATTGTAATTGCGAAAGTTTAGAAATTGGTGTAAGGATGGATAGATATTTGTTACTCTTTTAGACGAAACTATTTAGTAGATTTAAATGAAATTTGGTACTCCGGTGGATTATATAACTGAACACCTAGGGTATTTTATTGTCTGATAACTTTAGTAAAATAACGGGATACAGCTAGTTAGTTGCACTATATAATAATGAAAGTAATCATAAGTACAGTTTAAACGAAGAAAGCGTCGAGAAACTTGAGTCTACATGTCTATTTGTATCAGAACATTTGACATTCTATTATATTTGTCTTTCCATTGGGAGATCAAGGTTAGAACCTTAATCGTAAAAAAAAAAGTCAAATAACAAGTGTAAGTCTTTATTAATTCACAAATATAAAAATATAAAATAATAAAGATATAAAAATATTCCTAATTTATGTAGTGATAAATTACAGTATTGACAAACATACCTTATTATAGCAGTAATAAAAAATATACTAATATTTACAAACTCTGTGTTATCGTGAAGTTTTGGTAGAAATATTTGATAAAAATATCAAGTTGGCATGTAAAGTTAATAATAGATTACATACAAGTATACGCCCTGTTTAATGACTCATTTCATTACATATTATTCACTTCACGGAAGTGTATTCTGAAATATTTTTGTAACTTACAAGCATGTTTAATCAGTAGTTTAAATTCATATAATTAAACTGTATAGATTATTAGAAAACTTGGGTCGAACAATTTTGATTTGAGAGATTATGGGTACTATTTATTCTTTATTTATTATTTGAATCTAATAAAATATTTCATCATAAACGAAAACTGCAATGTGTTTTTCAATTGTATTGCATAATTTACAAATATAAGTCCTACCTCACTTTGTTTTACTTGTTGGAGAAAGTTATTACATTAAATAATTGTTGAAATTGCTGGCTAATTCTTTTTGATGTATATGGTAGACTGATTTTATTTACTTGCAGTATAGTAAGTTTGCCGAGGCTGAAATATTAACTTTATAACAAATTCAAATATTTTCCACTATTCAGTAAAAGCACTCAATTTACACATACATATATATTTGTTTTTATTTTTGCTTAATCTCTGTTTGTCCTCAGGTGCCAGACTTGTAACACGACAGACCGTAATGCTATTTGTGTAAATTGCATCAAGACGTGCCATTCCGGACACGACGTAGAATTCATTCGCCATGACAGGTAAATTTCGTCAAATATCTTATCTATAAGTAAATCTCTGATGACTTTTCACGGTTAAACGGCTATTTCGATTTTTCATGAAAATTTATGTGATTTCTTAAACATTGAGTAATTATTATGCAAAAGGAGTCATCGGTTACAGGGGTAGAAACGAGTCTTTATAATATCAATTTATATTTTATAATAGTGGGAGGCCTATGTTCAGCAGTAGACAGTTAATGGCTAATATGATGATGATGATAAAAGACTGCTTACGTTTACGATAAATTTGTTTAACTAAAGGGCCATTTGCTGATATTGACTTCTATTTATATGTAAATTGTACTGTCATTTCCGGACTTAGCCTCTAATTTAGGCCATTGTACGTATTTTGACCTCTATATTTTTTTTATATATTGTAATAAAATTGTATATATACTGTAGCAGAATACCAAATAGACGAAAATGAAAACAGATTGATTAGCATATCATAGTAAATTCGTCAAGAATTACACATGATGGTTTCCAAGCGGGACTTTGTAGAGGTCGATCAGGATATATTACTAGCAATGAGATTGCTGGATCCCTTATACTATCACTAAACTAACTTCTATGTATTAATATATAAACATATTTGCAGGTTCTTCTGCGACTGCGGCGCGGGGACGCTCACAAACCAGTGCCAGTTGCAAGGCGAGCCAACGCAGGACACGGACACGCTGTACGACTCGGCGGCGCCCATGGAGTCACACACACTGATGGTGAACTGAGCGGCCTAGCCGCCGACGCCACGCCATACCGCCCACCGCCACGCCCCACGCCGCGTCGGGAATCAGTATTTGTCGGAAACTCCTAGCTCGAGTCCTTATTTATTTTAGCTTTAAAGACTATACATACTACCGCGTGCGGAGAATGGACGTCTGCAGCAATTGCACTGTAAAATTATCCTTAATTATTAAAGTGTATTTCTATAAGTGTCCGTTGAAAATGTATGGAATTAAGATATTGAAAGTAGCTTAGAGCTTGTGTCAATTCTATACATTTGTCTTTTCTATAGAGTGATATCGCTGTTAGAAATTTACTTTGTCTGGACAGAGCAAGGATTATTTTACATCGTACCTACTGCGTCCGTCCGGTCTCCATACGTAGTATGTCTAGTCCTTTACTGCCGGTCGACGGCCGTCCCTCTATTCGCCAATTTTTAGATTGATAGACAATAATTTCTGATCCTATCGGCAGCTTTCCTCGAAACTCGATTTTTATTACTCTTAATATCTATTCTGTTTTTAAAATCTGATTCTATTAACATGAAATGGAATAAAGCCACCCGGCAAATAGTATTTTTGTCTATCAATATAAGAATGGTAACTTTACCTCTAGTTCACTTATTTTTATTATCTAAAACTCCGTATTGTTTAGCACTCGTCCTGAAGTCGCTGAATTACGAAGCCATTACTCTTGGACGACCAAGATCGTGTCGTTTCACATTTTTCATCTTTGTACTTTATATAGCTGAAGGAAAACTCTATTTCAGACAATGTACACTGTTTGTATATGTAGAGATTTTTTTAATCATCGGTACTTAATAATTACGTATTTCGTCAAGTAGTATCATGCATTCCCAAATTGTAATCGTACTATAATATCGAGAGATCACATTGATATTTAGAATAATGTTATTCATTTTGTAAGATGTAGAAGCGTATAATTATAATATCCGCTATAGTTTCATAATCATGGGGAAGAATATAATTATGTTTACTTTAAATGAACTATGCATTATTTAGTTCATAACTAGTTCCCGATCCAGCGACTGTCACAGTCAGGATGGCTATTTGTAATATAATTGCTTATAATTTTTCTTTTTAACTTTTTGACGACAAGATTACATTTTTATTTTGGGGCATTTATTCCTTAGCTCTCCTGACAATATAGTTGATTGTTCAGATGTTTTAGTTAATAAAGATAATTGTGCAAGTTAGTTTGTATTGTTATGGGGTAGAGTGGCGCGCACAGAGCGCGAGTCGTTGCTGGTCTGTGAAGTTAGTGGACGCTAGGCGCGGCGCACTAATTAATCTCTATTAGGAGTCTGCCTCGCCTAACTATTTTGGCGCTCCTAATGCGCTTTGTAAATATTTATGTCACACAATAATCGAAAATGTAGTAATTAATGTATTTGTATCATTATATTTTTATTATTGATCACAACATGTATGTTTAATTATGGAATACGTATGTTACGCTCATAAGGGTTGAATGCTGCGCGCGACCGGGCGCAGCGTCGAGTGAGCGCTGCAATTGCAGCCTATAGATAGTCCTGAAATATCAACAGCCGCGTAGCCGCAAGAGTGGCTCGTTAGTGTATATTAAGATGAAAATTAAGAACGAATGTGCGTATTTAACTGGAAAAGATCTTAGGTACAATTGATATTTTATTATATTGTTAATTTAAATTTGGTATTGATATCGATCGAAAAGCAATGTTAGGAAACTGGGATATGCCGCAAGTGCGTGGCCAGAGTGCTGATAGTGATAAGTTTAGCCAATAAGCTATGATGAAAATCTAAATTACTCAGTAATCACTATTAAAAGTTTCGAATTGTTAAATCGTCTCTCCATAGCACGGTATGTTCTGAATCTGCTTTTTTATAATCCGTCTGTGATCATCAACTAAATGTATAAGTGAAATTATTTTAATTATACCCCACGAACAGAATTATTGAGAGTTTTATGACTTTATCAACTAAATTATCGTGGATTCGTTGCTTTATATATTTGAATGTGAAATTGTTATTTATTATTGAATTATCAGTATGATCTTAATTTATTAAATTCAAATCTGGATTTTTTGTTTATACAAGAAAATACCATTGTAAAAGCCGTGATATACATCATATAATATTATAAATTTGATTTTTATTTACCCCCTAAGATTAATGAATGAAGTGCTGTAAATAGAAGCTGGTTTAGAAATATTTGTTAAATTGTCAAAGCCAAAATTCGAACTCCGGGAAACAGACGACAGTTATTATCTAAAAGTGAAGCAATATGCTTGATTTTCATGAGTTTTCTTCCATCCCTTATATACAAAATTTGATACATAATAGTGACTGGTTAAGCAATTATAGCGCTATAAGGTAACAAACTCACATTCATTTTTTATATTTGTTACCCCATGACTCAGTCAGTTCTAAACCAATTTTAAATTATTATTTTTTATCTAAAATAATATGCCATAGAAATTTTATCAAAATCGGTTCAATAGTTTTACATAATTGAAGTCTGTTTTTTGTGAAATCTTTATTTATTAACCTAAGACATTTTTTTTTCAATCGTTTTAAAATACTTTATAATAACAAGGCTTAATATAAAACCTCTTAACTCCCATTAAAACAGAATATTATTATGATTTATATAATTAGTTATGAAATAATCAGTATGATTACAAATTAGGTAATATTTACAATGGCCACTGGTTTCGTTTTAATCACTTTGTAATGATAATACATAGGTATTAAATATATTGCTCATATTCATTGTGCTAATGAGCATGATTATAAGGGCGTAGCTTTTGTCTTGGAGACCGTCTTCTTGGAGATACATGTATAGCTTTCATAGGCGTATTAACTTTTCTTGGTTCATTGCTAGCTACTGGAGTTTTTAAAGTTCTTGTTGTGCATAATGGCTTTTTCAGAACTGGCGTTTGAGATGTTTTTAACGCTGTATTTTGTGGCGAAACAACTCTTTTCCCAGGCGATGTAATTCTCTTGTTTGATCGCCATGATTCTATATTGTCCCTATTTGATGTTGCATTCTCTCTATATGATTTTAAAGATAAACTTGGGGCAACATCCATATTTCTATTTATTCTGATAGGAACATTAGGGGCCACATTTGCACAACTGCTCGACTGCACTTTTGGTTTAACATGAGCAATTAATTTTTGTGATTTTAATTGATGCTGATTATTCACTCGCGGTCTTCTTGCAAACCCAGTATGTAAAACTCTGTCGTTGTTTTCGGACGATTTATCTGAACTAGATTCAAACAGTTTAGCTTTAGCAAGTACAGCTCCAGCATTTTGACGTCGCAGTTTATTGACTGAGGGTCTTCCACTGTGACCGGCGGCTTCAACTTCACCAGTTTTATCCATAAAGAAAACTGCAGCATTTCTCCACTTCTGATGCGGAGGACTGTGTCTAGTGAGTTTCTTAGAACTTTTGGCAGTTATGTTTTGATAATGTTGCATTTGATCAGAATCGTTTGATTTCGAACTTGAGTTAATTGAATTTTCTGACACTGTATTATCCCAACTATTATTAATAGTTATATTCAAAGATCTACGTGGTTGAAATTTTCCAATAGTTTTATCAGGGTTGTAATCGCACGCGAGACTTGTTCTTTTACGCAAATGATACTTCTGATTATTAATTTCAGAACTGTTAAGAGACTTTTCTGACATTGAACAATCCCAATCATTTATTGGAGACTGCTTTTCTTTTGATACTGCCAAATCAGGTTTTGCTGTACTAGTTCTATCTCTACGCTTGATGCCTATATATGGATAAAATCTATCGCCAACATGACTAGTTTGTGATTGTGTTGATGCATTCCATGATTTATGCCTTACAACTTTAATAATATTTTCTTTTGAACGCCTTCTTATTGAACCAATTTTCCTAGCACTAGGTGATCGAATAACTTTAGTTTCTTCATTTGGTCTAATTTTCAGTTCTCTACTTAAACGTCTAGCGAGATGGTCCGAGTTTGGACAATTTAACATTGCAACTTCTTCCAGTGTTTGTTCATATGCATTTTGGACATGTTCTAGAGGTTGAGCTCTAGGAATTACTTCTGTAAACTCCCTGGATAGTCTATTCTCTATGGCTGAAACTCTACTTTTTATTTCTTCGTATTCTTGTTTAGAGATTCTAACATAATCTTTTTCTGCTTGTTTCATATCCGGAGATAAGTCTATTGTGTCGTGAGCACTAAACAAGTGTTCAGAAGAAGTTAAAAAGTCTTCACTGCTGATACTGGTCTCTGAATTTTTATGAGAGCTGAAATCTGTATTTATGATTGGGGTACTCCTAGTATCCATCATACTCAATCGTAGTCGTTTCCGTTCCGTTAATCCCCTATAAAAATAAAATCGCGTAAATCCTTACTTTTCTACCATAAGACCATATTTTATAAATAGGTAAGTTAACCCTTCTTTGTATAATGGTGGAAATTTCCATCATAATATTAATACCCAAAAATTATATAAAAGACCAAGGTCACTTTAAGTTGATCATATCTGGATACCTTTTTTATTGTCCATTGCCAAAAACAAAACAGCTGTCAAATTTATTTTTTTAACCATTTTTCCTTTAATTTTGAACATGAATTATATCACCTTGATTTATTTCACCCATATAAAAAATTATGCAAAGAAGAGTTAAAAACAATATCGAGTTATCAGGCTTTTAGTTATTAACATATAAAAATTAGATATTACTTACATTTTCACTGGTGTAAATGTTAACTCTTTTTGAGGCAAGCCTTTTGTTACTTCTTTCCTGTTAAAACAAGTTACTGTTGTTAACAAGTATTCAATTGTAGAATTTTAAATAAATTATACAACAGAGATATAACAATTGCTAGGAGACAATGAAGGAAGAATAAAAAGACGATAGAACAGGAAAGATTAGAATTTTTGTATGTTTATTTGTCTGTAATGGATTAACTCAAAAACTATTTAACCAGTTTTAAACATTCATCTATAAAAAGCTACATTATCAGCAAATAACAGGTTACATATTATTAAAAAAAAAAAGAGATCCCTACAAAAATTACACTATACTGCTAATACTACAATAATAGGCAAATTTTTGAAATATCAAAAATTTGTCTATTAATGTTAATCATCATCATCATATTAGTCTTTAACTATCCACTGCTGAACATAAGTCTCCTCCCTTGGGGGGTTTTGCCAGTAGTTGCAACACTTAGCAAGCAGATTGGCAACTACAGCCAGGCTTTAGATATGTTTTAAAAGAGATGTTGTTGCCTATCGCTCACCCTCCCTTAGTTGGCTCTTACGACATCCACGCGAAAGGATTCTACGCCGGAACCACTCGGCAATTAATTAAAAAGATAAATGCTAATACAAAATACTAATTTATCTTTTTATTTATCTACTCATGCGAAACCGGAGCGAACCGCTAGTATTCTTACTAGCGGTTTTATGTCTTTTTTGTTAAATTGTATGTTTCAGTTACTTTTTTTCATAACAGTTACATTACGTTTTCCCTGTAGTTTTTAAATTATTTTACGAAATCATACTTAGTTTTAGCAGAAAATCCTTCATAGGCGTCAAACTTCCGTTTGGCAGCAGACTTGCTCAGAACTGGAGTTTTAGTATTTTCGCGAACAGTAGCAGGAGTGTTCACACCACCAGAAACCATTTTGCGTAAACCGCTCAGCACACCTAAAAAATAATAATGTTTATTTCGCCACATTTCAAGGACTAAATTAAATAAAAATTAAAAAGAAATCGGAATAGAAGTTTTAAATTTTATCAAAAAACGAATATTAATAATATATAATATTAATTAAACAAATATTCAGTGTATTTTCAGAAATTAAGGTATACCATAATAACCAATCAACATGATGTAGGACAATTTTTAAAGCAGGCCTATTTTCAGCAGTTAACAATCTTATTACTATTATAAATATAAAAATTTCTATGAATAAATGGATGTTTGTTACTCTTTCAAACAAAAACTACTGAACAGAATTGAATGAAATTTGGTACAAAGATAGATTATATCTTAACTTAGAACATAGAATACTTTATACTCATATACTGATGCATATGGGTGAAGCCATGTGACACTGCTAGTTAAACAGTTATTTAGAATATGGAATTTAATGCTTAATTATTTCAATTTTACACTTACGATTGAGTGAACCACTTCGCCTTTTCTTTCTTCTTGCTCGATATACATCGGAATCATCGTCCAATTGTGTCATGAGTTCATCTGTTAAAAGGCCTATATGTTGCGAGTTTTCGATGAATATCTATAATGATTAAATATATGAGGTTTTTATATTATTATAATTGACTGTTTTTATCTTAAAATCACAGTAACTTCACATACAGGAAAGGTATATCTTCACAGTGTTTGTTTTTTTAATTCATGTATGATAACAGAAACACTACACAGTATTTTTATGGTCCTCAAACAGATCCTGTGGGGAATAACCAAGAAACCTGTCCCAAGTTAATTTAGTAAAGTTCTCTTTCTAAATATAACTTAACTAAAGCTAAATTCTAATTATTTCTTTTAAGTAAAAATAATAAAAATATTACATAAATAAAAATTATATAAGGATAAATGTTTACTGTTAAGATTCATACACTAGACTGATTACTGCACTAGCCTAATACAGCTCAATATTTGTTGTGAGGCTTCTATAAATTAAATTTACCAGAAATTTTAGTTAAAACTACTTTAAATTTTGTTTATGTTGACAATTAATTGAATTAATGAATAATAATTGACTAAATAATTACAATTATAACAATGTCTGTATATAGAGATATTTAAAATAAAATAAATAATATAATTTTAAATTCATAGATTTAAACCACACTCAGAATCTAATGCAACATTTATAACAACAATAATTCCAGAGACTATCTTTAAAGAATACAATAATACATACCTTAACAAGTGCAACATGATGCTCCAATCGTTGTGCAGATGCAGCAGCTGGCAGTGGCATAATACTGGGGGCCATCACAATGGCAAGGTTTGAAGAATCCATTAGATTCTCTTTGTGATTTGAAGCAATAAAATTTAGTAACTAAAATAATAGAAAACTTATTTTTAATAACTATATTACTCTAGTTGACATTTTCTTTTGAACTTACTTATAAACCTAAGGAATACAAACTCTATATTTTGATAACAGATTGTAGGTTAGTTAAAACTAGAATAAGCTTTAAGGAGACACTATGATTCTATGGTGCAGAAGATTATTAATAATGGGGTCTAGAAGTTCCATTGCCAGCAATATGCCCTGTCAACTTGACCTCTATACAATCAAACTTCACTGACATACATCATTTAGAAACATTAATATTATAGTTTTTTCCTATGCCAAAAATTATTAAACATTGTAGTGCTAATCAATATATAAAAGACTTACTCTGATGTCTCTTAAATGCTAACTCTCGTTACACTAAAAAAATATGCCTGTTATGAGCAGCCAATTTATAGTTTTTTGGAGGGCACCTAGCAACATTACATTTATTACAACATTATTAATTTTTTAAAATCTATACAAACATACCTCCATAATATAATGTAAAAGATGAACATGAAGCACTGGCAGAAGTAATAATGTATGCAATAGAGGTTTTAGTCCATCTTCACTAGCTGATAGGCGACACCGGAGAAGTAAGTCTTGAACCTCAGCACTTATGAGGGGCTCTGGTAATCCCCGCAAATAAAGTTTAAGCACACTGGCAACATCTATAGGATGATGACCTTCTGAGACGCAACCACCTGCATCTAATAATCGCTAAAAGAAAAACAATTGATTACTTAAAAAAATAAATGAAATGTAATCTTTTATGAAAAAGTCTTAACTGTTGCCATTATGATGAATATAGTACTCTACACCCTCACATTTCATCTTGCAAATTAAAATCCTACTTAGCAGAGGCTTATACCTACCACTATCAACTAATGCTTCTGCCTTATCATAAAAATGGCATGTCATATATATTGTTTAGATCCTTCATACTTTTAGAGTTAAACACAAACATAGACTCCATGTTCAGTTATTTCGTAATGAACCCTTAGGAGCTGTGGTTGAATTTTTTAGGGTACAGATAAAATGTAAAAAGAAAATATTAAAAATCTGTAATTATAGGTCACTAACCTTTATATCTTTCTGGCGGTTCTGAGATCCCGCCTTTCGAAACAAACCCTCAACATGGGCATTTGCCCTCAACACTGAAGACATCTCTGTCACTACAATCGGAACACTCAGTGTACTTCCACAACAAATCACACTGCATGATGGTACTTTTACTAGCGGTGCGCCGAATAACGTTTTGTGATCCTATATTAAATTAAAATTTATTTATTGATTCACAAAACGAACACAAAGTAAATATCGGCGGAAATACTTACTTTAACGTTTTTAAGAATAATCTTTTTTAAACGATGCTTCAATCCCGCTTTTTTTAATTCACCAACTATTATCGATTGTAATTTGCCGTGATTTATCCCATCTGATATTAGCATTTTGATAATTTTCTTTAAAATAAAGTATTTATGAATTTCGATTCAAATCCACTATTATTCGTTAAACAGATTATCTTTGGTCAAACACCTGTGACTGTAACCACAGATTAGAGAAATTATGTCTAAAGACTGTGACTCTTTAGTATGCTACAATCTCCATAAACTGTCTAATACACCATAGATTAATAAATGAGAAAATCGAATACTTAATAATATTTATAATAGTAAAAATTGTTAAAATAATCTGTGAACGATTCTAAAATGTCAATAATATCTAATAAAAATTGACAACAAATATCGTGCAATTTTCGGTAATAAAGAATCACTCAACAATAACCCTTTATATCCATCTCATTCTACATATACAATATGGTCTACTGAGAGGCATCATTTCTCTAAACTTAAAATTTCAATTTGATATCACAACGAAATCTGTATTCTAAGAACCAATGTGAACTAAATTTCGGGTATATTTAAATCGAAATTATTATAATTATAGTTTAGGTTCATAAAATAATAATTTCTCGAAATTATCATATTAAATACCTAATATTTATAATAATAAGTGTAAAAGTATTATGTGTATATACGGATAAAGTACAATAATAACAATTAAATTACTTATTACTGTTAATTGAATCGTATAAGCGATAAGCGCAAACAAAGAGTATATAACCAAGGCGCGTAAATAAAAGTACTCTGTAAATAAAACGTCACAAACCAAAATGACACGTTTCTGACACTAAATGAAAGGCTGAATTCCAGACAAATTATCTTTTTGAAGACTAGGCAGCATGGTCTCCGACCTTAGCCTGTTCCAAACGGAACAAACGTACTAAAAAAAAAAAAAAAAAACATTGTAATTGATTTTAATCTTAATATTTTTTAAATCAAAATACGAACAAAATTTTATTATTATTAAAATGGTTGAAATTATAATTACTTAATAAACATACGACTTTGTGCAACTACAACAACTAAGTGAGTTGTACTGATTAACAATTATCTTCTAGTACAACATAAATTTTTCTCTGCCTGTACTCTGATCTGAATTTATGATGATTGAACTCTCTGCAAAGTTAACCACAGGTACAGTTTACCTAGCTGGCGAGGCACTGGAATGCTGTATAACATTTTGCCATACAACACAGCCTGAACACAGAAATTCTCAAAGTCATAGGTAACTTATACCACTACTGATGCTGTTCTTGTGTAAATTCATCTATCTATGAATTTATATATTTCATATGCTTCTATAATTTTCTTGCAGTGATATTCTAGAAAGTCTTGCCTGGGTATCAGCACAAATACATTGTTTCTACTCCACATCAGGAAACACAGGTGATAAAACTCCGACTGTAGGCAAAACAACAGCTTTAGAAGTGACATCATGTGACATTGGAGATGTTGTATTCCACACAAAGCCCAAGATATTATTTTGTGATTTAACTATACCTTTAGGTGAAAGTAAAACATGTAAGTTCAATTGATTATTTAAATTTTGTTTTTGCATATATACTTAGCAATAAACTAACTGCAGTTGCTAACCCACCTGCCAAACGTGGCAACTACTGGCAATTTTCCCCTTATGCAATAGACCTATGTTCAGCAGTGGCTAGTTAACAGCTGATATTATGATAAAAATGAAGATATGCACTTAGTTCATACATTGTTAACTAATTTAGACTATGCTCCTAGGAGAAAATTATTCAGTTTTAGGCATATTATAATGAATTTTGCTTGATGTAACCTTTTAATATTTATTGTATTAAATATTTTAAAATATTTATCTTCATACCAAATTTATTACTATAAGAAAAAGTGCCAAAAATGTACCTGTTATTTATCTATTTAAATGTGTTGTAGTAGTTTTATACTCTAACTTAATATTAATTATTTTTTTAGTTTGGTATAGAGAATCGATACCAATTGAAGCACCACCATCATATAGAGGAACATCAGTTAAATACTCCTACAAAATAACAATAGCTACACAAAAAGTAGGGTCTCATATCAAAATGGTCAGGATACCATTTAGAGTCTTGCCAATTAGTCCAATAATGAACATGCAAGACCTTGCTGCACTGTGTGGCAATGAAACAACAGAGGAACTTCAGCCCACTAATCCATTTTCAGAGGAGAGAAAAGTTGAAACTACTTTATCTATGGCATTACAAGTATTACAGGTAAAAAAATAGTTATAATTTTGCTTACTGCAGGCTAGGCTTACTAATATTAAAAAAAATCAGCAACTATTAGTTAAAGATCTTTTCATTGTATTATTTTCATTGCATAATTGATAAATTCAAGATTTTAATTCTATTTTTTATACCATGAAGGTGGCAAACAAGCATACATCCTGTCTGATGGTAAATGGTCACTATAGTCTATGGATGCCTACAACACTAGGGATGTTAATAATCTGGAACTGAAAATCTTAAATAGTAATTATCTAAATTTCTATTTTATCTTAATGAGTAATGAAATTATTTCTTTATTATTTCTTAATATCAACTTTTTACTTTGATTACAGAATCTTACTGCAAGGCGTAGTCCAAATTCATATATGATAACAAATACCAGAGGTAAAGTGGGGAGATTTTGTTTGTTTAAATCAGCTTATAAATTAGGAGAAGATATTGTTGGCACATTTGACTTTTCTGTTGGTACAGTCACTTGCATGCAGGTAATAAACAAGTTGATAAATCTTCTCTACAATGAAATTTAAATGCAGAAATATTTAATGTTTTGATAAACAATGACTTAATTATAAGTGTGATGATTATGACTAAAGTGTAGATTAAATAAATGATATATATATATATATATATATATATATATATATATATATATATATATATATATATATATATCATAAAATATATATAAATAAAAAAGGGTTTAAAGAAATTTATTTACAATGATAAATTAAGGACTTTATATTGGTAAATTGGTGGTGTCTATATTAAATCTATAATTAAGTCATATAACATTTCAAGCATAATTATAGGTTTGTTGATATCACTCTAATCATTATACTTAGATTTCTAAATGAATGAATTAATTTTTAGATTTTTCTATCCAAAAATCAATAGAAAACAGTAATACAGACACCTGCTAAACAAATGCTTAGTTTTTGTTACCAACTAACAAGTTATTTAAGGTTTCAGTATCATTGCAACCAGAAGAAGTAGTGACATCCAAATCACCATCTAAGAATGTGAATAAGGAGAACAGTAGCAGATCTATGACTGTTGCCAGATCCCATGAAGTCACTTTAGGGCTAACACATTCCCAACTAATACTACCTATACCATTACACATAACTCCTGCATTTGAGACAGATGAAGGTAAATATTATCAGCAACTCTATATTATATTAATTGGTAGTAATAAAAATTTCTGGTCTGGCTGACTTGACTTCATCCTTATCTCTATCATCCATCACTGTTGTACATATATATGTCAGCTTTTTCATTTACTTAAAAAACTAGGTTCCTGACTAGAACCTTATTATAAATAGAATATTCATAAAATCTGTTTATTGTTAGCTAGAAGAAAACAGGAGCTGTAATTCTACCAAACTTTTCTTCTATTTCTCATAGAAATATCCAAGACCTATTTTATAGTAAAAAAAAAAAATCTGATATTTTCTTTATTTTTATAGTCTTTATAATTCTAAAGTGTTAATTTTTATGAATAATTAATTATATATCTGCAATTTCTCTGATGTTGTGGGGGTACCTATGGGTGGTGATAATGACGTCAGGTGCTTGTTTGCCCCCTATGTTATAAAAGGAAATGTAAAGATATAAAATTTATTAATTTTTAAATATGATTATTAAGTTAGACAGTTGTTTATTTAAAAGTTATAAAATGTATTAATTTCAGTTTCACTAAGATGGCGTCTACATTTCGAGTTTGTAACAACCAATGATAAATTATTAGCAAATCCTGAAGACAAAGATTGGAATGCACCTCTGAATGTACCTATTGAAACTATGGTGTGGAATCTTCCTGTCAAAATATATTCCACCTTGCCAAAGCAAATACAGCAACATTCCGTAGGGAATGATGCCTACACAATGTATATAAAGTAACCCATTGTTATAACTGTTGGTATTATTACTTAAAGATATTGTATTCTATATGCTCTTCTACGCTCATTGCATTTTTGTTAAGACAAAAATACAATGACTGTATGCAATAACTATATTATTTATTTTATTTATATTGCTAATTAAAAAGATGTGTAATATTTTTTATGCTTTAATATAATTATGTAAGACAAATTTGTAATTAGGTATCAATATTTTTTTATTAAATGTGATATGTTGTTATTATTTTAAATAAGATAAAACATTAATAATTGTATACTTATTTATTAAAATGGTAAATAACAAACATTTTTGTGTTTTATTCCTCTACTGCTTCTTTGTCCCAATCTTTCATTTTTGCACCCATCATAAAATCATCCCTGAAATAGTGTTAAAAATTATTATTTTAATCTTATATAATATATAAAATGTTATACAAACTTGCTTTTAAATATTTTTAACAGATTTATTCTTTAAAATATACATATAGGTAATTACCTTAAGGCATTCCACTTAGGTACATTATCCTCTTCTTTAACTTCATCTTTTAGAGGGTTTTTAGTCACCTCATCTACTACTATTGACTTAGTCTGACCCATAAGAGTATCGAGGAATGCTCTTTTGTCAAACTTTTTTATAATTTTTTCTTTTTTTGCTTCTGGTAGGTCACTTCTATTTAATTGTTTATCTAATGACTTCTGTTGATTTCTTACAGCATTAAATAATTGCACCACACCCTTTGTAGCAATTTTTGAAAGTAATCTCTCCCTATCTTTTTCTAGTATGTTTGGTTTCACTCTTATTGATGGTTTTTCATGTTTCTGTAAAAAACATTTTATTTTAGACACATTAAAATAATACATACATATCTGTCACACCTGTTTGCCATTAAGGTAGGCAAAAACAATGAAAAACCAAATGCTTCGATTTAAACAAACTTGTTCTACCATTTGTATTAAAATCAGTTTAATATAAACTTAATAGTTCAATAACTTCAATAGCATTCTATACTAACGGGCTTTTTTTGAGGTGGCTCTGATGGTAACAAATCCTTCTTGACTTCTTTTTCTGTCTCTTTACTGTCTCCAATGATTTCAAAAGCTGGTTTCTCCTCATTTGTACTTTTTATCAACTGTGAATGTTTTTTTGCTCTTGACAATACTAATGTTTTTTTATTTTTCGGTTTTGTAGAACCAAGAATCTTTGCAACCGAGTCTGCCCAACCCTCATTTGTTATTAACGTCCCATCTTGTAAATTTTCGTCACTACTTTCTACATCTGTTTCTATATCTTCCTCCTCAGCACTTGAAGAATCAGAAACTGTAATAGTTTAATATTCATTTAAATACATCCGCAACTTCGAATACGACTAAAGATTATTTTTAGCGTAAAGAGTTAGTCCCATTTTTATAAATCCTTTACAAAATATTAAAATTTCCGAATACACATTTAATAAAATAACCTACCTGATACTTTTAATATTGGTTTGCTCATGTCTTCAGCTATTACCATAATTATTTTATTTCTTAATTAGGTCCTTCGAATTATAATAATATTACAATACATTCAAAACTTATTCTATCGTCTGAAGCAATAACTAGGCAACAATTTAAACATGAAGAAAACGTGTGTAACTTAGAAAATTTAATAAACGAAAACAAATTAAAAAAAAAACAAATGTCAAAACAAAACCAATTCTATGCTCATAGATTAAAAAATATTCTTCACTTATATCATAAATGAATGTGAATTTATATACATAGTACTATGCTTAATCTATGGCATCAATTGTTACAAAGACTAGTTAGTAGTAACTAGTAGTATTGCAAAGAAGTAAGACAAAGGTGAAACAACTCTGTTTTCTTTATCTTTGAAGTTTTATTATTATAGGAAAGTAATTTGTTATGATATGTAAAACATTAAACATAGACATAGGCAATAATTCTAAGCTAGGGTTTTTATATGTCTACCTCTCTCTTACTCGTTGGCAATTTCATCAATATAGTAATACCCTGTATGGATTATGCGTCCAATCTATTCAATTCCGAAATCTTTGATTATGAGATTCTAAAATAATATTTCAGTATAATATTACAGCTAAATCTTTATTTTAAAAACTAATATAAACAATTTTATAATAGATTTTAATACTAAATTATAAAGTATATAAAAATATTACATTTTCATCAAATTAATATAGTAAATCAATAATTTAAGGTAAATTATCAAATTAAAATATTAGGTTAAAAAATAAGTGTAGAGAAACTGCATGTACATAGTCACCAATGTGCCCGTTTACGGGATACTTTAAAATCTTGACATCAATGACATGTGTCATTAAATGTTTTTAAAAATAAAATTACCTACAGCTGATCGAAAGACAGTGAGCGACTACGATTTGTTTCTTGTTTCATTTCATTCGTGTCAGAAAATGGTGGTTAATTTCATATAGGTAATCATGGCGAATATTGCAAATCCATTACCATACCTTACAAAAAGGGAATATGGAATTTTACCGGACTTTAAGTCTCATTTATTTAAAAACCGGCTTAATGCTGCTAAGAACCTATTTCGTCGAGATTTGGTGTGTCATTTTGGATGTGTAAATGCTATTGAATTTTCCAGCAATGGCGAATTGTTGGTATCAGGTAATTTCGTATTCAATTCATACAATTATTTTGTTGCATTTACCTATTAAAAATATATTTGTAAAAAAAAAATTAAGTATGTTTAAGTAAAGTATTTACAATTTTTATTTTATTTACTTGTATTTACCAATTTCATAGAACGATAACAAATAAAATTATTACGCTATAGTAGGCAGTAAACAGATTTTTCCTCTAATGCTCAGTTAATACATATCTATTAAAAATACCTGTTAAAGTTAGAATTGTTTATAATAGGCACCAGATTATGAATTCAAAAAGTTAGGAAGTGATAATTACAGTAAATATTTCTCATCTGTTAAAATTAAATGAATTTATTATAAAAATCGAAAGAAACAAATATTTTTTTAGGATTGTCTCTAAATAAATAATAATCTAAAAAAATCAATATTTTGTGTCTTTACAACACACTCCTTGTTTTCCTGCACCTTTTCTTATTAAATTATAAACTCCTTGTTGGTGTTTTAAGACATTAAAAAATATTATTACAACTTGATTTTGTTGTGGATATAAGTAGACTTTACACACAGCAAGAAATATTAAGTTTAGAGGGCTGTTATGTCAATGGCACCCCCCTTGCCCCTCCCAAGCTCTATCATTTCTTTTAAAATACCTGTTGCAAAATGTGTGTTTTAGTTAAAATTGATAGTTGTTGTGACATTTATTTTAAATGTCTCTATATGATGATAAAACTTGGTGTGAGCACTAAGTGCATTTAATGCCCAAGTCATGTCAAGATTGCTAAATAAGTTATTAATAAGTTTTGTCAAGATTGCCAAGTAAAATATAGTTTTTACAAAAAGAAAAAAATTAATATAGCAACATAGTTGATTTAAAAATCAAACTATAGAATTAAGTTTTATAAAATTTATATAAGACTAATCGGAAAATATATCCTTTAAAATAAAATAAAAATTCCAAATTGGTTTATGAACAAATCTATCTTGGAACTCCATCTAAATGGTGAAACAAACAAAAAATACAATCAAATTGAGAAGCTCCTCCTATTGTTCATAAGCTACTCAAGATGTAAAATTTTACTAGCAAATTCAAGAAGGTGTGTGGTTACGTCTTTTCACATACTTAAATTATGATGGTATGTATTTTTGTAACCTGTGTTTAAAGTTGTATTTGGTGTATACTAACTTTATCATAATTAGTCTGTTTTTTTGGAACAAATTCTTTAATACTGAAAAAATCCCCATATCTTAATTTCTTGTTTAAATAAGACAAGATAATATTCCTTGCAATTTAAATTCATATATAATGAAACTAAACTAAACTAAACATTACACTGTTTTAAACTTTATAGAAACACTTCCTCTAATTTCATATATCTTTGTTGTTTTCAAGTCTATTCATGCTATGCTATAATTCTTTTCTCCAATTTATTTAATGTTATCTATTTAATATATTTAAATAATAGTATTTTTATTATTACAAGGTGGAGATGACCGGAGGGTTATGCTCTGGCAATTTGGTCAGGCAATCTTGAATCGGGGTAAACCAGAGCCTATGAAGGCTGTGCACCAGTCTAATATTTTTTGCCTCGGAATTACAAGTGACAGCCAGAAGATATATTCTGGTGGAAATGATGATATTGTAAGTAATAAATTTGTAGTATTATTTATGTCATCTAAAAATATTCAAGCAAGAAGTTTGATAGTCAATGAAAGGTTTTTTTTTTTCAAATTTCTTATGTCTTAGTTCAAGGATTTGGCAGTTGGTATAATCTAGCATTTTATATGTTAATGATCCGAAATAATTGATTCTAATAAATAGTTGCATAGGACTGGAGTTCAAAAGAAAGTCATATTTTTAACCGATTTCATGGCTTCCATTGAACCAGCATATTACTTATATGAAATAGAAATACACAATTCAAAACCCTTGTTATTATTTGTATGTATAGATAAATGGCAAACTATAAAATGCAGGTAATAGTTCATGACTTGGAGAGTAAATGTCCACTTGAAGTGCTCCAGCATCAAAGGGCTGTATGCAGCCTCAGCATTGACCCTTACAATGAACGTGTGGTCACAACTGCTGGCAATGATGGTCGCCTCCTATTATTTGATACTAGACAGTCTGTACATGGTAAGAATATTTTCTAGTACTGAGAACAAATCTAGAATAATGTAATAATGATTTATGTTTGCTTGACCGGTATATTTACTAGTTGGGATAAAAAGAAGCTTAGTAAAGTCATTGAGGTACTACAAGGTATCGGCATTAGTAAAGAATAATAATTTATTCTATAATTTACTATTTTCATTGGATTTCAAATCATAAGATAAAAGTTGTAAAATATAATGTTTCCAGTACAAAAAAAAAAGTATTATGTATATATGTCATTGAATGGGGATTATACTGTAAATATAGTGAAATAATAATAAAATATATTTTTTATGAGGTTTACAAACAGTACTTTTCATGCAGAGTCCCTTGTCATCTCTCGGAGCAGGAAGGCTTTCCATGGTGTAATGTTCCACCCCCATCAGGTGGGTGTGCTGGTTTCGGCTAATGCACGTGATGGCGTCGCCCTCTGGGATTTACGTTCCCCAAAACAGTAAGTCTTGATTACGTATTTCAGTTATTACCAACCATATTATACTATATTATAAACTACCACTGTGACATGTTAAATAAATACAACAATTACATATTTGAATACACTTATAAACATAAGATAAATTGGTTACAGTATATACCTATATATTATAGTTATATATTATATATATTAAAAACTGAGCATTCCAGACAATTATGTACCTACAAATCAGTAATACTTATTCTAATAATATTCTTAAAAACATTATCAATAATTGTTTTTTAGTGTTTTCAAAAATAACAAAAGTTTTAGATAAAATTTAATATAAATATTTTTAATAATAAAGTTTTTGTTTATCTAATCCAATAGTCCCGTACTACGCTACGTCGGGAACAACGGAACCTGTCAGAACAGCATGAGCGTCCGTTTTAACTCGGCTGGGACGCACATACTAGCATTGCGACGTCGTCTTGCCCCAGCTCTGTACGCGGTGCACTCCCCGGAACCAGTGGCAGAGTTTTACCACCAGGATTATTATAACTCTTGCACAATGAAAAGCTGCTGCTTCGCCGGCGAGGGAGACCAGTTCGTGATGTCGGGCTCCGATGACTTTAACCTTTATATGTGGAAGATACCAGATGGTGGCGGTGACACTGGCGGAGGTAGTTATGGTAGGTATTCAGATCTTTATTGTATTTTGTTTTATATCTCAAATATGCTGGAGCTTTGAATGAATGATTGAGTATATTTTATTAGCATTATACAACATAGCAATTAAAGTAACACAACTAAATAATGTAATGATACATTTGTTTAAGTACAAGTTAGCTGTGCTCGCATGAACAGTGTCAAATTATTTATTCTTGTTTGATCCAATACTCGTCTCACGCACACACACACTGGCTCCATATTACTATATTGTAATATGTGTTTCAGATGTTGAGCCGCATATAGTTCTGTACGGACACAGGTCTATTGTGAATCAAGTGCGATACAATCCACATTATTGCCTCATAGCATCTTCTGGTGTTGAGAAAATTATAAAGGTTTGTTTAATTAAATATAGATCACTAGCTCTTATCTGTTTTTATGAATTCTTTAGTTCAATAATAGAGGTAATACTTAAAATAAGTGTAGACCATATGTAAGGGTAGAAGTTTTACTAAAATCTGTTTGGCAATTTTAAATGATCCTTATGTATTTGCCGTAACTTTAAATTTATATTCTTTGTGTCTAAAACAAACGTCGAATAATATTTTTTTACGATTAAATGCCAATACCTAACACCATAAATCCAAAACTATTTGACTTGAGAAATTGTATTATATTTTATTTACAGTCAGTATTTTTGTGATAAATTCTTTTTTATTGTTATAGGTGTGGTCTGCATTGGAGTACCCACAAATGCGTGGTGATCTCCTGGAAGAAGCGCAGGGTTCTGATAATCCTCGGGAAATATATAGTCACGAAGATTACGTGTCGCTCGTGCATCATAGTGGGCAAGTGAGTATATTAGATACTATAGTGTTTTATCTACAGTAGTATTTCTGAAAAAAATATGACATAATAGTCTTCAAGAAAAGATCATATTACTTCTTAAAAGCAATTTGCAGGTATTCATAGACATAAGGTGGGTTGCATGCTTGTTTGCTCTGTGTTATATAAATAAAAATCTATTTATTATAATTTACTTATCTGTTAATAATTATCACATATTAATAAATTAAATATCAATTGTTAATTTGTTGCTAATAGAAAAATTTTAGAACAGATATATACTCTTTATTGTTTCCTCTAAAAGATTTCAATAGTCAACTTATTATAGATACAAACAATTACAAGAAATAATCACAATAAAAAAACAATGTGTGACCATATCGCTAAAAGCGATCTTTTCCAGGCAACCAGTACAGTTAGAATAAATCTATTTTTTTTAAAAATATTCTTTCAAATCATAGGAAGATAAAATTAATCAGAAAAAAAAAAACTTTTAACAGTTTTTTTATCCAGTATTTTGACTTTATCAACAAATGGAGGTTTTTATTTTATTCACAAAGTGGTGACAACCAAGATTCTTCTAATAGTAAACAATGAGCATAACTGTTAGTATTATAAAGTCGTGTGTATTTGTAACACTAGAGACTTATCATAAGGTCAACACCAACTGAAGGACCTCATGCTATAGTCCTCTTGTTGTTAATCAACAGCACATATCGCACAATTATGCGGAACAGTCGACAAGTGAGGACCCACGGATGATGGCGTTTTTCGACTCGCTGGTGCAACGCGAGCTGGAGTGTCTCGCAGAGGAGACCGACTCGCTTGATGGGTCAAGTTCTGGTGGCTCTCTTCACGACAACGATACTGCGGACTCGTCCGATAGTGATCAAATCGTAGTCGACTTTATGCAGTTACCACCCAAACGAGGTATGTTTATTATAATTCAGATAGGTACAAATCTTCTCAGGTTGGATCACAATGAAATTGTGCATTGTGTGTGATATGCATTTTATAAAATCGGAGTGGGTGTACTTCAAGGGCCAATATTTGGGCCAAACCTCCATACACAGCAGAATTATTAAACATTGCCAATGTGACAACAACCATTTTTGCATATAATACAGTTATTTTAATAAGCTACTTAAAATCTGAAATAATTTCTGCAATATATTCTCAAATTGTTTTCACTTTCTGACATTGCAATTCAATATCCCAAGGGTCGTTAATTCAAATTTGCTTAAAGACATAATACTCTTCTATGGGCCAATAATGTTGAATTTCTATATACAGTGAAACTACAGCAGCAATAATCACCTGTTATTTGTGACTATTTGAATTTCTGAGCATTCTTATATTAATAATTTGGATTCAATCAATGCAGCTTTTAATTAATTTTTTTTTTTCAGCTAATCAAAATGGGGGTCGAAGTCAGCGATGTTCGAATAGATTGGCGAGATTAGTAGCGTCTCGTTTTTCAAAAAATTTGCGTTCACAGAAAAGAGGATCACTGAGGTTTGTTTATTAAATTTTACATATTAACTTAGACATCGCTGCACGTTTTAGGCTTTATAAATTATTATAGTTCATTTAAATGATCGCGTTAATTCCCGTTTATTATAAACCAGAAATTTTACATTAAAAAATTACAAATGTGAACTATCTGTTATATTAATAACATTTTTTATTGTTATAAAGTTAGTATGATTATTTGAATTTTTAGAATTGCTAAACTATTAGTAGTCTATTTTCTATCTAGAGGTTTTTTTTATTATTATTACATGACCTCACGTAACCAATAAACCGGACTGTGCTAATATTGTCAATTATTTATCCTCAGGCGCTCATCGAAAATTGCAATGTCCAGGCGGAGCAAGGAGCCGCGCTCGCTGGGCAAGTCGGGCGGCAAGTGCGCGGGCGGCGTGGGCGCGGCCGCGGGCAAGGGCAAGCGCGCGGCGGCGCGGCGCCGGCCCGCGCCCCGCGCGCTGCCCGCGCCCGCCCTCGCGCGCCCCGCCGCCCCCGCGCACGCCGCCGCCCCCGCCCACGCGCCGCACGCCGCCCACGCCGCCCACGCAGCGCACTCCGCGCCCTCCAGCGAGCGCACGGACTCCGACGAGCCCTCGCACTGCCTCTACAGGCAGTCCGAGAGGGTGAACATTATTACATTTCTCTATGTCTATTTATACCAGAGTGCCTACCATGAAATATTTTCCGAAATTACGCGCACGAACGAAACAGAAATTTGTTTCGAAGCAAAAATGCCGTTTAAAATTATTAAAAATGTTAAAATATTATTCCTCTGGACTATTAGGATAGGATTTATGATGAACGAAATGTTAAGGTTTATTTACTGAGTCAATTTTGGTGCGAACAAAAACACGAAATTGAGCCCGAAAATTCGGATTTTCGTTTCATGGTAGACCACCTGGTCACTCCGAAAGTATTGCGAGAAAAAGTTTTTAAATGTTAACAGTTATGATTGGTCGACACTTGTTGGAATTTTGTATACATATTGAGGTTAGAAAAACACTTGTACTTTTCTATAAAAAGAAAGCACGCTTTTTTGTGGAATGCTATAAGTGTTTTTGTAACAGTGTGAACAAATTTCATACTGTTACAAGTACATATTATGGAGTGCAGGATAATTGCATCTGCAATGCCTACAAAAATAATATATGAATTGTGAAAAAATCCCAAAAATCTAAAAAAAGAAGACATGTTTAACTTTATGAATATCAATAATTATTTGTATATATGGATATTTAATTAGTACAAATAATTGAATTCTTATACACTTACATATATAATATACTTGATCATTAATACCGTTATGATGGATTTACACACTTGCAACTAGGATTGCTTGGCAAAATATACTATAGCTCACCACAGAATAATTATTTCTGCTCAAAATTCAATACTACAACCAGATTGGTGACAAACCCTTGCTTGTTTAAAAATCCTTAGTACACGCTAGTAATAAACGAGTGGTTAATAATTTTGGTAAAACTCAATTTCAATCGATAAATACTTTTAGTGATGAGAATTATCGACTACTAAATTACTTACCAGTTGTCTGAATTATTAAAGGAGTCTCAACTGTATTTTTGAGAGGCTAAGTCTAATATAGTGACCACACGTTGCAAGCACGTAAATCCAACATTGCAGTTACATAAAAATGTATGTATTAATAATTTCAGCTAATCAGACCTTTACGCAGACGCATGAACCTGACCAGAGCATTTAAACGAAAAAGTAAAGTCACTAGTTATAGGAAAGTTATGAATTTAAGAAGTAATGGTGAGTTTTATAAGTAATATTTAAATTTCGAATTGAATTTTTGTTTTTAAATTGAGATACTACAATATATTTTTTTTTTATTTTCACAGGAGTGGCCATAGCTCAAGACAGTAGTGATAACAATAATTTTAACAATTTTGATAATTTTGATGAGAATTTATCTCTGCCTAGCACAAGTACAGGTAAGATGGAGGGCGAAACATATTTGATGTATATTTTATTTATTATATTTGCATATAATATACATACATAATTTCAATTGAACAGGTTATAGGGGTCAAAGCTCTTCCGCCCTATTTCGAATAGCGGAGGTCGATTCTGACGACGACCAGTCTGTTGGCAGTCGGCCTATATCGCCTCGGAACCAAAACGGCAACCAAAGTATACCCACAAACCTGATTAGTATAATCCCGACGCCGATCAACGGTTCTCGGGACTCGTTAGGTGACTCGCTCCGCGTTGAGCCAGCAGAATCGGAGAGTAACAACTCTTCGCCACCGCCGCCACCCGAGAGCCGCCCGCGAATGAATCTGAGGAGAGTCAGGCGAAACGGTAGGTTAAGTCTACACCGCTCAGACTCGAGTGAGTCACCTCCTCCAAAGGAGCTTGTAGATCGCGCCACAACATCTGTCGATGATCGGTTGTCGCCGGGAGTCGGCTACAATAGGACAGTGGCGAGATTAATGAACGAGACCAATGAGAGCGAGTTAGAGAGCAGTTGTAGTACAGAGGGCAGTGCGTGGCCTACTCCAGGGGCGACGCAGGGGGCCGCGGGGCCGGTGACGGGGCCCGAGTGTACCCCTGACAGCGGTGTGGGCATGGCGGCGGGCAGCAGCTCACGCATCTCGCGCCCCGCCGACGACGTTTCTGACGACCCGGACTACCAAGCACTGAAATTCAGACAGCGAGTGAAAAAGGCCCGGCGCAATTACAGGAACCACATGGACTCCGACTCGAACTGAACTGATGATAGATAGATTTATAAATTGTGTTTTATTATGAAGTTTTCTAGTTCTGCTATGAGACTCCGAACAACTGTATTCTTCTACTATTGTTATAATGATTGTTATGAGACTGGACAATTCTAGACGTATCCTGAACTGTACGTGGGATCTCTACATTAAATATATATTGCATAACCATAATTTATATGCATGTATATGGTTATAAATACGCATTTGGTAACGCAGGCGTCACGAGCAGAAGGAATTTAGTACATACATTAGTTATAACAATAAGTTTGTCAATATTTTATGACTATACAAGTAAATTTTTGTGATTGTTAATATTTCATATTTATGCGGGCATGGTTGGCAGTCATGCCATGTAATTATTGCATTGCCATGCAATACCATGCAAAACCGTAAGAATTGAACCTAAGTTGCATTTAAAATATCAAAACAGATAATTCTAGGTAGTGTTTTAATATTAAGTTACTCAGTATAGTAAGTATTCTTACTTTTTTTATGTAATAAGCTTTTGACGACGTTTATGAAATATATATTCTCTATATCTATACATTATCATATTTAAGAATATTAATACTCAATAGGTATGATAATATATAACCTATAATTTCTTTACAGACCAGAGCTTATTTTAGAACTTGTTACTTCATACATTTAAATTTATCAAATCGTTCTCTTGTTTGAATCTTATTACAATTCGCGTGAAGTAATTTTTATCAGAAAGACTTAATCCACTAGTACACCGCGTCCTGATGCATTGCTCACACCCATTCTTTAATGGGATGAAAATAGAAAAAACCCGCCTGCGCTATTGATATAAACTGGCGGGAAACCAGTGAGATGATAAATACATATGAAGTCGAATCATTTGGCCCATCGTGGCGAATTTACTAGGAATTAACCATGATGACTTTCAGTGTAGACTGCTTATTGGTCGATTCTTTAAGGCAGGGGTTCTTAAATTTTTAAGATAACGGAACGCCCACCAAATATCTTTTATTTTATGGAAACCCATATCAAATGACTACAAATGAAAAACACTGTAATTTAAATAAAAATAAAAGCTTTTATTAAAAATATTGTAAACATTTATAGTTTTATACTTTATAGTTTCCTTTAATTTTTAATGTGAAGAATGAAATTGTTTCACTGTATAAATAATTTCGCGGAACCCTGCAGACTTTTTTACGGAACCGTTAAATTAATTAATTTAGGAATTGTTGCTATAGGCTATATAATTAGTAATGGTAGTAAATTTCCACATTACTACATTATCTCTATACCCCTCGCCGTACTTTACTATAGTTTATCCTATATATATATATGTTTACATTGTATGTACGATATTCCTCCTAGTCAACATGCCTGGGATTTTTGCACAAAACGCGCAAACGAATCTCGTGATTTCTTTTTTTTTCAAGTAAATTTTTATTTTGTAGAGATCCTACACTGTTTTGCTTTATGTATAGTTATTAATATATGTGATGTATTAATATTAAGTATATAGGTTTAAGATACATCAATGTTCCCTGAAGAGGTTGTTAGCATTACATGCTGGTACCCAATTGATTACATTCACTTGAAAAATCAATCGTGTTTTTTATTATTTAACGTGAATAGTTATAAAACTACAAGAACTTAGTAGGTCTTGCCATAGTTTGATGAATTAAGTAGAGTGGTAACTCAGCTACATTTATTACATTGACTATGAAATGCTCTACTAGTTTCGAGACCATCTGTGATTTTAGTCATGAGCAGCCATGTCGTAAGCGCGAGTCTGACTGCGTCCCTTGATGTTGTTTTGATGCTGTCACAAAAACACCTCCCCTGCAACATGTTAAGTGCCAGGGGACCGCCTTGAGGAGGATCTGACATTACTAACAATTCCCTCTTGCGGCTTCTGGGTACATATAAGAAATTCGTATGGATGCCTTGTATATATAGATAGATTTAAAAAAAAACGAGAATTTAAAGGTACTTGTAAACAAGTTTATTTGAATTTGATATATGTATATAAAACATTGTATATCTTAGAGATCATTATCATCTGTATAGGTCTAGAGTAATCTATCGAATATCTACAAGTCGTTTATGAAGGGCATCAAGAGTGTCACAGTATATTCGGTGGCGTCTATCGAGAAGTTTATGTTTATAGACAGCATTCACAACAATCCATCGGATTAACCGCTTCTACCTTGAATCAGTAGGGGTCAGCTTGTTTTCCATTCTGAGTTATATAAAAATTAGATAAATATATAATAAACAATATATTACCAGGGAATAACAAAATATAAAAGAATTTGGAGTAAATACTGAAAACGATTGCTAATACGTCTAAACAATGATATTATGTAGCATGATTGTTTAGGTTACATGTAGTGATTTTTTATTGAGATACAAATGGATCGGTAATCCCCATAGGTTACATACATACACCGAGGTAATTCTGCCTGCGTCATCAGTATATGCTGGCGTGACACCAGTGATTCGTACTAATGAGGGATGAAAGTTTATTACTTCTAATTGGATCACTAATATAGCCTGTATTGGTAATTATGATGCCATTAGACAATATTACTAACAATATGTTTCCCTTACATATAGCGATTTGGGACCATATACATTCAGCAAGAATTTGCGTCCTTTGCGATCGAGTGACAAAAAATAGTAGCAATTTTATAATATAGTTATACCCCTGAATTTACGAGATAGGTAGGACCAAGCGTAGCCGCGTAAGTCGGAGTTCAACTTTGCATATATATACGTATAGAGTTTGTGTAATCGGATCAGAGTAAAGAAAGTACCGAATGTTCACTGGGTACATAAAACTTGAGAAATTGTCGTGAACGCAGGTGATTTAAAAGAGTAAACGCGTAACTCCAAATTTGCGTAAAATGGGGTATCGTAAGTCAGGATATTACTATACTAGATTTAGTTCTTAAATCGTTCTATAGAGGGAGCACTAATAGTCGCTTTAGTTTTGACTATAATAAATGTTTTCTTTAACAGAATCATCAGATATTTGTTGAACGCAAAAATAAATGAAGACGAAAGATAAAAATCAAGTGTGGAGCTGGTTATGTTTATTAAATTACCTGTGTATTAAATATATCCTTTTTTAATATTTGCAAGAGCTAATGGGTAATATTATTATGCCGCTAACAAACAAGAAATGAGACGGGATATTAAAAAGGAAAGATAAGAATTTTAATATTAGTGATAGGTAAAGATTGAAATTATTATGAAAGATAAAGGAAGCTAAAGAGATTTAATTGCTTTGTATTAATTTGTGGCACTGCGCCAACACTTCTCTATGGTGCCAATTACCAACATTATAAATTTAGGCTAGATAGGTAGTACAAGTTAGTTGTAATCGATTTTTCTTCCTTCCATTTACTGACATATAAACAATAATCTAACCTCTGCATTTTAACTTGCAACGTGAAAAAGTTACATTTAATAATAAAAAATTAAAGGTTTAGTTAATATGGATGGAATATCCACATATAATAATTTTTTAAGCGTACATTTACCTCAATTAATGCTATCCAATGTCCCTGAACATTTTTGGCCAACTTTGTGTAAAAAGATTAATGATCATATCTTTGATTCTGGTTTGACTTTCCAATTGTTAGAAATAGATTATGAAGATTCTGAGATAATGCCTTACGACCCTTTATGGAGTGTTGTGCCTATACGGGATATTAAACGTTCAGACCCGAATCATATATATTTAATAGACCATGCTTGGACTTTCAAAGCAAACAGCATTAAAAGAAATCTCAAGAATATACCAGGTCTTTTAGACAGGATGTGCTTTCTAATGAAAGTGACTGGTGAGAGTACTGAAGAAAAAATCGAGAAGATATCTCATAGACTTTGGAGGTATGCCCATACTTATGCTGTTGGAGGCACTGAATTTTCTCCTGAGGAAAGAGTGCCGGTGTGGTATGTATTAGATGAATTGGGTTCAGGGATAACTCATTCTGATAACCCAAATTTTAGAGCTGTGCCTTTTATACATGTGCCTACACAATTAACATATACATTACTCTTTCCCATTGAAGATGTGGAGGAAGGTGATATAATCACAAGAAATTATGTTGAGGGAAACTATCCTGATCCCCTCCAAAGGGAAGCAATGTTAATACCTTGGAAATATTATGAACATTTTGATATAGAGTTTACTCAGCAAGAACCTGACTCAAATTATTTCTTAGAAGGTCACATAACTGAAGATCTACCTGATTTGGAATTGCTGATCAATAGAACAAATATTTCCAATAAACTAAAGGTGTTCTCTCAGTACAGATTTATAAATGAGCATTTAACTTCACCAGATTTTGAAATAGTTCATAATGAAAATGAAGCTGACATTATATGGTATACAGAGCATTATAAAGCTTTCAAAGATCTTAGTGTAAAATCTCCAAATAAGTACATAAATCAATTTCCTTTTGAATATGTCATTACTATAAAAGACTTATTAGCAATTGTGGCTAGAAGGTGTGCTAACACAAATGTGAATTCTTGTGATTTACTTGTAACACATCCTGCTTGGCTACCAACAACATTCAACTTAAAGACTGAACTTCCTAAATTTGTAGCATATTATACACAAAGAAAAAGGGCCGGTTTGGATAATCATTGGATCTGTAAGCCTTATAATCTTGCTCGAGGTTTAGATACTTATATCACAGATGATTTACAATTTATGTGTCGTTTGCCTCTAAGTGGACCTAAAATTGCTCAAAAATATATAGAGGACCCTGTACTTTTTGATAGACCAGATATTGGTATGGTGAAGTTTGATATTCGATATGTAATATTATTGAAGTCTGTCAATCCTACTGAAGTTTATATTTATAATAACTTCTTCCTTAGATTTTCCAATAAACCCTTTGCATTAAATAATCTAGAAGATTATGAACAACATTTCACTGTGATGAATTATACAGAAGGAACACCATTGCATAGGATGCTTTGTGCAGAATTTAAGGAGGTATGGGCCAGGCAGTATGCAAATTATAACTGGTCTGGTGTTGAAAAATCTATTACTGAAATGTTTTCAGATTTATTTATAGCAGCCACTACTAAGGAGCCTCCTTGTGGTATTGCTAAGAGTCCCCAATCTAGAGCCTTGTATGCAGCAGATTTAATGCTGAGTTGGCAGAAAAAAGGTGCTGAGACTGTTATACAACCAAAATTGCTAGAAATTAATTGGATGCCTGATTGTCATCGTGCTTGTGAATATTATCCTAATTTTTATAATGATATTTTTTCTGTGATGTTTTTAGATAAAAATATTGAATCATGCACAAAGATTCTATAATATGAAAATGCAGCAGTCATTTATATGCTTTAATATTTTAATGTCACAAATAACCTGTTTGAGATTGTTAATGTATATTGTATAATGTATTAAATGATGCAAGGGAAATGTTCATTTTAAATTTCCAAGACATTTTAAATTATTATATTAATTTATGGTACATGTAATAGCTTTATATTATCACTTTACAAATTGCTTGATTTTATAAATACACATATATTGAGAATATTACATACACTAGTTTTTCTGCAATATCATTCGATCATTATCTTGAATATATCCAAAGGGGTTTTCTTCACTGATATCTCTGTGACTCAGTAGCAGCAGGATCACTACAATGGCTATTACTGCAAAGAGTAAAATCCAATAGCGCCTGTATATGCCACCCGCTCTTCGGACACGAGATGATGGAAGTGTATTTCTAGAGCAATTTGAAATAAAATAATGTTAATGAACTAATGATTTACAAAGAGTATTTTAGATTTATTTTATACTGATCAAAATGGTAAACAAACTGATAATATTTTCTTTGGTACACACATACTACAGATAATTACTCATATTGGCTTATTACTATTTATAACATGTTAGTACTATTGCACGAATAAAGTTGATAGTACATGGTCAGAATGTATAAACCTTATTAATACACTTAATGATGTCTTTAAATGTACCATAGATAAAGAATTTCTAGTTAAATTTTATGTTTTCCATAATTTAATGAATATACTTGTAAATATAATCACTTACTTCCACCATCGGCTAATCCATGCAAATGTAGACTTTTGTTTGTACTTGTTTTCATCATGATCAAAGTTGGTTGTTTGTTTTGAATGGTCTAGTGATTTCAAAGGTTTCCGTGAGGCCTGACCACCTGAGTATCAAAATACTTTTAAATTTAATTATTAATTACAAACACATTTAATATTCATTTTATTTCACATAATCATATTTAGTTTTCTTATACTTGGCAATACTATAATGACTTTTATCAACATAACAGTACATAAAATGAACAAATAGCTATGATAAAAAGAATTTTATGTATTATAAAAGATTAGTTGTCTTTATTTTAATTAAAAAAAGGTGAAGTCTGTAAATAAAAAGATTCCAAGATTTCTTTTATAGACAAATAAAATCCAAAGAAGCAGATCATATCTACCTTGTAAACTGTCAGTTCTCTTTAGAGATGTATTATCATAGATTTTAACTGGATCATCAGGCATTTGAATAATGGAATGTGGTGTGCCATTAGCTGCTCGGCTTGAGGACTCATCATCACTGGCTCCTACTGGAGTGCCTCTTTGACTGTCCATTGTACTTGAATAATATTGACCATGGTCTGGTGATTGGCTACGTCGGCCTGCTGCACCTTTTAGGTCTTGGTCCTCAGATAACTTAAAGTGAATTTAACATTATTACTATTATGTTAGGACTTCAATAAAAATTAATATAATAAATAGAATAATATGTAAAATAAGAAAAAAATTTTCACCATGTGTGAAAAAAGTGCACATAGTACATAGTTCTGAAACTGATTGTAGAAAGAAAGAGAAAATATCACAGAATTAAAGTGTTAAGTGAATACCAATAATAAATGATGTGGCCTCATATATATTATAGGCAGTCAATGGATGCAGGTAGTTTAGGACATATGTATTTTGGAATTGACAGTGGACAGGTAAAGTGAAAAATAGCAGTGGTAATTTAATGCACTTTCTTAATATACACAAATAGATACTATGGAGTTTAATAGAAAATAGTTATTGTAGAATATAGTGTCACACAAGGATGGCAATTATTTTCACAAAATATATTTGCTAAATTACTTTGGGAATAATAAAATTTAAAACAAACCAGTGGCAGTCCAAGACCAGCACGAGCCCAATTGACGCCAGCAAGTTTTTCCCTTAACACATCAGCAACAGGTGATACAAGGTTGGAGGGAGGGAACACAGGTGTAGCACAAGAAGGGCACTGGTATCCTGCTGGAGCTGTTGTTTGTGGTAGTGCACGATACCGTGATTCCGCACATGCCCAATGGAAAACATCTAAAAAAAAAGATTTCTTATCAATTTTCAGATATATTTTGGTGCTGAAAAGTTAGTTTAAAAAATCATTAAAATATAAAACATTTTTTAAAGTTATTGCAAATTTTGGTGAGAGTGGATTATGGCAATGCACACTCAGATATCATTTTAAAATATTATTTTTTATTTTTATATATAAAAATTTATATGTATAAAAATTACATACATAAAAAAATTATATACATTATTAACCTAAAGTTTTGTTTTTAACCTTAATGCTGTAACTATTTATTACAGTTTAATCTGCACCTCTTTCTATTTATTTACTAATTCTGTGGAAGTTTAAAAAAGCTTTTAATAAATAGTGGATATCCAGTAGGATGAATGAACAGTAAAAGAAATAAAAATTACAGTGATAAAAATTCGTTATATATATAAATCATAATACATACGATAACAAGTGAGGCGAATGCATTCTCCTTCACTCAGATTCTTCGTGCAGATTTCACAAATTGGATTGTAGTCACTATCTCGTAACCATTGTAAATAAGATTGGACGATACACTAAAAGTAGAAGAACAAACTTAATATTATGAAACATATTTTTATTTATTTTAAAATTTAACTTAAACTAGGTTTTAACTTTCCTATTGACTTACTTTTGGGTGATTCGTAACCATACAATATTCACAAACATTAACACCATGTTCAAAACAAAATTGATTAGTCACTCTCCTTTTTGGGCACTTGCAAAGACCCATCGTATATTTTGAAAATATGAAATTTTTAGTTAATTAGAACCATGTAAAATTAATGAAATAGATTTTTTGGAATAGAAATCTGATAAAATGCAAACAAGAAATTGATAGTAGGCCACGTAAATCAGCTGTCATTGTCAATGCCAACATTACCAATTGGCTTGACAATCGCTGTCAAAATTATTGTTCCAACATTGTGAAAATAGTTAATGGATGATAATGAAATGGTAACCTCGCCAGCGTACCGTTAGGGTATACACTGGCGGGCCACCAGTGTGGTATGATAGGTGAGAATGAAAAAGCAGGTCAGTTAGCCCAACGTGATGAATAATCATCTAGAAATCAGTACGATAGTGTAGAGGTCGACCAGACAGGGTATATTGCTAGTAATGGAACTAGTAGTTCGTGTTACTAACAATCCCTTCCCCCCTGCGAAAATAGGTAGAAGGTTTGTTATGGCTGCGTAAATGGGGTTGGTGCAGGCATTATGCAGTAATTATCCTTAATCTGTCTTGCGACAACTTCATGAATGTCATACTTGTTAATGTCAAAAAGTTGACAATAAATGTCACTGCCAGATCATATAGTTCACATATATTTCTATTCTGTCTACTGTAAAATGTAGCAGATTACATGTATTAAATAAAATAATATTTGTTTTGTAAATCTGAATTTCAAAGCAATCCATATTTAAAAATGGCTTCAAAATTGCTAGCCTTTAGAAGTATGATATGTAAACCACTACCTATGATAGTCAAACAAACTTCGTTTCAACATGTTCCCTATAACCTAAAGTTCTTCAGCGTTTCGCCTGTAGCTTGTGTTAATTTTTTTAATAAATGTAAGTAAATATATACTATATAGAGATTTTACGATAAGAAAAATATTGGGATTAAATAATTAACTCGTTTATTTTACTGCGTTCGAATTGAATCTTGATTTTGTGATTCTTAGTAGCCTGGTAATATATTAAATATTTATATTTCCCATTTGTAGTACCGGCTGATAAGTTATGGAAATCTGTGACCTCAGTAAGTAATGCAGGTGCGAAAAAAGGTCGTGGCAAAGGTGCCGGACGCATTAGAATACGCGATCTGAACCGTGGTCAAATGATTGGTGTTGGAAAAATTAATATGTTATGGCCGGGCCTGTCGGCGCCTGTGATCAGAGGCAGAGAATTACTAAAACAGCAAAGACTACCTGATGATCCAGAAAGGTAATATTCTTGTGCTTTTTTTGGCTTTTTGAATCAGTCTGAGTTGTCTGTACTAATACTCAGTGGCCCAATAATAAAGCTAAATGTGCCGGGATAGTCCATGGGTTTATTGTAGTATTTTGTCAAGTGTTAATTATATATATAAATGTAATTATTCAATTTTATTATATAGGATGGAGAAGCTAATCAAGCTAAGAGATTCTATGACAAAGTTTAGACGCCTTAAGCTTAGTCCTATTGAAAGAGGATGGTCTGGATCTCGAATGCCAGGTCGCAGTATTGGACCGCCAGATCCAGTGGGAGAAGGTAATCTAATTCACACATATAAAAACATCATTAATAACCTATGTTTTTGTTGGCAGTCTATTTATGCATTTATCTAACAGAAACTATTAAAATAAGAAGTATTATATTTCATATTCTGAAGTTAGTTTCTTTATAAAGTAGACAGGTAATGGCTAATCTTGCTAATATAATAAAATTGTAACTAGAAGATGTCAGTACATGGGAGATATTTGTATGAGGTATCTTAATAAGGCCAATAAAGGCTAAAATATTTAGTTAATTTTGACTGTCTATGTTTCTTCCAACATAATACAAAAACTATTGCACTTATTTTGATGTGGTTTTCTTAGTTATGTTCCTAAAGGTCTAATTTAAAATATGGTGTACATTTTATCTTGATACATCATCTAGAAGTTGTATTTTTCATTGCTTTTTCTATTTTTGAAAGTACAAAATAGTAGGTAAAAAACTACGGTTGAATAGAATTGATACAAGGACACATGTGTGAACAAATGATGAAATAAATGGTTGAATACCCATAATGAAAGAAATTTTATTATGTATTTATTAATTTATAAGTATTCCTTAATTTATAGGTATTCCTTAATTTATAGGTATTCCTTAATTTATAAGTATTCCTTAATTTATAGGTATTCCTTAATTTACAGGTATTCATTAATTTATAGGTAATTCATTAATTTATAGGTATTCATTAATTTATGGGTAATTCATTAATTTATGGGTAATTCATTAATTTATAGGGATTTATTAATTTATGGGTAATTCATTAATTTATAGGGATTTATTAATTTATAGGTAATTCATTAATTTATAGGTATTTATTAATTTATAGGTATTCATTAATTTATAGGTATTTATTAATTTGTAAGTGTTTATTAATTTTTATGTCCTGCACAATATAAATGGTTAGTATAGAGTACTAGCTGGATAATGATGAAAGTATGCTTGTATATATCTATATATAATGGGAATTTTATGATTTTATCATGTTTGTCTTTTTTAATAATTGTCTCAACTTCATGTGGAAGTATTTTTAATGAAGCCAAAGCAATTGTTGTAAACAACAAAACTATACTTCGTAAAATTCACTTTACACATTAAAAAAAGAACATAGGTTTCCACAATAAAGGAATAATGTTAACAATAAATTTATATAACTCAATCAACTTGATATTGATTCTAATATATAATACTATTCTAATATATATGTTTTGTATTGCAGATGAATTTACTGGTTTTGATACAAAAGTTCTGCAACTGAGATCCTTGCTGATCATGAAGGGGAGTCTAGGCCGTACTCGAAATTACCAGGCAATGGTATGACTCTAATTCATAAACCATATTTAAAACTGTTGCAAATTTTTGTTAGTTTTATAGAATAGATTTAGAATATATTTCTATTTAATAATAAATATATGTTACATGTTAGTGCAAAATCTGAAAATGTTTGGTATATTTTATTTCTATACATGCATTAAAAATCTATTTCAGGTAGTTACAGGGAATGGGCAAGGTCTTGCTGGATTTGGATTTGGTAAGGCGAAGGAGGCACCCGCAGCATTAAGAAAAGCAAAGAATAGAGCTGGACAAAAATTGATGCATTTTGAAATCTACAATGGTCATACAAGTAATTATATTTTCTTTACATGACAATATATATTGTCCTTACCTTATCAACACTGTTCCATGTCCCATTGCTAGACTCTGACATAGTTCTCTTTATAGAAGAGAATTCTGGTCTAAGATGTTAGAGTTTTTTTAATCTTATGTATTTATTTCTTTAGTAGTCTCTTACTACATCTTGGGAATAAGAAAAACATGTTTAGACTCTGTCATCTTACATAAATAAATTATAAAACCTCTTTTTATGTGTGTGTTTTAGTTTTCCATGACTTTTATACTGGATTTGGAAGAACAAAGATTTTTGTACAAATGAAAAATGAAGGTTATGGTTTGAAGTGTCATAGAGCTATTAGAGAAATCTGCCAGGCAATTGGTATAAAGGACTTGAGGGCTAAAGTTGAAGGTTCCACTAACTTGCAACATATTGTCAAAGCATTTTTCATCGGATTGTTGCAACAGGTAAAAAATATTTATAAATCTCAAATACCTATTATTTGAGTTATGCCTATTATTAGTTCACATAAGTAAACCTGACCATATAATTTAGAAACATCTCTACATATTTCATGAAATAAATTTAGTCTCTCCATTTAATAAAACTAATGTGAAAAATTTTCATATACATTGTACTAAATATTCATGGTATATAAAATTTCATAATTTTAATTATTACAGAGATCTCATCAACAATTGGCTGAAGAGAAAAAGCTTCATCTGGTAGAATACAGAGCTGAAAATGAGCATTATCCTAAAGTGGTCGCCAGTCCCAGTGAGGTCAGAACCAAAGAACAGATATCTCAAAATGAAACGTTAGATTTTATCCAATATGTAATGAATGACAAAGTCATATTAAGGAAAAAGAAGTTCCCACGCTTCTATGAGACTATGCCGCATTATGATATCTATCTGAAGAAGTATGAAAGGTACAGGAACCATGAGAAAATTCGATTGAACCTGAAGGTGGAATATGGTGAAATTAAGAGTTTCTTAACAGATAAGTACCCCGAAGAACAAACGCAGTCAGATGCGTAATTGTATATTAGATTCTAATTATTTAGAATAATGTAGTTGTAAATAAATACAGTTATAAATAAAATTTTTGTTTTCTTCTATCAATGAGGACTAATCAATAATTTTACTTCGCTCTAACTGTATGTTAATATTTATTGTATGAAAATATTTTTATGATTTTATGCTATTAGGAAACGGTCAACAGTAGCTTTTTCTCCATTCTATCTGGAATTAATTTCAGAATAAAATAGTTCAAATAAAATTGTACTGGGAATTAACTCCTATTATTCGCAAAGCCTGTGAAAATGAATCTTGAGACAGATAAAAAGCTACTCATCACATATTTTTTACTATATCGATAGACATTTATTCGCACCAAGTTCTTTATTAAGTAGGCAAAGATTATTGTGTATTTATTAAATTTTGTATACCAGAAAATAATATTAATACAATATTGCTTGATCGCACTTAGTCAATATAGAACGATCTTGTATAACGGTACATAGATGGATGACGGTCCCAGACAGTCGGCACATATTTTTATCAGTCCAAATATTACTTTACGAGATAGCGTCGTTTGGCGTCTTGTTCTTCCACGCACCTTCCTTCCTCTTTAACGCTTGCGCTATTAATAACTTATTTACCAATAGATCAGTTTAACACATTTTAATGGATGATAATGGAATGGTAGCCTCACCTGCGCTATCAGTATACGCAGGCGGCGCACCATTGAGTGATCATAGATGAGGATGAAATCAGGTCAGTTAGCCTATTGTAGTTGATTTCTAGGGGACATTACATGGAGGTTCACCTAATAGAATATTTGGCTACCAATGGAAATTAACGTCTCTATTATTAACAATCCCCCGCCCTTGTTTAATACATCTAGAGGGGCTGCTATACTTATCCTTCTGGGGCTAAATTACTTTTATAATTTCAATTCAAGTAAAGTCTCTGGTGACGGCTAATAACAAAACTCATATCTTAATCATGTTAAGTATGTACTTCTATAAGGGGAAGAAGTTTGTAGGTTGAATAAAATATACCATGTATTTTAACGATTTATTAATAGATGTTGATTGATTTCAAATATCAAAAAGGAGTAATTTTTCTTATCATTTCCAGTTTCAGTAAAAACAAAATAAAATGGAATAGTTTCTTACTAGTCTAGTAAAATAAGGGAATAAAATCACGCAATAAGAACGTATGTCACAGTATTGAAATAACCTACATTGTATCTATGAGTTATTATAGGAATAAAATATAATAACTACCACAGTTTTCTTACTACCTTCAAGTAAATCATATAATATTTGGTATAATAGAAAAACGAAAAAAAAAACATTTTTAATAAATTTACAATCATGTCATGGCACCCAAGTCGTTCCAAAGTTAAAAATATTTACATTGTAATTACAGCCTTAATAAGCCACTAAATGCACTAAAATGCCAGACTGCCATATAAATTAAGCACCACAGTCTTGTATTGAAAAGCATTTTAGCTTGCGTGGCGTTACTGTCATCAGTATTGAACGCAGGAATTGATTAACGTAATCACTTAATACAATTCGAACGTTCATCTTTAATTATATTTTTTTGTTCATCTATCAGTTAGATTAATTGTCTTGATAAGAATGAAATATTTGAAAGAAGAAAACGATCTCCTTTAGATTTTTCTTTTTATTACTATTTTCGTTACAGTATACTATATAGTTAGGTAGATCTCCACAAACTCTATGACATGTATCGATAAAAAAAGTAATTTCAATATCAAATTAGATTGCTCTCAGCAATAAGACCTCCTTACTGTACTTATACAATTGTATCGTTGAGTTTGTAAATTGCCTTGCTCATTTCCTATATTGTATAATGCAAATAAAGTATACTCATTCATATTCATCAAATTACCATTGAAAATTATTAAAAAAATATTAAAATTGTCTAGTTTAGATCTATAGTCTAGTCTAAATATATCATTTTAACATGTCTTAAAATTAAAATTATATATGTAGACTTATATATTTAAAAAGTAATGAGTTCCATTCTAAAGCACCATTTCTCTAAGTATACCTGTTAATCTAATATTTTAATTTGATAGGCGATATTTCTGCTTTATGGACATTATGAATTAACCCCCTTATTCATAAAAACGTTAAACCTCTTATGAATCCTACTTTAGCTATTGAACTGTTTTGTTTCTTTCTTTTATGCTAAATTCCCAATTTGAATGTTATTAGAAAGTGACATAACAGTGTAAAAAATGTTTCAGCTTTTATGAATAAGGGGGCAAATTTACAATAATTTTCATTTAGATTTATTTGGAATTTATTTAATTTATATTGGTTCATAAGATAAATACTTCACTATAATATCTAATTGAAATATTATTTATAGAAATAAGTTCAGAAAAATTGATCCCAAACTCTATATACCAAAGTCAGATACTTTATGAGTTAGCCAAAGAGAAACGAGGCCAAAAGCCATATATTCTTACTAATCTTGCTTCCTTCAATTATGATTGTAAAATCCAATTCTACAGGAGATCGCAATAATTACATTCTTAACAAAAGAATTTTTAAACTTATAGATTTATTATACAATGACAGTAGGGCAGATTCTTAGGCGTCATTTCTTTAAACTTCTAATATTTTTATTTGATAATTTCGCAAAATTACTCTTTTGTGAGCCATCATAAACTAAATTTATAATAATTTTTACTGAAATCTATTAAAAATTTAGTTCATATTGGTCTTTAGAATAAGGATTTCACTGTACTATTAAAATGAAATTTTAATTTTAGAAATAAGTTTAGAGAAATGACGCCCCAAAATCGTTCTCAGTACCTCTTGCTTGGAACGTGAGTTGTGATCTGTTGAGCGCATAACTTAGCCCCTTATTAATAAGCATAATATATTCATTTGCTGACAAATGGACAATATATGGAGCAACAAAAATTTATAAAACGACGTCCGTTAATTATAATCACGCAAGCTTCAAATGGTTTAAATAAAATTATTAAGAATACATTTTTTCAAGAAGGAACGAGTGGTCTCCTCTTGGTGAAGTGCAGGTAAAAAATATAATACGTAAATAATATTGGGGCATACATTTTGTAAGGAGGTGTATAATGTTAATATAAAACTTCCATTATATATAGGAAAGCGTTGTTGCATATACATATTTTATAGTATGTAATTTGTGTGTGCAAGTACGCAGAATATGGTAATGCGTTGTCATAGTATCAATCTATCTCTTAATCTAATATTTCAATTTAATAATTTCGCGAAATTAATGTATAAAACATTATGAACAAAAATTAAAATAATTTTGGTATAAATCTATAAGAAAATTAGTTCATATTAGTTCTTGCAATCAAGATTTCGCTGTTGTATCAAATTGACATTTTAACTTCTGAGACTGGTATAGAAAAATGTCGGTCAGAATCTCGTCTATTATTATCATGAGCACAACTAACGTTCAAAGCAAATAATAATAAAAAATAAAAAAAAACACTATAGTCAACACACTAATCGTAAAATATTTTTTATACTATAACATTATATCACTATTAAAATTAGTTACAAACACACATGTTTATACCGGTAGTTGATCATAAAACACCTCCATATTACATAATGTAAATAAAAGTGTTACATATTTTATTTTAATATTAGACGTAATTTTTTTATGTATTTCCAATTAAAAATAAACTCGTAAAAAGACATGTTGTTTGTAACTTAGCATCTATAAAACTACACATCACATAAAACCACTATTACAAGTGGCGTTAAACTTTTTTTTTTTAATAAAATTTCAATAAAATCCAATGTGATATTTAGCTGCCCTTTCCAAGAGTGCCTTACATCACACGTAAACAAAAAGGGGATTTTTTTTTTTAAATTCGTAACTATCGACGTGGATTACATACACTTCTCACTGATAAATGATACCTCCTCTATGAGGTTTATTATAAAAGAATTAAGGTTCATTTTTGTTCACGCTAACATTACAAGGTTCAAGCATTTTGAATATAAAACTATTGTATTTTATCCACAATATAAATGAATATTCAGAACCTTCACCAGTATAGTAAATAGATGAGCGAGAGATCATCACATAAACGATGGAAGCATCCAGTTTAGTCGGTTCCATCTTCTGAAACAATAAGGAAAATTCATAATTCAGGAATTATGTGGTGTGATTTTTTTTTATACCACGAAGATGACAAAGCGTACAGCCCGTCCGATGGTAAACATTACTGTAGCTCATGTACGCCTGCAACACTAAGAGTGTCACGTGTGCGTTGCCGATCCTGAAGAAACTTTAATATACTCTTTTTGAGAAACTCCATACTGTAGTCTCTAGGAAAAACTTCGGCAGGGAGCTCATTCCCCAACATGAGCGAAAAAGGTGAGTTTTAGTTACAGTGTGAGGTATTAAAGTTCACAGTAACGAAATATAATTAAATAACCAGTTATTGAAGACTGAACAATTAGGGAACTCAAGTTTCTATGGATTGACACAAATAGCTTTAACGTTTTCGTACTGTTAAATTTGGTAATTATTTTTTCATTTTAAAAGGGTTTATTAATTAGATTTAAAAGAATATGAGATTGGAAAACTTTATCCATAATAAAGTGATGACGGCAAGTATTCCATACACTTGCCGTTTGATCCCGGCATAGAATGGGCTACCTCTTCCTTTCCCGTGGAAGTCGTAAGAGGTGAATAAAGGAAGAGGGGTAGCAGTGTCCCTCTTAAAAAAAGAAAGTTTAATTGCGGTTGCCAATCCGCTAAGTATGGCAATTACTGGCAATACTTCGCTTATGGGGAAGGCCTATGTTCAGCAGGGGGCAGTTAACAGCTGAAATAATAATAATAAAAATGGAAGACTTGTATCGGTTCGTTCTCACGTTTGTGTGAATCAAAAGTACAATAATGCGTCCAAATTATGGACTTAGCACACTGTGCTGCTTAAAGTGTAGTAATGGGTATTGTGTGGCGCGAGATGAGTGTGTGCACGCCGCCTAGTGGTACATACCGCGGTCGGCGGCGGGCGCGTGGTGGTCGTGGTGGTCGTGGTGCGGGTGGCGTGCGTGGGGGCGCCACTTGTCGGCGAGGTCGCGGCGTTGGTGCGGCGCGAGGTGCGCGCGCACGCCGCCGAGCACGTCGGCCGCGCCGGCCGCCGCGAGCGCCAGCGGCGCCACGGCGCAGCCCGGCAGGTGGCGCAGCACGCCCGCGCCGCTCGAGCTGCGCGCCGCCAGCGCCATCGTCGCCGCCGTCTCCGCGAACCCCTGCATCCACACCGCTGGTTGTATATACTTACAGAATTGATGTTTGCGAATGTATACAGAGATAAAGCAACGTTGGAATTCTTAGAAATTTAGAATGGTAAACAAGCTGATGGTTCACCTATTTAAAAATGGTACCCATCGTCTGTAGACATGAAGAGTACTATGGACATAACAGAGTATACTGTTTCGCCAATGATAGCCCCTTTTCGTTGTTATTCCTAAAGACTAAGGTGTTATATCTTTGTACCCTGTAAATTTACTGCCACCCTTCAAACCGAAACACAGCCATGCAAACACAATTCCTTCATGGGTGAAACACGAATGGGACAGAGGTAATTACGCAAACGATTTTTTTTATAAAATCTACCTCTGATGTTTTGATGTGAGTTTATTTTTATAACAAACTTCACATGTATTAAATTTTTTTAGTAACGCTACAATATGAGTGTTATAGATAGAGATTTTTTATTAACCTCCTTGACAGTCTGGTAGGCGGTGGCGACGCCCTCCCGTATGTCGGCGGGGTGCCGCGAAGGATCCTGATGTCGTCGGCGGCGCCGCTGGCGGCGGTTGTACGCGTCCTGCAGTTGCAGCGTCGGGCTTGGTGTCAACATGTCGAAAGCCGTCTCCGCCGTCGCCTGTACAACCAGAAACAGTGGGGTTACTATTTAAATAAATTCCAATAGTTCGATATTGAAATCGAGACGTTTCGCACTCTCGAATTGCAACACTAGCGACATAATTCCATATTGTTCTGATAGATGCATATTAATGTAACTTGTCAATGTAAACTATTGTAAACGGATTGGGGGGAAAGGGATTGTTAGTAATGGAGACTGAGAATCCCATTGCTAGCAATATACCCAACCAGGTCGACCTCCTCGCGGTTCTCCCTGGAAACTATCATGGTTAATTCCTGATGAATGCATCATGATGGGCTAACTGGCCTGTTTTTATTCTCATCTATCACCCTTCACTAGTGCTCCGCCAGCGTATTCCGTTAGCGCGGGCGCGGTTACCATACCATTTTCACCCATCAAAAAAAAAAAAAATTGTAAACGGATTCCAATTATAACCTAATTCCTAACTATTGTTTCATGAGTGCAGATATTAGATTAAAAAAAAAAATAGAATATTAGTAATAATTTGAATTTTAAATAATAGAACTTTTTATTAGGAGACATATTTGAGTACAGAGTGAAAATGAAATCGATTTAATGGCGTTTAGCTGCCTTTGATTTTATAGGCCTCATGTTTCTGAATGGGTATGTTTATTGGCCTCACTGCGATCTCTCGAAGAGTTGACCACGTAGCAGCGCGTGCGAGGTGCTGGTGTGTACCTGTATGAGGTGCAGCAGGCGCGTGGTGATGTCGAGCGCGGCGACGGCGGTGCGCGCGGTGAAGGAGGCGGCGCCGCGCCGCAGCCCGTGCACCAGCCGCCCGTCGCGCCGCCACTGCTCCACCGGCAGCCACACCAGGTCGCGGATGCCCGTCACTGTACACACACCCACCACATGTCTACACAAATCTTTACCAGTGTATACCTTTATCATACATTAAAAAAATCTTTCCCCTACCAGTCCATTACCATTTTGTGTTACTATGGCACACGCCATAGGGAAGATCATTGGCACGATGGGTTATAGACATAAAAGCAGTAACAGGTACACTTTGGACAAAGATAGCCAAATATAGAACAGAATGGAAGACTCTGGAGGACTTCGGACAAGACAGGAGTGACAAAACATTTACTTATAAAATATTAATTTTATTGAATTGTTTATTATGTTACTTTTTAAATAAAGGCTTATATTAATTATTATTATGGCATACACATGAAAGAATTTTTTTAAATTATTTTATATATTTTTTTTCGTTATGCATTCTTTTATCTCTTTCTGCTGTATATGTCAGTTGTTATTTGTGTGTTGTAAGTAATGCACATAAATTATATATATCTATTTATCAGTCGTTTCAAAGACAAAGGAACGAGTCCTGAATCACATTCAGAATTGTAATTGTTCTGATTCGCCAAAGGCTTTGGAGTAATGGTCGTTCGTTATACTGTGGACTGCCACAACAGTATTAAAAATACATTAAAAATCAACTCACATTTATCCGTGGGCAAACATTTCTTTTATGTTTTCCTCGTTTTTTCCATGATTTAAGTGTGAAGAGAAATAATTCTAATCGTAAATTTTATATAAATAAAAAAAATTGCATATTACAACGCATTTACACGCTATCATGTAAAAATGAAAACACGAATGTATCAACCAATTATTTCATTCATTACCAATACAACAGCGTAGATTTTTTTTTCTATAATCAATAATTTAACGTCAAAAAAATAAAATATACTACTTTTTTATTAGCATAGATAATATAACAATAGATATATGTGTATTATTAATTTCTAAAATAACACAATACACAAACTCACGTAGTTGAAGCAGCGAGTGCATGGGTCCGATGCCGCTTAGTAGGCCAGGCAGCTGGTGCGCCTTGATATCCGTCAACCATTCATGTAATGCCCATTGGACCAACTTCTCCAGGCCCAGCAGTCCCAATCTGGATACATTGATAGGGATTATCGGTAACAGGATGTATAGCGTGATGATATACCCTGCCAGGTCAAAGTAATCGCGATCCAGTTATAGTCTGCAGGGGGAATCGCGTGGATAATACCTAATGAGCTTGTTATGATATGCAAATTGACATCACGCTTCACTGGTACCCCATCAGGGTACATCAACAGCACAGTCAGGGTTACCATTCAATTTCCATTCAGCAAATATTGCTGTAGCAACATTTTGAATGTATTAAAATTACTAAAGTATAAAATATTTTATATGAACTTTATGGCTGAGTGGCATCATTTTAGTGTTTTTTCTTTTTTATTTTAAATTATTTTTGTTTACTATTAAATGTTTTTTTGTTATTATGTGTGAAATTAGTACTTAATACACATTTCTTCCATTCTAAATTATTGTTAGAGTAAATCGCAACTTTACTACCTGGGTTATTGAATGGGTTACATTGTATAAGAAAATATGCGCGGGGAACAAAAGTTATTCTGAAAAACCTTAACTGGAATTTGGAGTAATACATATTTTATTGAGACTTGCTCTCCTGTAAAGTGCCAAGTTTTACTTACGCGATATTAGAACTTCATTGCCGATATGACAAAAATTCAACACTTTTTGATGCAACAATGCTTACCCTTTCAAACTTCTAAATTAATGAATTAATTAGACGATAGTTTTTTTTTTAATAGAAAAGGAGCTGGTTCCTTACTAATTTTGTCAAGACTGAAGTTGCTTTTTTTATATAATTTTAAATTCCTTAATGAATACTTAATATGTACCTGTAGTCAAGCCTTTTAAGTGTGAGTTCCGAGCAGTTGAGTTGGCCGAGCCCCAACAGAAGGCCGGCAACCGGTCCCGCTGACAGGTCTACTCGCTTGCCCACGTAATCCAAACGCACTGGCACTTCAGGTGAGAACACTACACGTCTGCAAACATTAATGCATGTATATAATTTTATGAACCTAATAACAAATGCACATGAATGTTGCATGGTCCAGAAACCAGTCCAAAAAACTCGACAAAAATATATGTAGGTGAATAAAATATTTTGAGGCCATTTTTAAAAACTTTTAACAAATTTTTAAGTTTCATTTATATAAGTAATTCTTAAATATTGAGGTAACTTAACAATAATATATGTAGTTGGAACTTTTATCAAACTAAATATTAATTTTTCACAACCTTTATCAAGACAATAGCGAATGAACTGTTTATACACCTATCTTTGATATCAAAATCATTGTTAATGAAAAAAGAGAAAGTTAGGACTTAATAATATAAAAAAAATATACTATACCTGAAGTAGATCGGCGAGTCATCTACTGGTTCTGCATCAACTGGTAGCTTGGGTACAGGCTTCTCTTGACTGACACCAAGTCGATTGAAATCTTCTTCCAGTTGAATCAGGTTCTCAGAAACAAGCCGCTCTGCTTCATACGTCTCCATTAGCGGCTCCTCGTTGCGTATCACTATAAATTATAAGTAATGTTAATTGACTATTAGTAAATACGATAGAAAGTGCAATTGATGTATCCGGCACTAAGGACCAAAAAAGTATGAATAAAATTAGATAGATTGTGTACTAATTGTACATTGGAATACTGAAATTATAGGTATTTTAGTGTAAAATGAATAATGAAAGTACTACTGAATAATACAGCATGTAAACATTTTACTAGCTACTATATATGTGCTTTTTACTATAAGAAAGAATATTAGACCATTATATCACGTTGTTTAGGCAGTTTAGTAGATAAGTAGGGTTTTATTTCGGGTAGTTCCTTTTACATTGATGTGAATATGAAATGTTTCATTAGTTACCTTTTACGACATCCTTGGAATGGAAAGATGCACAATTGCATCTGACCTATTAATCCTACTCATCGATGTGCCAATTTATACTGCAAGAAAGAGAGGACAGACTGTTACCAACCGGCGTCGTTGAGCGAGAGCGAGTCCGCATCGCCAAGCGAGGTGGGCGTGGGTGGCGGGTCACGCAGGTGGCTGGCGATGCTCATAACGGGCGGCCGGTGCGTAGGCGTCGTCTGCCGCGAACTATCCGCTGCCGTCGACCCACACGACAGGACGCTAGCGCTCTCTTCGTCTACTGAAGATCAATGTAAGATATACATACGTTAGAATTAATTCTATATATCAAATATTTTTACAGGGTATTTACAGGGTACAGAGGAATAACATGGGCGAAACAGTATACTCTGTTATGTACATGGTACTGCTCATGTCTATAGGCAACGGTTACCACTTTTCATCAGGTGGGCCGTCAGCTTGTTTGTCATTCTAAGTTGTATAAAAAAAAAACTAAATACAGAATTAAAATAAAAATGATACAGAAATAAACCGTTGAGATTACGTAACGTTGGACGTTACTAATTCAAGGAACATTTAGCACTGTCAGCTGTTTCGAGCGCCGCAACATCTCTATATTAGAGAAATGTATGGACAGGATTGCAGCAAATACCACGACATGGTTTTTGCTTGCGGGGGGCACGTGGTTATTATACAGCTTCTATCGCTTTTTTTTTAATGCAAGAACGCTGTAGGCATGGTTAAAAATAGTTATATTTAATTTCAAATATTACTAATAAAGTAATAACTTACTGCCCGTTTCGTCGGTGCCTAGTTTGGAGAAGTATCCAACCAAAAAAGCGAGTGTGTCTTGGTCAAGATTAAATCTGAGCGGCAACAGTGACACCTTCAGGCAGCACTCTTGAGCAGACAGAGCCGGCTCCTGCCGTAGGTGTACTGCTTTTACTATTAACTGTGGACAAATACCAAATATGAAATTTTAGTGTCTGAAAAGGAGAGTATCGGAGAAGGCTTATTTAATAAGAAATATGCCAAACAATCGCAATATCAAACCTAAAGAATATTATAAATTTAAAGATGTTTTAATATTATTTAATCAAGCTTTAATGAATGAACGAATTAGAATGAAATTTGATACACAAGTAAGCTATATTCTTACAAATCATCAGCCTTTAACTGTCCACTGCTGAACATACACCTCTCCCTTGGGGGGTTTGTCAGTAATTGCCACGCTTGGCAGGCGGCTTGGCAACCGCAATTAGGTTTTGGTGATGTTTTGAGAGGGGCGATGCTGCCCATACTTCAGCCATTAAGTTCCCTTAATTGCCTCTTACGACACCCACGGGAAAGGATATATCATAGAAATAATATATCATAAAAATAATATATCACAGAAATAATATATTATAAGTAGTAGTTAGACATTGGAGATGTTTTAAGAGAGATACTGCTGCACATCCCTCGCCCTCCCTTAGTCACCTCTTAAGACACCCAAGAGAGGAAGGAATAGCTTATTTTAAGCCGGGACGACACAGCCTATATTCTTACAGATAAAATATTTTAAATACAGATTCGCGTGGACAAAGCCATAGAATACAGTAGTATTTTGTGTGACTGTTTAATGCAAATAAATTTAATTTCAAATGGGTAAGCATAGAAGTTCTTTTTTTTATACAACTTAGAATGGCAAACAAGCTGACGACCCACCTGATGGAAAGTGGTAACCGTCGCCTATAGACATGAGCAGTACCATGGACATAACAGAGTATACTGTTTCGCTCATGATACCCCACATGTACCCAGTAAATTCACGCCATATTCCACCCTTCAAACCGAAACACAGCCATGCAAACACAACTGCTTCACGGTTGAAATACGAATGGGAAAGAGGTACCTAAGCAATCGACTTTTGAACAAAGTCTCCCTCTGGTAAAGTTCATAATCAGCTAGGGGTTTTTGTTCAGCACTGGACTAAGAGAAAAAGATTAAAATAATGATGTTGATATGGAAAGTAATTTATCAACATACCATATGAGCATTCTTCCTTTCAGGTTCGTCTTTCAGTTTGTATTGACTGAGTAATTTGTTAATGTTGCTGCACTCGAGCCGGTCCAGGATTTCTATTTTGCTGATGGCCAATGTTTGCCGAGATGCGTGGACGCCTCCCGTTGGGTATATGTCGTATTGGAATTTCACCTTTAATTAAATTACGTAAGTAGATAATAACGCGTTGCTTGGGATATTGAAAATAAAAATGCATTCGTAACAAATAATATCGTTACTTTGCATTAAGCGTGTAAAAAAAAAATTAATAGTATTTGTTATATATTTTCTAAAAACTCAACAAGATTTTTGAAATAAGAATTTCTAGCGTGAGTTTATTTTGCCTAAAATTTTGATATGTTTATGATGTTCATAAAGACATTAAATGGTATAAGTTCCTTTTTTATCAAAATTCTTTATTTAACTGAAAGGATTTTTTTTAATACAACTTAGAATGGCAAACAAGCTGACGGCCCACCTGATAGAAAGTGGTAACCGTCGCCTATAGACATGAGCAGTACCATGGACATAACAGAGTGTACTGTTTCGCCCATGATACCTCCCATGCGTTGCCATTCCTGAGGACTCAGGTGTTATTCCTCTGTACCCAGTAAATTCACGTGAAAGTATTACATTGATCATATAGAAATTGTATTAAAATCAGTTCAGTAATATAGTTTTTAATCAATAATAACTAGTTTTGTCACGATTTAAGTCAGTATTTTGTGTGGAGCAAAATCTTAAATTAAAACAAATTATTAATAAATATAATTAAAACGATGCCGTACCTTTGTGAGACATAATTTAACACAAGTACAATGATCCCTGCCGGGCCCACCCCGCGTCCTGAGCTCGGCTCTGTTCGGTCGTGCCGCGCGAACATTCGTGCGAACACGCTCGGAGCCCGCGGTCCAGCTCACACCAGCTGTACTAATGTTCACCGACCGTGGACTCTCGTATGGCTCGTACTCTTTGTTGCGTCTATTTATTTATTTATTTATTTATTTATTTACACTTTATTGCACCAAGTAAAAAGAGAAATAACAAATACAGTAAATATTAATGAGAAGTGATACAAAAGGCGGCCTTATCGCTAAGCAATCTCTTCCAGACAACCTTTGGGTAGAGGACATTGAGAAAAAGACAAAGAGTAGGTGGCGCACTATTATATAAATATTATCATATACAAACATATATAGATACATACATACATATATACACATACATATATAATATATACACAATTAAATATATACATAACATACATACATACATACACATACATATATAATATATACACAATTAAATATATACATAACATACACATACTTAACAGCATACATACAACAGAAAAAAATGATGAAGGAAAACGAAGAGAGAACGCAGGAAAATAGTACTAAAGTGAGAGGTAGTAAGATTTAACAGAGGTTTTGAAGCTAGTAAGAGTTTGAGCGCACCGAATAGAGGTAGGTAGTGAGTTCCATAGACGAACTGCCTGAACAGTAAAGGATTTAGAATAAAAGGAAGAAGAATGAGTGGGAAATTTAAGTCGGAGATTATTGACACTGCGTAAAGTATGATCATTAGCCTCACTGAGAAACAAGAATCGGTCTTTTAGATAATCAGGAGCAGCAGGATTAAAAAGGATTGTGTAAAGAAGAGACAGGATATGCAGATTACGACGAAAACGGATAGGGAGCCACTTGAGTTGAGTACGAAATTGAGAAATGTGATCATATTTGCGAAGACCAAATATGAAGCGGATACATAAATTTTGGAGACGCTCAAGCTTGTTTAACGTAAATTAAGCAACGTCTATTAATCAGTAATATAATGTTATTTGAGTGAAAATCGCTTTATAGCTACAAAGATTTGCAAGTTGCACTCAACGTAAGACGGTCGTAATGAATAAAAAAAAATACGATGATCAATATAATTTCTAAGGGCTTTCCTTAGAGACTACAGGATGAGGTTCTTCAAAAAAGGCGTAGTAAGATTTTTTTAAGGGTAAGCAACGCGCGCGTGATATCCCTGTTGTTACAGGTGTCCATAGGCTACGCGAACTTCGTTTATCATCAGACGGGCCATATGCTTGTTTGCCACCATAACAGTATAAAAAAGTCAATGGAATTTGTAGACTGTTGTGGAGAACATAATACTTGACATTTCTACATATTGCTGAGTATATTAGAATCTAAAGTAATTTATATCTATCATCGTTACTCTGACAAATTTGGTTTTTATGAGTGTTTTCCATTATAGTTTCATGGGACGCATGTACGACTTTTAAATAGCTTATTTTATTTTATTCTAGCATTCCCCTAAGTCAAATCCTTTAGTAATATGGATAAAACCATGTTACGCCGACCCCAAATAATAATTGGGATAAAGGTAGGAAGATGATGATTCCCCTAGTTGAATGAAATTAGATTTTCAAACTCACTTGACTGCTAAAGGCGATTGTTTGCGAGGATCCACATCTATAGTAACGGTCTTCTTGCTAGATGAGGGTTCGTTGGCCGATCTAAAGTCGTTTCCGCCATACATATGCCATGTTATGCTCATTTCGCATAAACTGTACCTGTGTATATAAATAGTGTTATTTTGTTTTATAACTTTAATAAATTTTTATATAATCAATTAGATTATATATAAAAAATCATACAATATCTTATTTTTCTTTTTATTTATGTGTCGTACATATTTTCTGTGAAACTTGTGGAGAAATAAAAATATTTACAATATTCAATATGAAGGTTAGCTCATGTCAATGGTGTTATATAAATTTGATGATTGTAACTAAATAAATAAATAATAATTCCTACTCTGTGGTATACAAGAAAAACATTTTGCGTACAATTTTTTTTTTCTATATTACCTAATAATTAAAATGTTATAATCCTATTTTTATTCTGTTGGTAGTATCACAAGAGGGAATATTCTAGTATAAGTTTATTTTTATTACATTACATAGAATGCATTACGAAGTAAAGATAGAGATTTAATATACCTATAAACCGGTGTAGGGAAGCTCTTGGGTGCTTGGAGCACATCAGTTCTCGCGGCGGGCACTGAGAAGTGGTTGTCGATCATGGGCGGGGGCCCGCTTCCGAACCAGCGCACCTCGGGCTCCGCGAGGTCGTCATCCTCGGTCGCCTGCGCTTCCACTATGCAGTACTCGTCGTCTGTGTTGCTGCCATCGCCGCCCGAGTCCATCTGAGTTTACGTAAAGTTGGCAATACGGGGGGGAAAGGGATCGTTAGTAATGAGATTTAACAGCCCCATTATTAGCAATACTCCCTATCAAGTAGATCTCCACACGGTCCCCCATGGAAACCATAGTGGTTAATTCTTGTTCAATTGGTCACTATGGGCCAACTGACCTGCCTTTATCCTCACCTGTCACCCTTCACTACTACCCCACCATTGTATACCGATAACGCAGGCAGTGTTACCATTTCATCTTCAGCCATTAAAAAAAAATGTTGGCAATACATGCTTAATATAATATAAGTGCTATAACCCCCTAACACAGCGCAGCCGGGGGAAGGGATTGTTACCACCAGCCAGCTACCAGTTTCATTGCTGGCAATACGTCGACCTCCACGTGGTTCCCCCTGGAAACTATCGTGCTGAATTCGTGGTGTATTCATTACGATGGGCTAACTAATCTGCCTTTTCATTCTTACTTATCATCTTTTACTGGTGCTTCGCCAGCGTATACCGTTAGCGCAGGCGAGGTTACTATTCCATTATCACCCATTAAAAAAAACACAGCGAGGCCTATGTTCAGTAATGGACAGTAAATGAATGATAAGTACCATACAATGGTACCAATCCCCTGGTCCTCAAGCTAAGACAATATGTTTTAGGAGGAACGAAGTGGAACGAAAATCTGGACACCCCAGAATACTAGGATTCAAGCCAAACTAGAAATAAACTTTATAAATAAAAAAAAAACTATATTGGCCTGACTGAGAATCAAATCCGGGATCTTATTATGTAAAGCAATATAACTACCGCTACGCCATGAAGAATGTCACAATGTTTTTGTACAAACAAAACTTCGAATCGAGAACTCGAGGGATGGGCAGCAGCGTCCCTCTTAAAACATTTGTAAAAGCCTAACTGCAGTTGTCAACCCGCCTGCCAAGCGTGGCAACTACTGGAAAAACTCCCCTTATGAGAAAGGCTTATGTTCAGCAGTGGACAGTTAACGACTAAAATAATAATCCTAAATACCTTCTTCCGTTTTGGCTTTCTTGGTGTGGCCTTAGGTGTGGAGGTAGGATCGCCAAGTTCCTGCGCCACTTGCACGTTTGTTGGCTTCAAATCTTGGTTTTCTTGTGTTCCACTATGGAAGTCCTCGTACTCTAATGACTTAGATTCGGTATCTACATCTATAAGATCCGTTTGCCTCTGCCGCATATTCGATTCGTCGGGGAAAAAGAATATCTCGACACCTTCTTTTTCTGTAGAACTATTGAGGTCTTCTTCCTCGACTAAAAGAAAAAACGTCAGTGAGTGAATGAAAACTCTTTATTGTTTCCTTCAAAGAATGATCTAGATTTTGTACAAAAGTCGATTGCTTGGTTACCTGTATCCCATTCGTGTTTCTACCGTGAAGCAGTTGTGTTTGCATGGCTATGTTTCAATTTGAAGGGTGGGATATGGCAGTGAATTTACAGGGTACAGAGTAATAACATCTGAATCTTCATGAACGGCAATGCATGTGGGGTATCATGGGCGAAATAGTATACTCTGTTATGTCCATGGTACTGCTCATGTCTATAGGCGACGGTTACCACTTTCCATCAGGTGGGCCATCAGCTTGTTTGCCATTCTAAGTTGTATAAAAAAAAAATATGTATACAAAATTAATAATAAATTAAATCAATTTAATTACATAAAAAACAAAATAAAAAGGCGCCAACAATCGGCCTTGTCACTAAAAAGAATAAACATATCATTTTTACAAGTTCAAGAGTTATTTAATATTTTTTTTTATAATATTCATAAAATTTGTATGAGAAAGAATTTTTGAATAGAAAGTATGGTAAGACTGAAACTGTTATCTGTCTTTTGAGAAACTAATCAGATTAAGCAATTTACTTACGTGTCGTATTTGGGCTTTCCTTCATTGCTTCGGCCATCAAATCATTGACTTGCTGAATTTCATTGGGTGATAGTTCTCTTATTTCTTCTATAGGACGATCGTCTAAACCTATAATTAAAATATTACCAAAGAAAATGTTAATCTGAGTTTATTCAATTCTACTATTATCGTGTATTTTTTTATAGGTAGACCACGTGATCTATGTGAATATTCTGTACGTAACGTATTAGATTTTTCTCACGTAATGTTGGATCAACAAGAAAAGAAGGAAGTTTTATTTATGCAATAAAGTATACCACAGTGGATTCTGTGGTATACATTATTTCCTTTGTAGGCTATGTCCTCTACAATCCTATATTGTACGTGCATAAAATTTCACAGTAATTATTCAAGTTGTTAAAGTGCTAAACGGTAACAAACAAACTCACTTTTACATTTATAATTTTATGTTTATATTTACATTTATATTTATAATGTGAGATTTTGTTTTTTTTTTATCTTTCAATGTTTAAATTATAAACATATCTCAGTTACGCGGAGAAAATCGTAGGTAAAAACTAATGGATTACTTACAGAGACAAATCACCATACAATTCTTAAATGATACAAACATTAAAAAAAATAGGTAGTACAGTAAGAATTATTTATCATGAAACAGTATATTATGAAAAATAAATATATAGTAGTTAGTTTACGTACCAACTAACTGTTCCAACGGTTGGTCTGAGCAGATGCTGGTGTGCCGCGAGGAGGGATCGAAGGGCGGCTGCGAGTCACCGTCGGCGGCCGCGTACGTCAGCAGGCGGCACAGCGCCGAAGCGGAGTCCCAGCACGTATACAGGCTCACCATGTTGTTCGATGCGCTCAGGTCCACTTGCGGCTGCTCACTGGGCTATAATGGACGGACAGATAACACATGTATAAGTTGGCAGTGTTTTGTATGACAATTAAAGAAAGGAAGGTAATGTTATTCAAGTATATGTTTCAATGTTAAGGGCAGAGTGTAGCTTTTACTGTATTAGTGGATTTTATATTATGTAGAGGGTTGTTGTTAAAGACCAGAGTAAAGTCAAATATGTAAAATAAATATGACGGTATAAGAGAAAATTACAAAATAGTTTTTCTGAATATTGAAATAAATCGTTTTAGAATTAACGGGCTAGAATTCCACTACCGTTATAAAGTTTTTGTTGATGCCATGTTTGCGACTCTTTCACGCAAAAACTACCAAACTGATTTGAATGAAATTTGGTCCATGGATAGGTTATACCTTAACTTAGATATAGGTTCTTTTTGCATTGATTTATGCGGGCTAAGCTGCGTGATATAGATAGTTACTTAATAACTTGGAATTATAAAAAACGTAATATTTAAATTGTAACAATAGGTATACATAGCACCTGTGATTAACTTAAATTGTCACTATTAATACTGAAATAAACTTACAGCATTATTTTTATCTTCCCTCCTGACGGACAATTCAAACAATCCGACGTCGACGACACAAACGTAATCCTTCGTCACGTCGGGCAGTTTGTCATCGTCTTGCGGTACCGCCACATGGGGCTTCGTCCCGTGGACATGCATTAGGAACAAGGTGCACTCCTGGGCGAGGAACCGCAAGCACGACGTGTTCGTCTCGGCGATCAGATTGCTGGATACGGCGAAGTTTCCAAGGGTGAGAACAGTCCGTATTGGTAGGTATAGTGGTCTGAAAAATAAGGAGAAACGTAAAATCGCATGGCACAAAGATTTATTCTATATTTGGTGTGATTAGAGTAGGGCTAAAGATATGTTATTAAGACGTGTTGTATTGATTTCGTAAAATATATGTAATAGATATATAAATAGATTGATATATAATTTATTTGCATTGCTTACAGGACACAAATAACAACAGACATACAGTAGAAAGAGATACAAGAATACATATATAAAAAAAGAGCAAAATATATAAAGGAAGTAACAATCTTTTCCTTTTATGCGTGTGCCATAGTAATACAAAATGGTCACAACTCAGTTTATTGCTTTGCTCACAAAAAACCAAGACACTTATATTCTGTTATGGCCAAAAGCCAGCCAATAGTTTTGTGCGAGTTACGAAGACACGACATACTAAATTTTGTACACAACCTATGTGCACTAAATTGCTAGTCTTTTTTAGTTTCATTAGGCAAGGTGGAAGAGATCTCTTTTAAAGGTAAGCCCACTCTTACTAACAAGATCTACTCATATAACCATTCCGCTGTATATTTTTTACAAGTGCAATAAAGAAAATAAAAAAAAAAAAAAACTATTGTGAATAATAATTTTACGAATTCTAGATCGGGGGAATATCAAAACAATTTTTTTTATAGTTATCTGAGTTGTGTACCCAGATCTCTTTTATCTGTTTCATTTGTTTGAGGAACTGAAATTACAGTGATTGCTAAGCATTTATTAATAAAAAAAAAAAACAAGACAAATGATAGATAGTATAAATACGATTGATTACCTGTAGTCCACAGCGCAGTCCCAAATGTGGACATGTAGCTCGGACAGAACAATGGAGGGCGTGTATCCTGGGACGGGGAAGTCGAGTACATCTATAACGTCCATGAATTGCGTTAGCCACGCGGTGCCCTTATCGCCTCTGTGTCGTAGCGTCGCTTGCTCTATGCCCAGCGCTATGCAGATCGTCTATGACAATTATTTCATTCTTGATTTCAATTTATTAAATTCAATTGCCAGCTAGGATTTCAGTCAATAAGAATTGGCAAAAAAATCACTGTTATTTAAAGTTTGGTAAAATATAAAAACAAAATCCCTTTAGGCGAGATAAGATCCCTTTAGGTGAGATTTAGATTAGACGTAGTCTCTCTCAGTTTTTTCTTAAGTTATTAATTTCAACATAGAAATTGTTTTGTTAGATATATAATAAGATTTTTTTAAAGCAATGATAAGTATTTAAAATATTTTTAGAATATCAAATATACACGCTACTAGTGTATAGATTTAGAGTTTTAATACCATTTAGGTTTTTATGATCACTAAAAATTTCAGATAAATAAATCATTATTTCATCAATATAACGATAATAAAATAGCTATTTTACCTTTAAGTTAGGTGTTTCGATATCAGGTTCCACTTTAAGTGCTAGTGAGAACATATCCTTGGTTTTTATATTTTCTTTTATAACCACACCTTTGCCTGACGGGTAAATGGTAGTTTTAAGATGCAATGGCAGAGATGTGCCATACAGCCGTAGGTTTGGTTTCTCTGACGGTATCGTGAGAAATGCTGGAAGGAAAATTATTTCGTTAATTTCTTAAGAGATAATATGAAATTACTAATAATATTATATTGAATAAATTTTCAATAAAACTAATTGTTGCAAGCAACAAAATGTATTTTTATAAATATAAATTTATTTTCAACTAGAGACGCCACCTGGCATTGTAGTATAGAATTGCCATTGTGATAGTGTATGTACTCTTAACTAGTTGGTCGTTCTGTGTACGCAATTGTTAGTTGTTTAATAAATATGTGCAAATATGTATATAAATTTTGTATAATCAGTATTTTTACTCTACAAATACAGTCCACGTTCTCCACACTAATCGTCAGAATAGAATTGTAATTTACAATCAATGTATAGTCCGGCTCGAAGGATTAGAAATTTTCAATAGTCACAAACATATCATATAGTCAATCATAAAAATAACACATTATTTGATATGTAATATTATTATGAAAGGCTAACTGACTTTATATTTGTATTACAATAAAATAACTAAAAGTCAATACTGTAAATTAAAATTATTGTTGCATTGTGAAAACGTAACACTCAACTTGTTCATTACATTTAATAAAGCACATCCAATACTATTAATACACATGTAATCCACAGCCAACTTATGAATTCACTTTTAACATAACTTGAATTATTTATAATAATGTTATTGTTATTCACTTACATTCGTGGTATAATGTCATTTTCCCAGATCGTAAACACATTTGCGCGGTCTTCGGTCGGCCGTTGAGACCGCTCACGTGGCACATATTGAGCTTGTGGGCTTCCAATACCAGCTCACCCATTTGACCTGGCACTACACGCTTATTACTGTCCTGTGTGATAAAGTAATTTTTATATAAGAATTTTATACAATGAAAAATTGTTGAATCTTTTAGATGATATAGTTCGTTTCAAAAAAGGGTGCATATGTAATATAATTAATCTAGACGGGAGTGCTTACTTTAGTCCCTTTTGACAAGACAGAACGAACTTATTGTTACGTTTTTAAATACGCTCTTATAAAAAAGAATGAGATGCTAGCCATAGTGGACATAACTGTCACGTTGTAACTTACGCACATGATAGCGATAACGTGTATGTCGAACGGGAATAAAAATAAGAGAAATTTAGATACAACTAAAGGTAGCTGTGTAGGCCTTCCATGTCCGTGGATGTCGTAAGAGACGACTAAGAGAGCTATGGTGGAGGGATGGTTAGCAGCGTCCCTCTTAACATAACATAACATCACCAAAAGTCAAACTGCGGTTATCAACCCACCTGCCAAGCGTGATAACTACTGGCAAACTCCCGTTTATAGGGGAGGCTATATTCAGCAGTGGACAATTAACAGCTGATACAACAATCAAGGTAAAATATATATATATATATATATATATATATATATATATATATATATATATATATATATATATATACACCAGAGGGAGACTTTGTACAATAGTCGATTGCTTGGATATCTCTGTCCAATTCGTGTTTCAACCGTGAAGCAGTTGTGTTTGCATGGCTGTGTTTCAGTTTGAAGGGTGGGATATGGCGTGAATTTACTGGGTACAGAGGAATAACACCTGAGTCCTCAGGAATGGCAACGCATGGGGGGTATCATGGGCGAAACAGTATACTCTGTTATGTCCATGGTACTGCTCATGTCTATAGGCGACGGTTACCACTTTCCATCAGGTGGGCCGTCAGCTTGTTTGCCATTCTAAATTGTATAAAAAAAATTACATACAGAAAACGGAATGAACTTACCCGCACGGGCGCATAAATAGTGAGCAATCCGCTGCCTACTTTTAAAGAGAAACAGAAGTTATGTGTGTCTTTCTCATGTACAATCTTCGCTGTACCGATTCCTTTTTTTAATTTATTATCATATGTCGAATAGTAGAGGTTTTCTTCTTCCGAAGATGTGCTATCGGAATCTGAATCTGAAAGGAAGGCTTGCTATTAATTTTTATAGTGTTCTATTGCAGTTGTTTTATTTTAGTGTTTTCTACGTAAATAGAATCAGATAATTTCATTGCATATAGAAACTAAGACTCCATTTTATTATTTAAAATAAAAAGAAAAGATTGACAATTAAATATTGGGTTTGCTGGAAAAATCTCTATTGGAAATAAGCTCGCCCTTGTGCACTATTATGTTTGTTTTTACATTTTAATAACCTTTTGTGTACAATAAAGAATAAATTTGTAGTGTAAAAAAATAAGCATAGGGATAGTTTAATTTTTTAGTCTAAATACAAAATATTCTTTATCGTCGTATCTATTTCTGTTAGGAATAAAAAAATTATGTCCGTTTTATAAACAACAAGGCATTTTGATTGATCAGACTTTACTACTAGAAGGACCATAATAATAAGAGCTAAGAGTATATTTTTGTATGTATTCATACCACAGCCAGTGGTCTTGCAGGCGCCAAACGCAGGATATATAGAGGCGCACATGAGCGGGTTGATTTCGTACGGATCGAATGGCTGCGGCTCCCACAACAGCAAGTCTGAATTGATCCGGTTGTAAATGATCTCGTAGAGTTGTTTTGATCTGTGTAGTAACAATAATAACAATATTATCCGCGGGGCTTAAAAACGCCACTGTATATGAATCGCAATAGGATTTTGTTTGTATAACCTGTCTATGTGATTGTTATAGTCTGTAATATAATACCCTCAATGCTAGAGGCCTATTAAATTTGGCGCGTTATGTAAAGCCAATCTTATTATTAATCGTGTAAAGAAGGATTAACACACATGAAAAGTACCATGGACATAACAAAGTATGTATACTGTTTCGTCCATTATACCTCCCATGCGTTGCCATTCCTGAGGACTCAGGTGTTATTCCTTTGTACCCTGTAAATTCACTGCTTTCAAATCGAAATACAGCTGCTTCACGGTAGGAACACGTTTGGGACAGAGGTGCTATAGTAAACGACTTTTGTACAAAATCTCTCTCTGGTTCCTTACAACATCTTGGTCATAGGATAGAGCGGTGGTACACTTTAAATTTAAGTATTATGTATTATATTAAAAGGAATTTACTTTTATGATAAATAAATACAAAAAAATGGTTCTCACTCAAGTTGCAGGCTCAATACAGGCAAATTGAATTCCAAGTGTATTGATGAAGTTTCTATGGCGCTAGCGGTGAATTCGGCCATTTCTTCATCATTGCCAGGAACAATTAATTCTTCTTCACGGTCTGTAATATATAATCAATTTGAATTGTATGAATAAGTATAATTAAATATCTCACATGTCGATTGGTAATTTCATAAAAATAACAAAAGTATTTTAATTATTAATATTTTCTCGCCTTCATTTAAATTAAGATTTTTGTTCTTAAAAAACACACATAACGTATTAGTCGTAGAATACTGACGGATCTTTATATGTAATATTTGTCAGATCCGTCAGTATTCTACGACTATGACGATAAAGACATGTTTGTCACGCCTGTCTCCCATTAGGGTAGGCAGATATAATGGAACATCAAATGTCTCGATTCAAACAGACTTCCTTCGCTTCTTCTACATTCATCAATCTTTTCACACATGCTCGCCAGTTATGGGTATTTTAATTTAGCCCTTGGTTAAAATTTTAAACTTCAATAAATTAATAAGACTCATGTAATCGTATGAGTATAAGGATTACATTTGAAAACTAAGCAAACTTTTTATAACAACATTTAGTTCAATCATAGAATATCTACAAGCAAAGATACATAAAAATTAGCACTTTATTCATGTATTCAAAATATAACATCATTAGGTAATTAACATCGACAGAGAATTATCCTCACACGCTAGAATACAGAGAACTTTCTTTAGGCGAATGCTCAGGCTGTGTGCAATAAGTTCCTTGCCGAGGTTTACAATAGTATGCAGTTTTTAAATAAAGAGTGTATTAAAGTTTCTTCAAGGTTGGCAACACACACATAATTTAGTGTTGTAGGTGTCCATAAAGACTGTTTACTATCAGATGCGCTGTATGCTTGAGTGCCAACTTCGTGGTATAAAAAAACATTGTTTACTTTTAATCATATATTGGTCGTTTCGTTAGATTTTAGTATAGCGGATATGCTTACCTTGTGTATTATCGCTCTCGTGCTTGGTAAAGCTTTGATGCGCCATTTTCTTGCCACTGAACGGACTGGGTTGTGTACTGTGTAGATTGTGCATTATGTACATGGACGTTGTCATTGGGTTAACGTTTGCTGGTTCGAAGCTTGCGACATCGTCAAATGGGCCTTTGTTTGTTTTGCTCGGTTGGAATGTTAAGGATATTCTGAAATAATATTGATATAATTACTACGTTTTGATATAAGAGCTTTGTGAAGATTTTTTTTTATGCAACTTAGAATGGCAAACAAGCTGACGGCCCACCTGATGGAAAGTGGTAACCTTCGCCTATAGACATGAGCAATACCATGGACATAACAGAGTATACTGTTTCGCCCATCATACCCCCCATGCGTTGCCATTTCTGAGGACTCAGTGGTTATTCCTCTGTACCCAGTAAATTCAGTAAATTAAAGTAAGGTGAAAGGTGAGAGGTAAGATAATAACTTTTGTACAATAATTTAAGACAGAGAAAATTAATAGAAAACTTACGTCGGTAAAAGGGTTGTAGTGTTGCCGCTTAAAATATTCCCTTCAGAGGAATCACTCATTGTTGTACGAGCTATGTGAGTAGCTGGTAAACTGTCATTTTCCTGAGAAAAACAATAATTACGTTTTGTTAATATCCAAGAAGGTTTAATAACTTTATTACATAATTTAAGTATATAATTTATGAAGTATTTATTTCGATTATTGGAGAAAATCTATAAAAAAAGTTTAGTAAGATATATACTTAGTTGTAAATCCCCCAAAAGTAGTAACAGTAAGGCATAGAACCTTATTGTTTGAATAATAATTATTATAGAAAATCTTTGTCGAACTAGCGCCATTTAGGTCCTTCGAGTCGGAGTATATTTTGTTAATATTGAAAAATTGCAGACTACTGATGAAAATATTCCATTTTTAGCTTCACAAGTGTTTAAAATATTTTGCTTTTTCTAATAAAGCGCTTCTTGATGATATTTTTAAACTATATTATTTGATAATGATGATGATATATTAATACTAAGACTTACATAATAATACAAATCCAGCATGGTGGTTTTGAGGGTGATGGTGGTAGGGAGAGGACGGACGCTGGGTAACTGTTGTGATCCTATTGTTACATTCTGGAATTTGAACAAGAGGTAGTCGGTTCGGACACGCCGCGTCTCATGGTCCACTGACGGCCGAAGATCTGCTATAGGGAACCTGTTAAAGGAAATTTATTAATGTTTGACTGTATGTGCATTAGTTAATTTAAAAAATATATATGTTTATTATTATTTATTTCAACGTTAACTGTCCACTGCCGAACATAAGCCATTCCCATAAGGGGAATTTTGCCAGTAGTTGCCACGCTTGGCAGGCGGGTTGTCAACCGCAGTTAGGCTTTTAAAAATGTTTTAAAAACACTGCTGTCCCTCCCTCGACCATTATGTTCCTTTAGTCGCCTCTTACGGCACTCACGAAAAAGGAAGTTGTGGTCCATTCTATGTTAGGAAACACACGGCGATTGTTAATTATATGTGGCTAAATTATTTTTTATTTTCATTTGTCTTCACAGAATGAATTTGAACATGTGTGTGATTATTGCTAACGATCCATTGGCATGTTGATTAGTATGTTTGTATTGTTAGTTCAATCCACGTTTTGTATAAGTTGGAACATACAACCCTCCTTTTTCAGGTAAGAAGTCTTTATATCTTAGCCGATTTTACCTTAGTATGGCGTTGAGATTAGGACAGTGCAGTGAGAAGTTGAACTGGTTGTGTGAGGTCGTGGCAGCGGGAGCTTTGGTCGCCGTCGACCCACCGAAGAATGTCGCCGACATACGTTCAATCACTGTTAGCTCTACGTCTAAATGGCATGGCATACATTTTACACTGAAAATGAAAAATTAATGAATTAATACATGGAAAAAATAAGCAATAGACTATAGACATAAAATAGTAGCTGGTGCACTTTGGACAAGGATGGCTAAAGACAAAACAGTTGCTGACTGAACATTAATAATTGTTAAACTATTTATTACTAGATGTATTACGCGGCTTTACGTATGTGGATCAGTATATAAAGTATCATGAATGCTAAGTTAGGATATAATCTAAACATATACTAAATATCGTTCAGTAGTTTTTGCGTGAAAGACTAACAAACATTTTATCTTACAAACTTTCTTATTAATAATATTATTAATTAATCCTTTAAAAAGATTTATAATAAATAATAAAATAAATGTACAGCTTAATACTTACACCACTTCAGTCGTTGGATAAACTAGTTTCTTTTCTCCAGAGACTCTCATATATTTGGAAGTTTGTTTGAAATTGATTTTTACATTTGCATTGGAAGACGCTGACGATTTTTTGGCAGTATCTTCATCATCCTCTGTGAAAAAAATATAAAAGGTCAAATTATATGGAAGTCAATATTAAGTATTTCCACTTAATAGGAAGAGAGAGGAAGAGAAGAGAGAAAGGAGGAGGGGAGAAGGTGACAGAGGAAAGGTCTAGGCTGTCGAGCTTACTCGAAAATATGACTAAATAAAAAAAATACCTTTTTGATCAAACCGTATCAAGTCATAACTTTGTGGTTTGTTATTGTCGTTCGATGTGTAGAGGCATTCCCTTAGTAGAAGATGCCGTATTGATGCTTCACAGAGAGTCTGGTTGCCATGTGAAGTTGTCTTGTCACTGCCATCTAGTGTCACCTCGGATGTTATTAGTCTGTCAAAAAATAGGGTATGTGTTATTTATCTAACATATAGTTCACTTTTACAGCTATGAACAAAGAAATATGGCCAACGTGAGAAATAGGTAAACATGATATTTTATATATAATTATAAATATTTAGGTATAATTGTATACAAGTAAAATCATACATTCATTATTATGATTCTTATTATAGGCGTGTTCTATCAATAAGTTAAATAACGATCCTAAACAGACTGGTTCTCCTATACAAATGTTGATTTTTGGCTGATATTTTCTTTGATGTTGTTCAGTTTTAATAATAGAATAAGTTTTTAAAACAATACCAATGATTTTGATGTTACCCTATAAATAAATGTTGATTGATTGTACCTCAAATGATTTCTTTTCGTAGCGTTATCGAGAGCCTCATTGGCCACACAAAACTCTTTCGTTCCTCCGTCTGATATTGAGAACCGCTGCAGATGTTCGAAGAACGCTGTGGACACCTCATGTAACTCGTATGCGGAGGCAGGCGATATACAATCTGACCCCATAGGCAGAGTTGTTAGGATATCCTAAAAAAATAATTTGGTATACATATTTAAATTTGTTTCACTCAATAATATTTTATTATTTTATATTGCACTGGATGTATCTCGTGGCTTTAATTGCGAGAATTAATTTTGTTGAAGTAAAGGGCAATTAATAATAACAATAAAGTTTATTCTCTTCACAATACCAGTTGTACATCTATTATACTCTAATACATTTATTTTTGGAGGTTACATAAGTTAATGTATTGTGAAGAACTGGTGTCTGAAGTAGGATAAACCTGTGTTACAGATCACTAGGTCCTCACCCCACGGTGTTGGCACTATTTTACAATTTGCTCTGATTATGAATATAATAACAACACTTATATATATAGTTAAGGTTATACAACCGATATATTCTACATAATATTATAAAATATTTGAAAACAATATGTTCTAATAATTACCTTATGTAACAGAATACAGGACATAGAGGATATTCGTAGACTAATGTGTGATACTTCCGCTGTAGGATCACCGTCAATGTGTGGGACTAGAAGAAAAATAATTAAAAATTTAAAAACGTTTAATAATTTGAATGTTCGTTTATTACTAGGTGTGCTGCGTTTTTATATTTTACCATAGAACAAGTTTTCTATTGTAAAAAATGCTTAATTTATTACTAGCAACCCGATTTGGATAGTTTTTAAAAATAAAACACAGAACATTTCTACAGCTGAAAGTTTTAAAATTGGTGTTATATTTTTTAAATTTAAAAAATAATTTCGCACTAGATATGTTCTACGCGTTCTTCATATTTATAACAGCGTGCGTGCGTGCGTATGTACGTGCGTGCGCACCTGCGTGCACGTAAGGGTTAATGTGTACTCCTCTACTATATATGTATGGTTACCTTTTTTATTTCGCTTGATGCGTGGTTGAAACCCTGGCATGTTGACGCTGGATGTCATGCTGGTGTTCATAGAACTGACTGATGAATTAAAGCTCTCCGTCATCTCGCCGCGTGGTATCATCGGGTGGAATCTCTCGCTCTCTGTGTCACTCTCTTCTAGTAAAAAATATATTATTCATGTAGTATTAGTTTATTGTAAGCAAAACTAATCTTAGAAGTGTGGGATAGGAGCGGGAACGCTATCCACAAAGATTAATGGCACCATTGCTGACAATATGCCATATTTTTTTTTTTTTAGTGGATGATAATGGAATGATAACCCCGCCTGCGCTAACGGTATACGCTGATGGAGCATCAGTGATGGATGATAGGTGAGAATGACAATGCAGGTCAGTTAGCCCATCGTGATGAATACACTTGGTATTCAGCACGATGGTTTCCAGGGGGGACCACGGGGAGGTCGACCTGGCAGGGTATATTGCTAGCAATGGTACTGATAGTCCCCATTACTAACAATCCCTCTCTCCCCAATATGCCATATTAGGTCCATTTTATGTGATTCCTAGTGGTAAATACCTGGTGAATTCGTCAGAATAGGCCAATTAATATCCACCCTCACTTATTACTTACAACAATGCAGGTAGGGTTACAATATTGTTTTCATCAATTAAAAAGATAATTTTGACTACTTATGTCTCTACATAGTGGATTGAAATATCATTGAAAGAAATGGAAAAAATAAAATGGAATTTTTATTAAATGGAACTAAAATTAAATGGAATTTTTATTAACGATTTCATACCGTAACTTGGTCCAGACCATCCACTCATTCCAACGTAAGGTTTGCTCGCGCTCTGCTTCTCTAAGTTGCCTAGTAATTGAGCCTCAATGAGTTGGAAATCGGCCCGTTTCATTGGTTTACATTGGACGTTTACACCAGTTGGCCGGAGTGGTATGTTGCTGTGAATTATATTATTTATATTATAATATTATTAAGTAGCTATTTCTGTGCAGACAATTAAAACACAATTAAAATTGAGTTTTTTTTTATGTTTATCAAAGGGCATATGGTTTATATGGCAGTGAAATTGTAGGGTACGGAAGCGTAACACTATAGTACTCTGGAATGACAACGCATGAGACATTACAAAATACACTATTGCCTATGGTACCTACCATAGGCAATAGTGTATTCTGTAATGTTCATAGTGCTGTTAATTTCTATAGACGACAATTATTTCTATCAGGTGGGCCGTTAGCTAGTTTGTAATTCAAATAGTTCGATAGTAAGAAATTATAATTAAAAAATTTGTCAAATATATTATAACTTTTGAATGTTTTACTGAACTAGGTTATTTGATTAGAGTTATTATGTTTAATTCTACTATCATCAGTATGTGTATGACTGCTAACACTAATGAACCGATGAAGGGTTAACGTTAAGCTCTGAGCAGTGATCTAATAAAAACATGTGTGACCAAAATTGCAGTTAGATTTTGGTGGTTATATTAACCGTTTATGTAAAGGTTGAGGAAGTTGTAGTAGTAAAAGTGCTGGTCAATCCTCGAGTGTTGGCAGTCACACATATAATAATAGTAGTGGAATTAAACAAAATAATTCTAAACAAATAACTTATAAATGGTTATTAGTTTCAGAAATAAATTAAAAATTTACCTTGTGTCTTCTAAATGAGGTTCGTTAATAGCTTCTATGAGCTCAATTAATGTATGTAATTGTCTTGGCGTTATAAATACTACGAATGATCCTAATAACATTCTGACTTCGACTTTAGGACCTTCTGCTTCTTCTGTGTGCTTAATTTTAAGTGCTAACTCTTGTTGCCCTGTAAGCTTAGCAAATAGTATAGGTTCTGGCTGATTAGATTTCTCTTCTGGTGTTGTTTCTTTTGTTTCTGTTTGTGCGTTCGTTTCTAAATCAACCTCTTTGACAGGCTCTGACTCTATGGTTGATATAACACTTCTAGTTTCGTAAAATACATCAGATATAGCGCTCTGGTAATTAATATCTGATGGGTCAATTTGCGATGATTCAGACTTGTCTAATTGTGATGAAGTCGACTTCTCCATAATGAGACTTCGCGCCATAGTGCGCAATTTAGATGGGAACTCATCTGTATATAACGTGACACCATTAAATTTAATTTTTTTATTTGTATATGTCGCTACTATATAGGTTTTTGGTTTTTCCGGATCCGTCACTTCCGGAGTGGGCTCTTCGCCCGCCTCATCAAAGTAGTCAATGCTAGAAAAAAATAGTGTTTTTAAAAAAATATATAAATTTTTATATTTATATTTAATGGTTAAGTAATAAATAGCCGGAGATTATTAATCTTTATTAACAACTTTAAAATTCTTAATATTCATATTTATATCAGAGAAACAATGATCATTTATTAAAAGCATCATTGATGGTATATGGACACCACACAAACTTGTAATTCTATATGACTAGGGAAAAGCGATTGCTCAATTTAACAGGATGACCTCCACGTGGTCATCCCTGGAAACCATCTTAGTTAAATTCTTGTTGAATTTGTCACAATGGGTAAAATAACCTACTTTCATTCTCATCTTCTTAAGTTCAGTTTTATTAGTCGCCTTTAATACATATTTAAGAAAAACCAAATTAATTGACATAGGCCGAAGCATAAGCATGCTGAAGTGGCATTGGGTTGATCACATAGGTTAAAGAACCGACAACTGATGGGGAAGAAAGGTCCTTGAGTGGCGACCCCGTAGAGGCAAACACTATCTCTAAATATTAGTGTCTGTAAAGGAAAGCTGCCTTTTTATTCACAATATAAACATGTTTATGATTATAAAAATGCATACTTACTTTTGTATACGAATATCTAAGGCAATGCCTCTATCACCATTTTTAGGAACATGTTCAAGTCTTATTCTAGTGTCAACAAATTTCACTTTCACTCTGCTTAAAACTGAAATAAGATATTATAAAACATTATGTTAAATATTCAGTTTCTTTTCTGGAAAAAACAATTTAATTAAAATAGCCCTAACAATCAGTATCATTTATAATTATTATTGTTCTAGAAATAGCTATATAATACTTAGCAAAAATATTAGATTTAAATGGTTGATTAAAAAAATGTTAAATAAGTAAAATCGGAAATAAATCATTTAATAAGCCAGTCAATTCACAAATTTTAGACATAGAAATGTAAAATGATGATGTTAATTCTAATTTTTATAAAATATAAATTATTGCCAGTTTTATTTTCGAATTTTAGAGAAAGAATAATTAAAATCTATTCTAAAATTTCATTCTACACATATGTAGTAGTATAGAGTAATAATTATATTGAATTTTTTTTTAAATTAAAACTCACTGGAATCAATGGCATGGGCAAACATTTCAATGCCCTCAACAGGATGTGTCTCTTGTGGTCCATCTTCCTCGCGGAGACACTCTGCAGCTAATTGCATGGATGAAGACATGGAGGACCACATGGATTCCAACATTGATGATGCTGTTGTAAGGATTTTTTTAATATTATTTTTCTATACAACTTGGAGTAGCAAACAGGCACATGCCCACTTGATGATAAATGATATCTGTTATGGTTATGTATAAGGGTTAATTGAAATGGGTAGGTATATTAAAGCAAAACTGTGTGATTAAAAGTAAAGTTATCTAAGTAATATTATAAATGTGAGTTTGTTAAGATATTTGCAAACATCTTTATTATTCAATCGCTTTTATATAATTAAGATTTTAATTAGTTTTGGTATATAGATAGACCAATCTTTAGATTAAGAAGTATTACAGAACAGACATAGGATTTATTATAACTTTATGCAGATATTAGATTGCTACATAGTGAGTCTTTGTAAGAGTTTGTAACATCATCATAACTTAAAAGTTATTGAAATTTTAAGTTAAGATGTTGCATTAACTTCATGTTATTTTTATAAAACTATCTCTATATATCTTTTCATTAATTTTCTTTATTTATGATTATAATTTCTTTCTTTCAAACAAAGAAGCATTATTAGGTATGTATAGTTAATATGTTACAATATATAGATAAGAAAATGAGAAAAATTAAGACAAAAGCAAGAAATGAATTATAAAAAAAAGAATTCTTTTAATAAATCCAACTTTTATAACCTGGAAATAATATTTTCCTTCTATATGTAATAATATCTAATACAGCATGTAATTTATAAAGATTTTGAATGTACTTTTGTTTAAAGATATCTATTATGGTAATATTGATGTCATCAGCAAATTATGTGAAAATGATGACTACAGCCTTGGCCACCCTAAAAATCCTTAAAAATATATATCTATATCTTGACCTGTACTTGCTTTTTGTCGCATGGTGCACGTCTAAAGGTTAAAATGAGCCAATCAAAACAACGTACCATGTCATAAAACTATAAACACAATAGAGGCGACTCATTTCCAGGAAAGTCGAATTTTAGGGGAATGTTTTTTTCTTGTCCAAATCTTAAGAATTTTTTTAAGTTTATTGTAAATTTCTAAGTTGGCAAATACTTTTGGCCAAGGCTGTATGTTAAAATTCGATTAGTATGGTTTCATTCAATAAACTTTTAAACTGTACATGCATAATTAATTTTCATACATATATTAATTGCTACTTAGAAACTTGTACTATAGTAGTTTAATGAGATAATTTCGTTTTTATAGTATAAAAATATATGATTGGCATGTCTGTAAGATATTGTTTGGCTATATATATATATATATATATATATATATATATATATATATATATATATATATATATATATATATATAATAGAGCTGTTAAGGTATATATAGTTAAGGTATATATGTCGTTAGCGGGCAGCTAAAGTTCTACAACTATTAATATTTAGAATATGAATTACTATTAACACTTATTATAGTACAAATATACAGTTAAATGAAATATTAGAATATATAATAAAACATTACAAAAATGCATATACTATAAATAAATATAATACCTAACCACTTATATAATAAATGTTAAAATAAATGAATATACTACCTATATTGGAAATTTAGTTTAACGAATTTAAGATTTGACAATTCAATTAGAGAAATGGGAAATTAAGATTATGATTCAATGGAAAGAAAATGTAATTTCAACTTTTTCTTGAAAAAGGTAGTAAAAGGGCTCTCTTGTATGTGGGAAGGGAATTTGTTCTATAATTGGGTGGCTCAATATGAGAGAGTATACATATATATATAATATCAAGAAATAACAAAAATAAAAGAAAAGATCATTTATAATATTAATAAAAATGGAAAGTGCTACAGACTTAAGCCACATGATATTGAATAAATGTTTTAAGCTGTGTCCTTTCATTTGTTATCAATTTTAATAATAAGGTTTACAGTTATTAATTTGTTTTGAAGTGCATGGAATGATTTAACCATCAGAATATTATAGAAAAACAAAATATATCCCACATATTAAGATAATAAATTTTCCATGTATTGACAACACAATTATATCATTTTAGATGCATATTAAAATTGTTTTCAAGTGTTTTATTGCATACATTTTGCTTTCATGTCATATATGTAAATTATAAAAAGTATACAAAGGTATACTAATATAATATGTCTCATAGATAATAGAAAGGAAAGAATAGGATCAGCAGATTATAAAGATACTTCATTCTTACCTTCTTCGGTCCGAACTTTGGGTTGAACAGTGAGTGACAAGCCATTGACCTCCACAATAGAGTCATCTTTCAACAAGGTAGACCATGGTATTGTAACTGTGATCTTTTGCATATGACCATCAATTATTTCTAGTGGCCAGTTTTGTGAATCTCCAAGTTCATTTAGGGCCTAAAATTTTTTTCAATTAAGTGATTAAAAATAAAACACATATGCTAAATATTATTTTGTTTTATTTTATAGAAATTTTAATCATTCCTCTATCAGAATTATTTATATATCAGTATGGATCAATTTATATGTATAAAAAATTAAATGTATGTTTTAAATTTACAATAAATACAAAAGAAAAAAACTTTTGACATGCAATTTGATTAACAAATAGTTGAAATTACAGCTGAAGGAAAGTGGTGTCTATAACATGTAAACATAAACAACTCTCATGGAGATCACATAATATCCCACAATGCCCAATGGTAGGCTAATGTATTATAGATTTTTATGCAGAAATTTAGCTGCAAATAGGTTACATAAATCCATGTACACAACTTTGGAAAATGGTTTGTATGAATATTGCTATTTAAAGTATAGTAATTTTATTTTGCATTGGGCCATTATGTATGAGAGTATGGTTAGTCTAATTAATGTAGATTATACTAGTAAGCCATAAAGAGATTTGAATAACTTCTTAGATATAGGTAAATACTATAAGATGAACAGTTTAAATCGAATAGCTGTAGTTTAAGTATAAATTTGTAACGATAGGACAATACTTCATTGTTTGGTTATGATTGTAGTGTACTTTGAATATTATTTATAGAAAAATAATAATTTTCAAGTTACGAGCCTCTTATACACAACTCTGGCACAAATGGTCATAAAAATGGCGACTAATTGCCATTGAGGTAGAGAAGAAATCACAAAAAAAAATTCTATAATGTTGTTTTAAGATTTGAGTGCAGGTATATATATTTAAAAGAGAAATAGTCTAATTATTTTTATTTATAAAACAATTGTATGGTAGTTCATCTTTTTATTTCAATACCCACATTATTTTTATTTATGGAAGCTTTATTTACATTGTATAAAAAAATAAATATTATGAATATTGTAGTATTTAAAATAAAATAGAAATGATTTCAAGTTTAATTCTTTTTGTTCTGGTGCTTGTTCTATTGCAGATGTTGTTTTTTTATGGTATTTTATCTTTTTACTTCAATATCCACATTATTTTTATTTGTGGAAGCTTTATTTAGATTGTGTAAATAAATAAATATTATGAATACTGTAGTACTTTAAAATAAAGTAGAAATAATTTCAAGTTGAGTTTTTTTGTTCTGGTGCTTTTTCTATTGCACATATTATTTTTTATGGTATTTTATCTTTTTATTTCAATACCCACATTATTTTTATTTCTGGAAACTTTATTTAGATTGTATAATAATTCAATATTATGAATATTGTAGTACTTAAAAATAAAGTAGAAATAATTTCAAGTTGAGTTTTTTTGTTCTGGTGCTTTTTCTATTGCATATGTTATTTTTATGGTATTTTATCTTTTTATTTCAATACCCACATTATTTTTATTTATGGAAGCTTTATTTAGATTGTATAAAAAATTAAATATTATGAATATTGTAGTACTTAAAAATAAGGTATAAATTATTTGAAGTTCAGTTTCTTTGTTCTGGTGCTTGATTTAATGCACGTGTTATTTTGTTTATTGCGCACAACGAATTGGCAATTATACGACAACTTGGGAAGGACTAAATTGAATCATTAAATTGTAGCTATGTTTACTTTTGTTCATTATAAAGTATTTTAGGCTAATACACTTACTTCGCAGTCAAGGCTAACGTCGCAGACCGTGCCTGTTCCATTGTAGAGATCAACACTCAGCTGATCGAGTGTTAGCTTCTGTTCGAGGAAATTACCAAGGTAGCGTTGTAGAAGATACCTGCAGGCCCTCTTCTTGATGCTCTCAGACCATGGCAGATACCACAACATTTTCATAACTTTATCAAGATCATCACACTGAAAATTTTAACTTTTGTATGTAATGACTATTGTGAATTTGTGATTGTGATTGCGTGCGATTGACTTGTGAACGTAAATAAACACGACGTTTCGTTTTACGCAGTGAGCGTTTTTAGTTTGACGTATTGTATCGAAAAATGGTAGATGCCAGGATCGCACTAAGGAATCGCAGGTACTGTACTATTTTTGTAGATCCCACTTCAACTTATACATTAAAAACTAAGCGGTAAAGGTGAAGTAATTACCTAATTTTTTTACTTCTAATAATAACGAAGGTAACATTTTTGTTATTGAACTTAATGTTGAGGTAATTTAGTAATTATTTTCATGAGCAGGGAGTATTATCAAATTATTACGTTATTATATTCTTTGATCATGTTCTTAAGTTTGAGCTTCGTATATGTTTATATAAGTTACTTGTTGTGAATACTCGGGTTGTGGAATGAGCATTTATTATATTATCTGTGACCAAGGTTTTTGCTAGGTATTTTTCCTTGGTTATATAGATACCTTGGTTATATAGATAGATATTTTCTACTCTTTTCTAGGTATATAATATGAGGGTTTTTTTTTAAGATGGACGGGTTTGGTGTTGATAAAGGGCAGCGAATGACACCATTTCCCCCCTCCTAGTTTTACAGTTGCAGGCTACGCTACCCCTATCTGTGCTGGGCCTCTAGACAAATGGCAAACGAATTCGTCGATGGAATCGACATCGCTAAAGAGTCCGTGAGATAGAATGAGATAGCAATGCCGGATGATACATTCCAACTCATGGACTAGTTAGTGATGTCGATTCTATCGACGAATTCGCTTGCCCCTTGTCTAGAGGGCCTGTTCTTTATTCGCAGAACTTATATAATTACTAAAAATATAATCGGAATTTTTTATGTTAAAGTTTATGTGGAATAATGAAGAATAAGGGAATAAATAATAATATTTTAATGCCGTAAGCATAAAAAAACTAAAATCAGCTTTTAAAATTGACATCAGTTTAATTTCTATAATGGAATTTTTTTTATGCAACTAATTGACAAACAAACTGATGACCCACCTGATGGAAAGTGATAAACATCACTTATAATATAAAAAAAAAATATGGTTAGTTCCATGGACATAACAGAGTATACTGTGTCGCTTTGATACCATTCATATGTTACTAGGATACTTGATTATGGACCCACAAAACTAATCTTAACTTCTCTTAGTATATCTTCTTTCTCTTAGGAGTGTAATATGTTATAATATAATGAGTAGATACATATGTTCAAGCAGTTTATTGGTGACGGTTACAATTTGTAATCACGTAGACTGTTAGCTCGTTTGCCATTACAAGTGGGCACTACAGATGTCCACTTATAAAAAAAAAAATTGTAAAATTAATTAATTATATTATAAATAAAGAGGCATTGTTTTTTACAAGCTGTTTAATTTATAAAGGTACTTATTTACGAAACTAGATTAATTAAGTACTACTCGTACGACATATTTCGAGGTGGGTATTTAAATTATATTGATTGTTCAGTTTCATCATTCTCGTCATTACTATCACTTAGTAATGTGAGAAAATCATTCTTATTACACGTGAAGATATTTAAATGATAAAGAACAACTCCTGAATTTACGGGTAAATATAATGTTCCAGAAAATACGGAGGAACCGACTCCCGATGCAGAATGTGCGAAGCAGTCAGTGTTGTTTATTACTATGCTTATTTCAACTCTTGATACTTTGAAATTTGCTGTGAATTATAAAGTTTCTTTTTTTAATAGAAAGTACAATTTCAAATGTAATAAAATTAGCATTGAGACGTTTAGAAGTAAGATAGTGCTAACGCTAATTGTGACTTTTTTAAGTAAATAATAATCATACAAATCGTTTTAAAAAAATTTGATTAAACAAGTAGTAAATTATGAGTATAATCTCACAGCGGTGGTTATAATTTAGCTTTTAATGAGGAGGCTGCCAAATTATTTGCTATTACAATAAAACCTCGACTTTGAATTGAGGATTTGCACTTCGAGAGTTTAAGTTTCATGGTACAAGTATTAATTTTTTACCTGATAGAATATAAAAAAGAAATTTAAAATTAGAACTGGTTTATCCAAAAGATAGTTTTTATCATTGACTTGAGAAGTCTAAGTATATATTTTTTATTCTTACATAGAAGAACGAAGAGTGTAACTTTAATAGGACAGGTGCCTACCATATATAAAAAAGATCTTTATTTTTGAAGTAAGTTGGTTATAGGTAAGTGATTACAAATACTTACGATCGCTGCTTTTATAGTAAATATCAAAAATACGGTTTAACTTGACATTTCCCCATACTTTATTCTCGACAAGTAAGAGTTGTTCTGAAAAATATAAAGAATGTAAACAGAACACATGGAATTTATATTCTAAAAGACCGTTATCTTTCGATTCTCACTGTCTACTTGGTGCAGGAATTGAAGATATGTTCTCTTATATTTGATTAAACGCGAAAGTCTGTTCTGTTCGTCTAATTGTTATTATTTTATATAAGACTAGATTTTACCCGCGACTTTGTCCGTGTGACCGGGATTTGTTTATTAGTTGAGATGAAAAGTAGCATTATAAAATATTTTTCTCTATTCCATATAGTACGTGTATACCAAATTTTATAGTGATTGATTAAACCGCTAAAGCATTAAGCGCTATAGGGTAATAAACAACTTATTTTCACATTTATAATATTAGTAAAGATATATTAGATATTTGTGTTTTTTTTTATACAACTTAGAATGGCAAACAAGCTGACGGCCCACCTGATGGAAAGTGGTAACCGTCGCCTATAGACATGAGCAGTACCATGGACATAACAGAGTATACTGTTTCGTCCATGATACCTCCCATGCGTTGCCATTCCTGAGGATTGTTATTGATATGTATTTAAAACAACAAAATTTTCATAGTGCCTCCGACAAAACTGTTTATAACTAGGTACTCCTCTCCATCCAAAGGTTACCTGGAAGAGATCGCTTTTAGCGATAAGGCCGCCTATTGTTTTCTCAGTGTGAACATTTCTTGTAATTGTTTGTATCTATTTATAATAAGTTTACCACTGTAATCTTTTGGAGGAAACAATAAAGAGTATCCATCTCTTTATCTATCTCCACATTTCTATCTATCTATCTCCAGCAAACATACAACAAAATGCAAAAATTGCAAGATTGACAATAGAGTATACAGTTCGCCTGACGGTAAGATTTCTATAAACATTTACAATACTAGAGGTATCACTTATGCTTTACTGATTATCAGAATAAGATGAAATAGCGGTATTTTTATACATAAGATCCGTCTTCCAAGTTTCCGTTCTCACAAAACTTTTGAATTGAATTGGACAAACACTTATTTGCTCATCTTCGTAAGTTTGCTTTCGTACCTTTACAATTTCCCAATACGAACATGATCTTGTAATAAGGAAATCCAACAGCTTGTATTGTTCGAATGAAACCGATTCCATATGTGGTTCGAATAAAAATTAGTTGAATGATTAACAAAGACATTTTGATGTTGTTCATTATATGAACCATGATGTTAGTATGACTATTAATTAGGCTAAGGCATTGACTTTAGTCCGGAAAATATATACACGTTCTGTCGGTAGGTAGCGTTGACATATAAAATTACTCCATACATGAATTGCTTAGATTATATAGATAGAGCATCGAGCCTTTTTATTAGTGTTCTATATACTTACGATTTTTACAAAGAAAGTTAAACAAAAAATTACAACAACACAAAGAGCTATGGAAAGAAGTATATTAGGATTAAGAAAAATACATAAAATTAAAAATGAAAAAATCAGACAAAAAACTAAATTAGCAGTTGCAGTCACACATGCTCTACGTATAAAATGGCAATGGGCGGGTCACATCTCACGATTTACTGATAATAGATGGACGTTTCAAAGTACGAAATGGACAGGACCACGAGGTAAGAGGAACGTTGGTAGACCAATAAGACGGTGGACTGATGATATATTAGAATATACAGGAAAAGACTGGTTTATGATAGGCAGAAACAGAGAGTTGTGGAGAAAGATGAAGGAGGCCTTCACCCAAAGAGGGGTCCATATCCAAGAATCGAAGAAAGAATTACACTAACAATTAGTTATTAAGAAAAAATATAAAATAGATTAGATACTAACAATACTGTATATATATTAGGAATATGGAAATAAATAAAAGCCTTTATTATTATTATTATTATACTTACGCACACAATGTACCTTGATGTATCTATATTTAATTATTTATTAAATAAAATGAGTTTTTGTGCATTAACAAGGTGTACAATTTATAAGACAAAATAAATACAGAAGTTATAAAGGAATCACTCATAACTATTTATCATGCAAAATTGTATGAAAAAGTTGACCTGCTTCTCTAGAAGCATTTGTATGGAGACACTTCATCTATATAATCGAAGTTGAAGTGAATTTTAGTACGTTTGCTATTTTTAATTACTTGTAAAACGTGGCTGCGTTCAACTAAATCAAGATAGGTGTAGGAATTAAGTACCTAAATATGAGCATTTTCATCTTTTTTTATATTTTATTTTTATGTCACAAAGAAATTTTGAAGAAATATAATATAAAGGTATAAAAAGAAGGTTTGTAGTAGTATCGGCGACATAGGTATTAAATTAAATTTATAAACTTCGGTCAAGTAAAAAATAAATATCAAATAGGTTATAAACATAGTTCGTTGCTTCATACGTGGGTACTTAAAATTAATTTGAATATAGTTTAATTAAGATTATGAATTAATTCTGGAGGTTTTGGTATCAACTAAATTACATATCAAAATCTATACTCGTAAGTTAGTTGCTTTATATACTCGTATATATATATATATATATATATATATATATATATATATATATATATATATATATATTTTATTCTAACATAATGTAAGGTATAATCTATTTTATATCTTCGACGTTAGCAAATTTAATAAATAAGGTACATAAATACGAATTAAGCATTTCCTTTTTTTTTGAAGTTTGTTATATCAGTATTTAAAGAACCCATAAAATACTAATAACTATGAATATAGTACGAATTCAATCAATATGTTTTTGTTTTGCTGATCGTATGTGTAAACGTGTATTAATTATCCATTGTAAACATTTACTGCCTCTACCATAACAAGTAGATAGAAAGGGACAAAAGTCTTGGTTATTGTACTACTTTGACATCATGGCGACAGTTAACTAATGTCTCTGTCTACCTAATTACGATACAAGCATGAACATATGTGGTTAAAAATATTATTAAGAAGTTTCTGACGAAGATCGTGCATAACTACAAAGATTTTTTATCTCTTTGTTTTTAGAGATATTTGTTTTCGACACATGAAAGGTCATTCGATCATATGAAATCGCACCCACAGGTGACTGATAGCGCGAGAATAACGTTTTTTTTTTTTACAACACTGGGCAAACGAGCATGCGGCTCACCTGATGGTAAGTGACTACCGCCGCCCATAATCACCTACAACACCTACGGCATTGCAGGTGTGCTGCCGGCCTTTTAAAAAGGAATATGCTCTTTTCTTGAAGGTTATGTTGTCGTATCGGTTCGGAAATACTGCTGCTGGAAGTTGATTCCAAAGAGTGGTTGTGCGTGGGAGAAAGTGGCTTGAAAAACGCACGGTGGAGGACCGCCACTCGTCCAGATGGTTGGGATGAAATTTTAGTTTATGGCGGGTTGTACGATGGTGAAAATCTGCAGCAGGTATCAATCCGATACGTTACACCATTTTGATAGTATGGTATTCCTTTTATGAGTTTGTTTCAGATAAACTTTCATGGTAGGTGGGTAGAACATTTATTATTTTAATATAGATCATACCACCAAATACATCCGCTCATCAGTAATAAATAAGATCAACGTTGGATTTTAGATGTAATTGACAGCTTTGCATGAAGTAAAATAAAATATATCACGTGATCGCCATGTGGTCCCGTCATAAAATAGGTCACCTTTCTTTCCCGTGGTTATGGTAAGAAGCGAAGGGAGCTTAATTGTTGAGGGATAGACAGTATCCCTCTTAAAATATCCCTTAGACCTAACAGCGGTTGCCAACCTGCCTGCCAAGCGCGGCAACTATTGGCAAAACCCCCCAATAGAGAGACATACATAGGCCATGTTTAGCAGTGGGCAATTAATGGCTGGTATAGTATGGTATATAATCATTAGATAATCTAGGATATGGGTACTTCAAACTACTAAATAATGAATAATCAAAGAAAAACGGAAATGTATTTTATTGCTGTAATATCTATTGAGCTTTATTTCATTAAAATTATGAGGAAGTGAGAACGAAACGGGCACCGGCAGCTATTCCCGCCCATGTTTCTGTCACGATTTGTTCCACATATTCTGGAGGGACTACGAAGCCATAGGTGTAGCCGGGCAGTTCTAAAGTGTATGTAAGTGGTACACCGACAGAGCGGGTCCAGTCGCGGGAGGTGCCTGTGGTGAAGTATAAAACGTTCGCGGCATTACCCACGATGTACCTCTGCGATTCATCTAGAGCGAGTTCGTCGATAGCCGTGGCCATAGTTACACCAGCAAGATGGAGGTTTAAACCGTTCGATGGTAAAGTTCCTGTAAACAAATAGACGGCTTGGTAATACTTTAAGTAATTAAAAAAGATCCGAGACTTTGCAATGTAACAACACAATGAGCATGTATCTATATGCCATTATTATTAGAGGATGACGTAATTAATGCTGAGAATAAAATATTGCACCGACCTTATAGCTAGATACAAATGGCATTACAGAATTCATGAAGCAGTAAAAGGTTGCATCAAATTCGATATTCTTACTTTTAACTAAACAAGGAGTCGACTCCGCCAAGAGAAATCGTCTTTTAACTTGACGCGGTACTTCCGGTTTCTTTTTTTTAATTTTTTTTTTAATTTCTGCAAGGACGTTAGGTGGGCTAAGGGCGAATCTGAATAAATGTATATATAGGCAAATAAATAGAACTATACCATTATTGCCCCAAGAATACAGGAACAAGTTGCCATAACTGTGCAGTGAAATATAGAGTGCGGCGCGAGGAAGCTGCTGAAGTACGACGTCTCTAACGACCCTGATTTCTGATTCAGAGAACGGAGTTGGACCTTCGTATGTAATGGCACAAGGATTTGCCGCACCGCTGTTAGTTCCCCATGCGAGATCGAAGTTACGGTTTCCGTCAATACCAGGGCAGGCTTCTGCGTTTGGATGGGCACGTGACCTAGTTTTACGCCACAAACGGTCCTGAAGAAACATAAAATACATTATCTATAATACAACCTATAAACCACTGACACGATAGGTACAAACATAAACGCAGCAGCAGATGCATATTAGATAAGGATGGCCAAGGATAGGTCAAAATGAAAGGATCTGGAGGAGGCATTTGTCTCCGGACAAGAGAGGAGTGACAAACTTGTGTCATATTTTTTAAATAAAAAATTTATAACGAGTGTATCAAATTATTATTATAATGGTATTAAGTATTTTTTTTTATGAAAAATGATAATGTGATGGAAACGGATTTTGATAATACTTTTTGCAGCCGATATATTTATTTAAACAAATTTAAATTATTATGATAACAGTGGTTGTCCACTAACAGTTTGTTCGTTATTTAAAAATTGTATACCTTCAAATATTATATAAGAATTATTAATTTACTTACACATTGTGAAAATGTAAGTTAATGGAAATATTTTCTGGTCAATACAGTTGAAATTACTGATTGGTAAAACGGGCACGGTAGTTGCGTAATCAGAATCTAATTTTGAAATAATTAATCTACGTTAACAGTAACATTCAATTACTGATTTGAGATAATTTGGTAATAATCTTAATACTTACTCCTATCAATATTTTAATACATAAGCCTCTTTACTATCAGTGGTAAATTAATTATTACCCACTATCTGCATATAATAGAGAATACCAGCTAATCTCACCTAAATCCTTTTTTATTTAATTATCTACCTTATTTTCATTTTTACGCATATTGTAAATTACTGATTTTCTTTTTGTATAAGTGTAATTAGGTAAAATTTATTAAATCAAAATTTGTTTTTTTTTTTTTCATTGTTTAGATCTAGTAATACTGACTTATTTTTCACCTAATAGGTTAAAACTGAGAATAAAAATTGGGGTTTTATATTCATATTATTCATTTTGTCTTAAAGCAATGAATTTTAAAAATGTAGAAATTAGAAGGTTAAATGTAGGTTGAAGGTTATTATAATTATTATAAGAACGGACATTATTAAAAAAGGCCATGTTCCTTTGCTCCCTTGTTCTGATTAATAAGTCACGTATCAAGAACGTATCTTAAGGATAATTTAAGATTTCATTCTATAAAAAAATTACTGCAACCTTGATAAAAGAAGAATCATCAAAATCGGTATAAGTAACATACACGATACATAGAATTGAAAATCTTCCTTATTTTGAATACGGTTGAAAAGTCATTATTTACTATATTCTTTATATAGGATTGGCTGGAAGAGATCTCTTTCTGAAATAAACCCACCCTTGCTCATAATACTTATAACTGTAATTTACAAGTGCAATGAAGAATATTTATAATATATACTTACTACGTTAATGGAATATTCATAACCATCTGGATTGACTACTGGAATTATAATCCAGTCGATGCCATCGGTGAGTTGGTTGTCCACTACATCAATAACGAGCTGGTTGATTAAGTACAAAGCAACTGGTGGCGTCACCCATTCCCTGGCGTGGACGGCTGCATCGATAATGATGACCGGCTTACGAGGATCTTCGAAACGTGTAGTGGAAATTCTGACGTATTTAATCTGACGGCCCTCGTAGGTTAAGCCGGCGTTTATAACTGTCACCAGCTCGGGGTATTCAGCGGCCAATTCGTCTAAATGGTTATTGATCTATAATGTAAAAAAATCGCGTCTGAATGCAATTTCATAATGCTTGGCACAATGTGGGCAAGTCGACTGGTATGTTTTACCACAGCGTAGTACATGAAAGCTTGTGTCTTATGATTCTATTATCTAGCCGTAGTGATAAAGTCATGAGTGATGACGAAAATAGTGCATATTTTTTCGTCTATGATATTGATTATAAAAGGGATAAACCTACATAGTTTAATATTAGAAATGGTAATAAATCTTCCAAGATCCTTTGATATGTCTTTCTGAAAGTCTTCCACCTTAAAAATGCTTCTAATAGTAATAATTAAAATGTTTGGTTGTAGACATGCCACAGACAATACCTACAGGCGAGGATTCTCAGTAGTACCTGCATTGTACCGCAAATTATAGTTCATTTTGTGTTGTCATATCCGCTTTGACATCTATATATTGTACACACAAAATAAAATCTAAGAGTTGCCCGTTGCGACAGCAAATATTTCGACTCTTAAAAAAGAGTGTGAATGAAAAATTTATGGTGTAACTGATACGTACTTCATCGTGATTGTAGTACGTGTCCCAACTGATTGAACGTCCATTTTGCCTTGCAGCTAATTTTGCATTTTGAATTTTGGTTTCTTCGTCACGAAGTATTCTAAAATTTTACAGGATAATTATTACAATAATAATGTAGTCTGTCAGAACAACACACTTCAATTTTGACTAACATGGAATAAAGGAGTAAAGTAATTTAATTAAAGGTGAATTCATTTCGAAATGGCTAAAAAAAAAACATTGTGTGGCGTAAAGAAACCAAAGGGGGACTTTGTACAAAAGTCGATTGCTTGGGTACCTCGGTCCCATTCGTGTTTCAACCGTAAAGCAGTTGTGTTTGCATAGCTGTGTTTCGAATTGAAGAGTGGGATATGGCGTGAATTTACTGGGTACGGAGGAATAACACCTGAGTCCTCAGGAATGGCAACGCATGGGGGGGGGGTATAATGGGCGAAACAGTATACTCTGTTATGTCCATGGTACTGCTCATGTCTATAGGCGATGGTTACCATTTTACATCAGATGGGCCGTCAGCTTGCTTGCCATTCTAAGTTGTATAAAAAAACAATTTTAAACACCGACTTCAATCATGGTAAAAGCAGTTGTTTTGAATAAAAAATTTAACTACTAAATCGATTTTGATAATTTCTCAAGAGAACCAATTAGAAAGTATATTCTTTTAGAAAAAAAAACAAATTTCCAAATGGGTTTATAAATGAATGGAGTTATGAAATAATAAGCATTAAAAATATATACAATGCTAACCGATTGACGAAGAATTAAATAAGTTTAAACTCTTGGGTATAAAAATAGTTATGTAAATACTATGTAACATATGAAAGTATGTCTGTATGTATGTGAAGCCTTTTGCTCTCATGGTATTCTCTGACTATATATAAGGAACCTGGTTCTCACGGGAAGATGGATACGTGAGTGAAATGAATGAACTTACTCAGCAAGGTTATCGGCTATTTTTGAATAAGGCATATTTCTTTCGTCGAAGTATTGTAACCATCGTTCCTTTACTTCAGGAGAAAGTCTCACTAGAACTTCAAGTTTGCCAAAAGTAGACCTTTCCGCTGGGGTAATCGACAATAGGTCTAAGGTTGCTTCCAAAGATGCGAACTCTTCAGCTGGGCCAGCCACTCGGTATAATTGGTGACTAGGAAAAAATGTGGTAGAATGTAGGTACATAATGATAGTAGTAATAAATAGAAATATGAATATTTTTATTTAAAATAATAAATAAACTCATAAATGTCATACAAAATTAATTATAACCATCACACCGTATTCTATAATATCCATACTCTGCAATACCATTCATGTTTACAGGCGCCGGTTACCACTTCTCATCAGGCGAGCTTGCTCTTTGACATTCGAAATCTTATAAAAAATGTGATTACAAATTTAAATAACATCTTTACAATTTTTTTATATGTGGATATAATATCCTTAAGATTTGCACATTAAAAACATGGGATAATTATTCTTACAATTACTTACCCCTCATATTTCTCATGGCGGCAATGCACTGCTGCTATAAAGAAGAGGAGATATCCCAGAAACCGAACCATTTTCACTAATGAATGACCAGTTGTTTATCCAGCCTGATTAACACTAAATCGTTCTGCTTGATTATAATTATCATAACGATAAAATGAAAAATCGTTAATCCATTTTTATGCAATCTATTATTATTAGTTAATGATGATATGTCATTCTTGTCCACTTCAGCAAAGTACGATAAGTAAGTAAGTAAGTTAAATTACTAAATATTTTTATATTACAGTACTTGTTGTTTCTCGTTGTTCTTTATTATTATTTTTCACGGGAACATCGGTATATATTTTTTTTATAGTGTAAGTTACTTGTATAAGAACTTCCCTGTACTAGAACGAGCAGATTCAGTAGTTCGATTGTGTTATATTAGGCAGTGTCTCCGTTTGAAGGTTCCGTACCAAAAAGGTTAAAGGGAACCCTTAATGTGTGATTTTGTTTGTCCGTTCATCTATCACAGGATTATATTTGAGCATCTACTAATGCTATCAATTTGAAATACTTGGTCGTGTTGAGTAAATATTATTGTATATGAAATAAAAAAAAAGAGATACGGAGAATATTCCTTATTTGAACCACATATACATATGTATGGATTACAATGACATTAAAATACTAGAACTGGAATTGGTCGTACTGGATGAACACGCAGTTTAACACATTTCGTAGTTGTTTGTTTTCCTTTACAAAGCACATAAACTGTCACAATTACAAGAAAAGGTAACCAACTACCAATAAAATTGAAAGACGTCACCATTATGACAGTTATGGCGCTGCATTTGTTTGGATTTCGCCTTAATTGTTTTGTTTTCGCAATTGTTCTTTGATATGGGTATATGAAATATTCTTTTAAGACAATTCATGTTCCAAGCAATTTATTCTAGTCAAATAGACGCTAAGATTTGATTTATTATTATTCAAATTCTCATGATAAAATTTCCATAACCTGAGTTTTAATAGGTAAACGATAATAGCGAGATCATGGATACATAATTTAAAAAATTCTATTTTACATTTCCTTTTGATTATTGTTTGTTTAAATATGCTTGCATTAAAAATATTTCCAATCGCAGTAAATGAATTGAATATCAGTTAATTTTAGAAACGTCGGCAATAAAGAAGCTGGTATGTAGGTACTGTTTACTTATAAAGGTTTTTACATCGCGTTAAGTATAATTGCGAATTGAAAGTTATCATTAATGCGATTATCACATTACGAGTATTACTTAAAACCACTTGTGTCCAAACTCATTTTAGCTATGTTTGTCATTCCTGTGTATAATATGATTTCCACCTAACATATCCGAGTTTTTTTTCATATTAATTCTCGTAACACATTTGTCTTTAAGTATGAGGTTAATAACACAATTGGCTATTCAGACCGAGTATGACGACACAGTAGATACAGATCAAGAGTTGAACAAAGGGCGATAACGTTTTGTTATTTCCAGAGGTATTATTTAAGAATTAAAACAAATTTGTTAAAATAAAATAAATTGTCATAAAGCAAATTTATTTAGGTACTTTCTGTTTACATAGTATGTTGATTACTTAATAGATAGCCTATTGTAATAACAATGTTATATTTAGTTTATAATTTAATTTTACATGCATATTTCCAATACATCCTTCGTATAGAGCGTTTAAAACCAGAATGCCTCCAAGCGTATATAAGCGGATCCAATAAGCTGTTACAAACTCCTAATAGGTATAATGGTCCAAGAGTTAGAATTTCTAATGGAATACAATCATAACCATGTAGCATAATATCACATTTTACGTAAATAATAACAGCTATATAATATGGCGCCCAAGTGCCAACGAAGGAGAAAGTAACCAGCAAAACAGTTTTCACTGCTTTTAATTTACTAGGATTAGAACTAACAGCTTTTGCCCTGCAATAAGAGCGGGATATATTTGAAATTTTCTCTTTAAGTCTACTCTTGGTGCGTTTTTGTTTTATATTTGTTTTACTAGTATTGGTCAATTCTATCGAGGAACCAGGTTCTTGGGTTACTGTCGAAACTGTGATTGTCACTGTAGTTTTTGATATTTGACCGATATCATCTTCAAATGCTCGGTTGACGAACGCTATGCTGTTACTTTCTTTAAACTCACGTATTTTGTCTACCGTTTTTACGGCACTGTGTAAAATTATTATGTACAAGACACAGACTATAATGATTATTAGTAATACTACGATGGATACTATGATAAGTAATGATGGTGGGAATACGGCAATGTACCAACATCTGTAGTCCCTGAATGTTTCTCCTGTCCACCCCATTGCTGGTAAGCAAGATATAAATATTCCTGCAAAATACAAATGTAAGATATCTAAACGAGGAGTTCTAATAATCTGAAATCAAGTAGTGGTTGAAAATATTTTTTTATATCTTATGATATGGGGATACTTTATTTTCTATCTTAAGGATAGAAGTAGGTATAAGTAGGTATAAGTTATAAACTGTATGCTGATGAATTTACGGGAAGTATGAGACAATAAAAGAATGAACTAAATGAAATAAAAAAGTTTTGCATTCTAATTATTGCGACTTTGCTACTTATTTTAAAAATAAAATTTTGTACAGATAAGTTAACTGAAGAAATATAAAGAAAGCGTTTAAATATTATGTATATATTAAAACAAATACATAGTTAGCATGTTAGTTCACATTATATACTTACCTACATAGCAGATATTGTATTTATTTGTAAAATATATTTCTGTTTATCATTTTTAACAAAAAAATATATTAAATATAGCATAATGTGGAAGAGGTGAGTCCAAATACGAGACAAACTTCATGTGATGCAATATATTGAGATAAAATGTCCGTTTTGTATACAATATTAAAATTAAATTTATACCTTATAAATATGTACCCACAGTTGGCAATAATGTTTACGGCAAGTTAAAGATGTCAGATTAATATCTGATGGAATTATGATATATCTATCCTATATTACTACACGTTAATCTTTATCGTACGAGTATTTTCCGATTTTTCTGTAAAATCACATCTATTCTTCAAATATTTTTGGAAATAATTTCTGTAGTATGATTTAAGTGATCTTTTAAATCCTTTGTGCCACCAAGCATATATCAAAGGATTCAGTACACTGTTAAAGAATGCTAAGGTGGCAGCTGGACCATTGAGAAGCTTACGTAACATAAGACATTGATCGTTAGTGGTCTTTTCCTCACACAGAACGTAAAATATGACAATTATAAAGAACGGCATCCAAGTTGCTATGAAACTGAACGATGTTAACATCACCACTGTTACTGCTCTACATTTATTTGGTTCTTTTGATCTATTGTTTTTGTTTGTAAAACTTTTATTTTGATGGATTGTAGGACTATTTAAAGATAAACTATTATCCGAATTCGTTGATTCAATAGTTTGAATACTAAATTCTGATTGGTTCAGTTCATCTTTAATTTGGTTTGTTTTAGAAATATTTGTATTAGAGATAGTGAGATCATCGATACTTTTGGCTTTAAAAGAAATACTCTTTTGTCTACTGTGTGAATTTTCATTAACGTAGTTTGTATTAAACGAAATACTTCTTTTTAACTTGTTGGTATTACTATTAAGTGGATACTTTACAGAAATAGTATTAGTTGGTTTAATGTTGCCACGATATATTCTTAATTTAGGCTTATCTTTTGTTTTTGTTACTACAGATGTTTGGGCGGTCTTTAACTTTGCCAAATTTTTTAAAGCTTTAATTAAAATAATTGTGTATAGGATAGCGACAAGTATTATAGGGATGACGCTTAGGAAAGAATTAAAGAGTATTAATGAACCAGGGAATACTGCGATGTAGACACACGGAGCATTATAAAGTTCCCTGGTGACCCATCCGGTAAGTGGCATGAAACCGAGGGTGATACCTGCAATGCAACATTGTATACATACAACACAATAACATTAATTCACCCACAATTGTAATTAGTTACAAGTATATAAGACACAAAACAGGAAGCTATATCAAGAATGTCAGTTATCAAATAGTAGTATATTAAAATGTATTCTCCAAAGATATTGTGCTGCAGTTTATATTTTTAAACGTTCTCACCGATTTTTTTTTAATTATTAAATAAGCAAGATAAAATACAATTGAATAAGAACCATTTTGTGTTGTGCATTGTATATTTATTATTGGTATTCGGTTTTTAAATAATGTTCCTATTTTGTTTAAATGTTTGTTATAAGATAAAAAAAGAACTGTTTGGTAACTGTAATTCTTAATTTAAATTAAGCTAACATTAAATATTAGATACATTTGACATTAGATATCTATTTATAAATAGCGTTTTTCTCTTACCAATAATCCAAATGCAGAGAATGCCGATTCTGACTCTGGTGGTGTTGAACCATCTTTGGTAGTAAAGCCCATGTAGTATGTAGATGTATCGATCAACGGCAATGAAACCGACACTAAAAATTGATACCATCGTAGGACATACTAACATACCTGTTAATTATACAATTATATATAAATTAAATATACAATAAGTAGATACCTATGTAATAAATGGCTAAAAGAATATTTTTTTTATACTTACCTAACTGGAATATACAAAGTGGATCGGAATTTATATTATTGTCAATTGTGGCGCCAAAGATGATAGAGATACCAATAATAGTATCAGCAAGGGATACGTTACCGAGTAATAGATATGTACTCTTATGTTGCTGACCTGAAAGTAGAGAGGGAAATACAATTCAATGTTCAATACCAGTATTTAGATTTCATCTTCATATCAGCTATTATCTGTCTACTGCTGAACATACCCCTCCCCTGCCATAAGAATCGATTCTGAACCACCTGTATCCATTGACACTGTATTTAGGTTTACTCAATCAACAACAGAGAAGTAAAGAAGTCGAGAACATGGTCTGGGATAGCAACGATTGGAAAAAGTACATGATTTAGTTACACTGACTAGAGGAAACAAGATCAGTAAGAGTTAAAAGTTGTTTGTATCACATAAAAATGATTGATTTTGACATAGTTTTCACAGGTTTCCACAATAAGTATATTTAATTTTAAATGAAAATGGAAGAGAAAGTTTTGAAATTCAAGAGGCATATTTGGTGTAATTAAAAAAGAGATATTTTAATTTGATTTTTATGCTTATTTTATATGATATGCGCATATTACTAAACCAAATGTAGGTAGTTAGAATGATTTGATTCTTAACGTCCTGTTGCGACATTAGTCTCAATCATACCGTAAAATGTTTCTACTCACCTTTCTTTAAGATCAGGCCACTGGATATAACAACAATTAGATTACTTAAAATAATTAATGTCCCGAGAACATACGCAACAACTTTGTAAGTAAGCAACTGTTCTTTCTCTTTTGTACTATAAGCTTCATACAAATCGAACAAGTGGATTTGTGATACGTCACTTTTATTAGTAATATTTGTTATACTTAAATTAAAGTATTCCATCACTTGATCCAGCGTTACATTGGATTTGAATTCAGAATGATTTAGTTTTAAATTCATTTTGGCTTCGTTTGCTGGTGCTAAGTTTTGGGTACCTTTTAGAATTTTGTTATGTAAATATCACACAAAAATGTTTGTTCAAAGTACAAGTCAATATGTTACTGCTATTCCTTAATAAAGAATGAGATAGTCACTTTTGCGCAGCTTGAGGATAAAATCAGTACGAAGTTTTGTTTTCTTGTAATGACACTATTTGTTTTTATGGTTCCTTAAGTAATAAACAAATCTGAATTTACGTGTGCCTTATTGTATTTATTAGTACCCAGACAGAATAAATATCTTGAATTCCTATTAAATAATTTACAAAATTTTATAAATTAGGTCATCATTATTGTATATATTATTAATGACATCAGATACAAAGCATCTGATGTCATTTTTCTAATCTAAAAGTAAATTGTAAACTGAAAAATAAATTTCCACTATCCATTAGGTGGGCCGTCAGCTTGTTTGCCATTTAAAGTTGTATAAAAAAAATTGTACTGCTGACTTTATTTTTCGGGGTCTATAAAAATTTGTCCATATCGCCTATCTCATCAAATCGTCTAGGAAGGCATGCTCGTGTAATATATGTAACATACAGATGTTCGTTACAGTTTTCCGAAATTCTCACCGACGGAATTTAATGGTTTTCTAATAAGCAAAAGCGAAGAAACAGCTAATCAATCCTCGGGAATATAAGTAGATATTTTATATACGGAACCTATTCATTAATTTTCAAGTTTTCTTTGCCTTGTTATTTTTCATAGAGTGAGTTATGCATATCGTAATAAGTGACTGTTATTGCCAATTACGCTTATGACTCCTGCTTAGTGCTTTGAATACAAATTTGAGTGTACGTAATGAGGACGTGGTAGATGATTACTTGCTCTGTGGTAGAGACCGAAATTATTCAGGCTACCATTTCAACTATAGGTGGATAGAGTTTAACAATTTCGGTATTTACAGATTTGATTTCAATTAAGTAATATGAAATCGATACCACATACCGTGCATACAAAGCATAAAGTCCTTATGCATGAAATACCTATGTACAATCGTAGTTATAATCCCGTGCATAAGTCCTACTAAGTCTTATTTATATTTATACTAGCTTTTACTCACGACTTAGGCTGCATGATCGGGATATGTTTACTGTCCGGAATAAAAAGTAGCTTAAAACCTTCTCTATTACAATTTCATATTGTTTAAGTCGTTACGGCGCTATAACAAATAAACACACTCAATTTCATATTTATAGGGGGAAAGGGATTGTTAGTAATGGGGGTCAAATAGCACCATTACTAGCCTGTTAGGTCGACCTCCACGTGGTTCCCCCTGGAAACCATCGTGGCTAATTCTAGTTAAATTTGTTAGGATGGGCTAACTGACCTGCTTTCATCCTCATTAGTCATCTATCACTGGTGCCCCACCAGCGTATACCGATAGCGCACACGGGGTTACTATTCCATCATCACCCATTAAAAAATACCATTATCATGCATTAAAAAAAAATCATATTTATAATATTAGTAAGTCAGAACTTATACGTATAATACACCTCTGTAGTGCATAAAGATGTCTCATTTACTTAATAATAGATTATCTAACGAGCATCAGTGAAAGTTTTTCAAAACACTTACTGCATTTTTGTAAAAATTTGTATGAGATTAATCCTTTTAAATTTTAATTTGTTCAGTCTTAGCTACGATATAGCCATACACAGAAAAAATATAAATACAGATAAATTCGTGATCTTCCCTTTTTTGAAGTCGGTGAGATATTTTTGATAAGAATATGTTATCACTTCTAGCTAATGAACACAAAAAAGGAAAATTGTGAGGGAAAATATTTTTTTTCATATCAAAAAAGAAAGATGACGAAACGGACTTAGGAAACTCTGCGTATATAATATTATTTTCCAGAGTGTGCAGGGGACTGGACCTCTTATAAAAGTCTTATATATCCTCTCAGATATGCCTTTGCGAAGTTTCGTTGGCATCCTTTTATAGGGCATAGTTTTATCTCCGCCTTTAAAAATCCTTATAGAACTTTGGTTAAGAATCTAGAAATTCCAGGTCGGAAGTCTAAATAGTTTCATATATCTAAGTAAAATGTTGTGACATTTTTAAGAATTTATAATTGAGATTTATTTTTCAAGGATGTATGTACCTTGCTAATTTAAATATGTATTGGGAAATGTTTGATATGTCAATTATTTGTCAATGACAAATTTTATATTTTATAAATTATATATCGACAGTTTATGTAGAAAGCAGGTTGTATTTGAATTTGATAGGGTTATACGGCCGTATAACATTCTCTATACATTATCCTGCTATGAATTGATAAAAATAGCAACTGATGATGTATCTTTCGTCCTCTTTTAACTAATTATATTTGCATAAGAAGAAAGGAGACAATCATATAATTTACAGTTTTTATTTTATCATTCCTTCTACGTAATTCCTTGTACTTAGGTTAAAAGTTGACAGGCGTTATATTACTGTACCACAGTAGTATTTGGGTAAATTTTAAAGTAATCAAAGAAAGCAAAACTTCCGCATTTTAATGTTGCAACTCTTCAAAAGAAAAACTTAAATTAGAAAAACAATAATTGATGTATAATTAATGTTATCTACACTAATATTATAAAGAGGAAAACTTTGTTTGCTTGGTTGTAATGAATAGGCTCAAAAACTACTGGACCGTTTTTAAAAATTTTTTCATCATTCGAAAGCTACATCCACGAGTAACATAGGCTAAATTTTATTTTGGAAAAAAAATAGGGTTCCGTAAAATATTTGGGTTTATCGGACAAAAGATGTAAAAAATCAACCAGAAAAGTTACTTATTTTGCGTACGCTGCCTAAACTATAAAAGATAGAACCATAAAATGTTCTAATTAATTGTAGATCTTATAAATATCTACAAAAAAGTCCACGACACACTATACCTATCTATGTCGAGTGAGGCACAACAACCATTTTTTTTTATTAAAAGTCTTGAATTTTTTTTGACTATATTTAAACGCATTTATTTTACTCATACTATTAATCCTTATTAAAATAAATTATTTCATCACTAAGTACAGTTTATGTAGATAATATTTGGTCTTTGAATAATTAAAATTAGACGTTTTGTTTTGAAGTTATGGCGAAATTAAAATATTACGATTTCTGCTGCACGGCCCGTTGCGAAGTAAGCGTCACCAAGGCGGGGTGCGCGTGCGGGAGGAGAGTATTTTCATACTCCAGTATTAACCCTTATCCTTAAATAATAATCCTTATAATAAATCTATCGAGTTATTTCCAAAAATTGCATTTTGCGATAACCAAGATCCACACGGGCGAAGCCGCGGACGAAAGCTAGTATTAAATATAACATTATAAAATCTCCATTCATTTCATTTCATTCATCCAGACATTACAATTTTTAGCACAATAACGCCATCAACGAATTCATTACACACCTTCTTGTTACTCTAATGTTATTCTGGAGAGATTTGGAATTGTTCTTTACATTTGCATACTTTACGACCCTACATGAGTTAGTAATCTTTCTGTTGTAGTGTAAATACTTCTTGGTGGTTAGTTTTTTATTGTACCAGTTTGTTACTGAATTGTCACCTTAATAAAATTGTCTTGCTACTAAGAACATCACTCGATTTATATTATTTATTGTCCGCTGATATTTAGCTCATAAACTCTAGCTTATAAACAGAACCTATTCATTAACTTAATAGCTTATAAACTCTATATATAAAACTTTCCCTCTACGCGCTATAGATATGAACTTATGAGTTACGTTATTATTATGAAGTTACATCAAAATCGTTAAACACTAAAATTAATTACTTTTAGTTGTTAATTCGGTTTAGCTTTTTTGGTCGAAATTTTTAAATAGATTTGGTAACATTATTTTTTTAGTATGTTTGTTCCGTTGTCAAAGAGGCTAAGCTAGGAGACCATGTTGTCTAGTCTTCAATATGATTATTTGTCTGGAATGGTAACATTATTTTTTCTTTGTTTGAATTTGACAATAGACTGACAGTGACAAATAGCACAGCACAGATGTTATACTCAATGTGCTATAGTGTTATTGTAAATGACAAACCACTAAACATAAAAGAGAAAATATATTATGAAAAAAAATTTAAACAAAATTTCTAGATTGAATAAGAAATTTATTGTGGAGAAATATGAATTACAATTATAAAATAAGTTTAAATTCCATTTGATCTTGATCGAAATCATACTAAATACTGTTCTTGTACAATAAAAATTAGTAAAATGTCAGCTGTCATTTACACTATGTTATAACGCTCATGAGTACAGTGTAATGCGATTCAGTTTAATTCCGTAGTTTTGTTATATATATTTTCAGTTTTCGTAATTTATAATTTTCTGAATACTATTTATAATATTTGATTAAGTATATTAAATAGTTATTTGTTTATAATGCTGAATTCTTCAATATTACGGCAGTTTTCAAGGTATTTTCGAAACGAGAATTATCGATAATAAAGTCTAATATAATATGTTTTTAAGCCTATATAACCTAACCATAAATTTGTAATTTTCAGATTGTCGCTATGTTCTATGACAAAAACACCTGTCAATAGTCGAAATATTGCGACAACAAATGCTCTACAATTTAAAATTACTGATCAATTATGGTAAGTTGAAGTAGGCATTTAATTATTCATAGTTAAATTACATTAGGTACTAGATCTATAACTATTAAGACAACCGTATTGAATTTTTATCATTAACACACTATGTATATATACTTGAATTTTTTATTTTTTTAGGAAGACCTATCTGCTATTAATGTAAAAAAAGAAAGCAACATAGCAACACATGAAGGTTATTATGGACATTGTAATGTATTTTGCTGTTTGTAGTGCTGTTCATGTGTATAGGCGACAGTTATCACTTCCATCACAAAAAAAAGCTGAAAAAAAACTAAAAAAACTGTCAGCCACAGTCAGTGTGTTTTTTATGGATGATATTGGAATGGTAACCCCGTCTGTGCTGTATACGCTGGCGGGGCAACAGTGAGGGATGATAGGTGACGATGAAAGCGGGTCAGTCAACCCATCGTGACAAATTCCACTAAAATTAACCATGATGGTTTCCAGGGAGAACCACAAGGAGGTTGACCTGACAGGGTATATTGCTACCAATGGGGCTAATACCCATTACTAACAATTTCTTCTCCCCTCTGTCAGGTTGTTTGTCATTTTGAATATCATAAGTAATTATGATGATTTTTTAAGAACTTCTGAAATGAGATTTGTATGAGTTTGTATTTTTTAGAATATATCTTAAATATATTTTTTTTTATTTGAATTCCAATTTTAATAAATTTTTTTATAATAGATAAATAGATAGAATGCCAGGAAGAGAAAAAAAATTGTTTACTATATTAAATTTAATTTAAAATTAATAAAATTTCAGGGCTGAACCAATGAAAAAAAAGAAGAAAATAGACCCTGCTATTATCAAGGCTAGAGAAGACCGTAGACGTAAGAAGTTGGAGAAACAAATTAGGAGATTGGAGAAGAATGCTCAGCAACTCAAGCCCATTGATGAAATGGAGGTGCCACTACATTTGTTGGACAATATGGAGTATGTAATATTTTTATTATAAAGTCGATTATTTATTTTCAAGCTAGTTGCTATTAAGAATGAAAAGAGAAACAACACAAATTTATTTATTTGTCTTCATGTATGTGAAATGTTGTACATATGGCTCCACACTAAATACTAAGGCATTTTTTGTCTGTTAATCATGGGTTTTGCATAGAGTATTGACGGTGGTAAAGAAAAGCTTACAAAACAATTAGTAATGGTAAATATAAATATATATTAAATACAAATAAACTTAATAATATAAATATATAGTTAAATACAAATTTATACACTATTTAATATATAATAAAAGAAAGTATGTAATAGTTGGAAAAAGCAAAAAGGTCAAAAGCAGATTCAATAAAGGTGAATTGAATAATAATAATAATAAAACTCTATCAGAGTAAAGCTCGCCTTTCTACTTTTGATTATCTCTGTCTTATTATAACTTAAAAATAGTGTGTACAATAAAGAATTAAATAAATAAAAAATAAATAAATATTTTTATGGTGCATCACGATTATACAACATGTTGACAGACTAAGTAATATGTGGTTCTATCTATCTAATAGTATAGTCATATGGTGGTTCTAGAAAATACTGACACATAAAATTATTTATACATAAGTTATTTATACTTTACAAGGTAGGCAAAGAAAGCTGAGTGTTAAAATTTTACCTCATCTATTTATTACCATGCCTTGTCTCGAATATGCATGTCAGTATTTTTAAGTAACTTTAAAAGGGCAGAGGTTGATAATTTATAAATAATATATTGCAGTTTAGTTCTGTATTGATCTAATATAAATTAAATATGGGAATTGAAGTCACCAAAAATAATTTTATTTATTTATTTAATTCTTTATTGCACCAAAAACATAAAAATAAACAATGACATATATACAACATAATTTGTATTTATCAATAATACTGCATATTTTTTTGTATGTAATATTTTTTTCAATTTTGATTAATCTTTTTTTAATTGTAAGGCTTTAGTTACATGTTACTATTATACAAAGTTATTCAATATAGATGTCATATTATTTGTGGAACAAAATCTTATTTATCAAATCAAAATATTTCAGCAAACGTAAAAGACCACAGCTACAGTTGTCAACAGAGGTGTTAGAGGCACGGGCTCTGCTGCAGAAGGAGTGGACTCGATACAAACGTGATGAATATGTGGCACATGTAGCACAAATAGACAGGATCATGGCTGCACAGAGGAGAGCCTTGGACAGGCTTTATGAGGAATCTGAGGATTTGTACAATGAGGCTGTCATGGTAAGGTCCTTACTGATCTATTATTTAGTTTCACATATTTGTATATCCCAATCTTATAAATATTACACTGTCAATAAAAATAAATTTTCTTTTTTAAAAAATTATACAATCATGCAAAAATTGCCGAATAAATAAAATTTGATATGTATATTTTATAAATCCTATTTCACCCAAATAACTCTTCATACATACATATATTATAAGAAAAAGAAGGGGGGGAATTGGAATGAAATAGTAGGTTGGCTTGTTGTCGTAAAATTTCGAATCTGATGAATTAATTTAAAAAGACATTATGTGGTGTATATTAAAGTTTTATTTAGTCTTTATTTCATAAAATTTAGTAAATCTTAAAATGAACAACATGAGTGTATAATATACATATATTGATTAGGTAATTTATATGTATTATACACTCGTATTTAAAATACAATTAGACTATATAGTCTAACTGTATTTTAATAAAAAAATAAATTTAAATAGTTGAGATTATTATTGCATTCTTATTTACCCTAGCATATAATTTGTTTTTGTTTTAATGTTGAATGTGAATGTGAATGTGAAAGGGACTCCATTTTCCGCACTTAGCCTCTCATTTGGGCCATTGTGCGTATGAGTCGTGGCTAGTGCAGCCAACCTAGCTCCGTCCATAAGCGCAGAAGCTTCCTGGGTTCTTCACAGGCCTCACGGAGCGACCTCACCGTTCCGAGGATTTCTAAACGTTGATGGGCCACAGCCTCACATTCCAGGATTACGTGAGCTGCCGTTTCTTCGGCGTTGAAACAGCCTCGACATAGAGGGCTGTCTGTGGCTCCTATTGTGTATAGATGTTTGTTTAATGGACAATGACCCGTTATTGTCCCTATCATTGTTTTGAGGTTTTTTTGTTTTGTTTTAATGTTATACATATCGAAAACTATTTATTTTGTATACGCGCTGTATCTGAATTTTTTATGTACTCACCATCACCTTTTTTGTGAAAGTTTTCATTTGTATAATTTGTACTGTTCGAGGTAAGGGTCCTGGTGACTTGTAATACAGGTTTAATACCTAGTACAGGCACCAGCTCCCACAAATAATATTGTTAAAATGTTTTGCAAGTTATAGATATTAAGTCCTTAATTGTTTGTGGTGAGAAATAAAAATAATACATAATTATGACAAATTTAAAATTTAAATGCCTGTACTATTGCAGCCAGACCTACAACTGGTACCATTCTCGACTTCTGGCCCAGTGGCCACTCCACCTATCAAAGGATACGACACGCCCGATGGTGAATATATCGACATCTCTAAAAAGTGGGATAATTAGATGCCATTATTGTGTAGAAATAAAAATTGTTATTAACTAGTGTACATTAAATATTTATTACAAATGACTTTCTTTTTATTGTCTTTAAAAATTCATTCTTTATAATTGTTGACTTTGTGTGCGGATTAATATATTCACACAATTCAACCATTGACACTTCAAAAATTACAGCTAAATCCTTGTATGTAAAAGAAACAAAAAATGACACTTTAGATTCTATCACTATACCTACTTACATCTCTAATTAATTTAATTTCAAATAATGAGAAGATGGAAAAAGTTCAACCAAATTTACCAACAGAGACTATTACAGAAATTGCAACTAATTCTTTACATAGAAAAGAGATCGAAAAAGATATTACTAGTTTTATAAATGATGAAACTTTAAATGATAAGAAACACGTGATAATGTAAATACTAACAGTACAGAAACAACAAAATTAAGAACGACTTTACCTACAACATTTGAGATGGTCAATAGAATTAATTTTACAACTGTTCGTAGCGAGATTTCTTCTGATCTTGGTTCATTGTCTGAATTCCCGGTCCTATTAAAAGTGGTTATTTCAACCATGATACCCGCAACAACACCAATTGTTGGTAAAACAACTACGTTAACAACAGAAACAACACCAGTGGTTGCTAACAACTACATCTATAACAGAAATAAAAATAATAATAGATACCAATAATAGTTAAAATAACTTCAACAACAGAAGGAGAATTATATGCAAATCCATTTTATTAATAATGGATACTTTTACTATTTATAGAAATTATTTTTACATTAATATAGATTTATTGTCTTTTTTTGTTATTGCTTGTTTTGTTATTATAGACAGTGTATCTACTGTCCTAAGGAAAATTGGTGGTTTGTTTTAAAGTAGGTTGTGAAAGGTATTTAGTATGCTAAAACTTTTGGTAATTATGAGTTAGATTGAAATTTTTGTAAGGGTTCGACAGATTATTTTGTTATGATTTACCTACTATATTACAAAAAATTGTAATGTAGTAGGTAAATCATCTGAAATGTTCTTATTTCTTCCGCTCTTTCTTACGAGTATTTCTTTTTCATTTTAATTTAAATACAAATTTGTTAGAATTTAACTCTTTTTTTTGCTTAAGATTGGATATTATTTAAATTAATTTGGCTGTTTAGTCATGTAACTGTTAAGCATAACTAATATGTTATTGACAATATATTGGTCTAATTCAGGTAATTATTATGTCATTAGTGATTCAAGTATCTACTTAAGAGCACCGATTGGCTAAGTATCTACTTCAATCGAGACGAGCCCTGGAGGAAGCAATACATAATTGGCCGCTATTAGTGGAGAACTTTTTATTAAATTCTGTGTACAGCTTAGATTAAGGATAGTAGGTACCTGCTCTTTCTACGCGCACGGTATATAGGTATGTGAATAATGGTAATCGTAAACATGAATTTAAGTAAATGTTGCATCTCACTACCATGTGCGTTTAAATCTTGGGCCGTAATGGGATTGCAATAGCCTATTTACTAAAAAGTCGAAGAAAAAAGAAGAAAAAAAAAATAGGCTATTTGGACTTTCTAAGATTTTATAATGTCATAATGACATTTTTTTGTGTGTACTTGTGTTTTATTCTTTTCTATAAACTAGTTCTACGTGCTTAGTCTACTTAGTCCTTTCGTGTTGTGGATGATCATGGGCGGCGGTAGTCACTTACCATCAGGTGAGCCGCATGCTCGTTTGCTCCCTGTGTTGTAAAAAAAAAAACATGCGATATAGCATAGTAACGAGAATTATTAGAGAAACCATTGTTCGACATATCGTTGTATAAAATGATCGCGAGTATTTGTATTTGTAAATTCAAAAAGTGAATTTGTTTTACCTATTGAATTGCAGGTCAGTGAATATCGCCATTATATTATTTTGGGGTCATCATGGATATATTAGCAATAAACAATGGGCTAACTTTCTGACTTTATTCTTATTTATTATCTCTTACTGTGCCATACCAGTGTAATCTAATAGCACAGGCAGGGTTACTATTCCATTAAAAATAGTATGGGGTCCTTCAAACAAGGCGTTATTTTACGGTACGGTTTTTTTGCGGTCGGTAATGCGCACGTGATATCTTTAGTATTGGAGGCGTCTATAGGCTACTCGTTTTCTATCAGACGTCATATTTTTATGGCTAAGTATGTTATTAACTATTATCCTATAACTAAGTAAAAAATATTTCGCTATTGCCGTGTGGTTTCGGCAGAAAATGGGCTACCCCTTCCTTTCGTGTTGGTGTAATAAGAGAAGATTAAGGGAACTCAATGGTCGAGGGATGGGCGTCGGCTGCGTCCGTTTTAAAACATCATCAAAGCCTAACTGTGGTTGCCAACCAGCGTGTCAAGCGAGGCAATTTCTGGCAAAACCCTCTTATTGAGGAGGTCTATGTTCGGTAGTGGACTGTTAACGGCTGATATGATGATGATGATGATGATGATTTCACCAGCATTGCTTTCAAACGCTATTTCTATCTCTAGTAGAAAATGCCATGCCAGCTTGCTATTTGTACATTTTTTTTTATTGTCCAACTAAGAATAAGTAATTAAATATTTGTAGTCCCGTTTCCCGTAGATTGTTTACTAGTTTCCACATGATACATTAGACAAAGGACAGAAAAAAAAGTAGTTTTTAAATATTAACAGATTACCAAAGATTTAAAAAGCGCCAAGTTTCTACGAGTCATGTTTGCGTTCATGCTTTTTTCATCAAAAATATTCCTGGTGGAATGGTTCAAATAAAACGAGAGGGTGTTTTTTGTTAGCTATGCAGAGCAATTACGCTAACTTATTCAAACCGATGACGGCTGCATTTTTGTCTATTTTACATTTTAAAATACCAGGTGGATGGTTTCCAAATGCAATGTAGGGTGTATGCATAGAAAAAGCATGTACTTAGGTATGCTTTTATTCGATATTGGTGATGAATTAGTAGATTTCATGATTCTTATGTAAAGTGTATCTACAATAGAAACCCAGGATATTCATTCGAGCGTTATTGAATACTTTAATCTATTTTCTTCATGAATATTGCACGGTAATGCAGTGTTACTGTAAAATTACACCTTTTTCAAATGGTGTTGGCTATGAGTTTATTAACGACGCAGTTTTACCATTTGTGTTACTGAAGGTTAATAAAACCTGGTGTATGTTTTATCTTAATACACCATTTAATTAAAAGCTAGTTAAAGAATATTATATGTATATGTTGGCATTCCTGAGGGCTAGATTTTTATAAGTTTTTGCTGGTAGAGAAGTTACTAGTTCATAACGCAATTCTCACTATTCCAAATCATAAGGAATGGTACTTATTGTTTTATATATATATATATATATATATATATATATATATATATATATATATATATATATATATATATATATATATATATATATATATGTTCGTATATTTGTGTATAATATGAGACAGTAAAAACTATACTAATATATTGGTACCTAAGCTATTCTTCCTTTATTGAAGACAAGCATAATGTTAAGAACAATTAACTTTAAACGTAATGCACAAAGACGAGCTTATCTCTAATAAGAGATTTTTTCCAGCAAACCTTTTCACGTGAATTGAATTGATTTTTTTTTTAAATAAAAATAGCCAATCATACGATTTGTGTACATTATATAAATATATTTGTAAGATAAGTATATACAAAGAATAATACAAACTATATATTAATTACACAAAATACATAAACCCTGTACATAATACGTCAGCATAAGTAATGCTCTCTTAGTCGACTCTTATAGATGCCTATACTTAGCGATTGCCTTATTTCGAATGGCAGGCTACTCCATAATCTAATGAATATAACTATGAAGGAATTCCCAAAAGCTATATTACAGCACTAAATACAAAATAAAACTTGTGAAATTTAACAGTCGGGGTTTGTGTGAAACTCATATAAAGTACGAAGTTACATACGAGTATGTAGGTACCTAATACGTATAGCTAACACAACCCTTCGGGGGAAATCGCGTAAAGAACGATACCATCAGCTTCTTGTGTCGTTCGCGCTTTTGTTTTCCTAATGAGTTGACTTATTCTCGTGGTAAAAGGTAAAAAGGGTTGGTTCACTAATTGTCAACATTGAGATGAGTTTACCTCAACTCGTTAAAGTTGGGGTCGCCCTTTTTATATTTATTAAGAAATAATGAGATTGCACAATTTCTGATTTTTTTTTGTGGATGAAAATGGAATGGTAACCCCGCCTGCGCTAACGGAATACGCTGGCGGAGTACCAGTGAAGGGTGATCGATGAGAATGAAAACAGGCCAGTTAGCCCATCATGATAAATTCAACAGGAATTAACCATGATAGTTTCCAAGGGGAACCACGAGGAGGTCGACCTGGTTGGGTATATTGCTAGCAATGGGATTTTTAGTCTTCATCACTAACAATCCCTTTCCCCTTGCACAATTTCTGATTTGATATATACAAGTAACATACTGTATCTTTTCTGATTAAATATGGAATAATAACTTTGCTTGCATTATTGGTTTACGCTGGTAGGTTTGGTATAGTGAGTTATGGTTGGTGAAAACATAATATTTTTTAGTAAATGAAAATGAAATAATGTCCAATATCTTTGTTGCGAAATATCTTGTGCTATCGATATACACTGGCGGGGCACCAGTGAGGGACGACAGATGAGGATCAAGCTGGTCAGTTAGTCGATCGAAATGAATTCAACAATAATTAATCACGATGGTTTCCAGAGAGAACCGTGTGTAGGTCGACCTGATAGGGTATACGGCTGGTAGTAGGATAGTTAGATTCTACTATTACCAATCTATTTCCCCTGGTGATGATAAATCCGTCAAGTCAGGTGACGAGGAATTAATTAAATTAACCATAATGGTTTCTAAAGGGACCTCGTTAAGGTTTCACTAATAATGGTGGAAAATATTGATTTCTTTAATACACGCTTTGTTGTGGGTCCCAGCATAGTTTGGGCCACCTCTTGTTTTCTCGTGGAGGCGACTAAAGGAACTAAATGCTCAAGGGATGG